ACCCCTGAATTGATCATTTGCCAAATTAATTAGTTAGTTAAAGCTTGATACGTATTACAATATTTTACGATCAAATAAAGTGTTTGATGAGTTGTGTATTACTATTACTTCACCGTCACCTTCTGAATTCTCTCTCAATTTCCTGATTTGATTGGTTTTCTCACTCAAACAATGGATGAACAGTTGATGATTTTGGTTGATGATGCTGGAGGAGCTTTCCCATCGATTAATCACTCTCCGTGGTTCGGTATTACACTTGCGGATTTTGTAATGCCTTTTTTTCTTTTTCTTGTTGGCGTCTCTATCAGTCTAGCATTCAAGGTAGAGTTTATCCTTCTTTCACCTCATATGCAAAATTGCCCTTGTTTTTCCATCCAGTCTTTCTCTAAAACCCCTGTATGTGTCAGTGTTGTGTTTGCCCAAATGATATTGCCGGTGAAGCTCTCGTCTTTTAAAAATAAAGCATTTAGCTGCAATGGATTCCTATTTGCATACTTATATACTGTCGGTAAATATATTAATTACCTTGCAGAAAATTTCTAACAAGACAACTGCCACAAAGAAAGTCATGCTCAGAGCAATAAATCTCTTTCTCCTGGGGTTGTTACTGCAAGGTATTCTGTCATTGTTCCATTAGCTATCCTAAGCATAAACTTGATCTAAACTCGAGATTCCTTGATCTTCTTTTAGCTATATTGGTCGAAGTCGAACAGTTGTAAGTTACTAAGTTCTCTAGTTGAATATAAATATTTTACTTTATATTTCACGCTTACATTGTATTACTTACATGCACTAGGTCCGATGCATGGAACATAACTTATTATAAATGCTGTTGTTAATGAAGATTTCTTGTTTATTTCTCTTTGCAATGTGTTCTTAGGTGGGTATTTCCATGGGCGTAACCATTTAACATATGGAGTTGATGTTGGCAAGATACGTTGGCTAGGTGTGCTACAGGTACCATTATGGTTGATAGGTCTAGAAGTTTGTTTCATTTTCTTCTCTGGTTTTCATTATGAGTGATTTGGATATATGAAATGCCATAGCCTACTGTCATGATGCATGTTGAAAGTGTGCGCATGTAATCTTCAGAGGATATCAATTGGATATTTGCTGGCTTCAATCTCGGAGATCTGGCTTGTTAACAATATCATGGTTGACTCACTGGCTGATTTTGCTAGGAAATACTACACTCAGTGGTTAGTGTTGCTAGATATTTCTGTTGATGCTCATATTTGCAATTTAATCAGCATCTGTATCTGCCTATGTGAGACCAAAAGCATCACTTTTTAGGTTTACATATGTTTCCCTTTTTTCTGTTCGGTATTCTCGAGTTGTAACTTTTCTGTGTAATGCAGGTTGTTTGCTTTTGGATTGTGCTCGTTATACATGTGCTTTCTGTATGGCCTTTCAGTTCCAACTTGGGAATATGAAGCTCCGAGCATGAATTTGTCTGGTTTTGCTTCTGGTACTCAAATTGTGAGTTAAATTATTTATTCTCTGGATTACTAATTGCTGAGGTTATTAAGTATTGGTGCATGACTGAATTTGGTTGGTCCTTACTACAAGATTTCACCATTGCTATACATGTATTACCCCTTTGGTTGTCTGGAACTAAATTGAAACACAATATTTACTTAATAGGTTTATTGTGGAGTGAGGGGTAGTCTTGAACCTCCTTGCAATGCTGTTGGTTTTATTGACCGAGTTATTCTGGGTGAGCATCACCTTTATCAACATCCTGTTTACAGAAGAACAAAGGTCATTCTACTGGGCCTTCTTTGGTAACTGTATTATTGAATCTACCAAGGTTTGAACCCTGTACTAGTGCATTTTATTGTTGATAATTGAAAGATGTTAACCCTGTGTATCAGGAATGCAGCGTAAAGTCTCCTGACTATGGACCTCTACCACCTAATTATCCTCAGTGGTGCCTTGCACCATTTGACCCAGAGGGAATCCTAAGGTTAATTTCTGCAGTCCCTTTTATCTCTTGGCTTTTGCTACTGATCTTCACTGCCCATTTCTCTCTCTCTCTCTCTCTCTCTCTCTCTCTCTCACACACACACACACACACACACGCGCGCACGAACACACTCTGTAAATGCTAAAGAAGGTGATTTTATGTCGTTGTTAATGATTATTTAGAATTGGTCTTTCATTTTTTCTTATATAATAAATTTCCAGTTCTCTGATGGCTGCTGTTACTTGTTTTGTGGGATTGCATTTTGGGCACATACTACTGCATTTTAAGGTGTGATGTTTCTTGTTGCTGTATAACACTTACCTTTTGTGAGCTAATTGTGTCCACTTTTGAAATTATGTATTAGTTGTCTGGATTTTGCTCTTTAATGGAATTGTTTTCCTGACATGGATCCTGTCTATCGTAGGACCAAAAACAGAGGGTGCTGTTATGGTCCATGTCTGCTGTTCCTCTTCTACTATTCGGATATGTTTTAGTAATACTCGGTATTCTCTTTATTATAGTTATCTTTTTCATTCTTTTGTTTTGGTAAGGAGTTCCATTCTGTTTCCTCTGACTAATGGCAAGGTGTATCAGGTATTCCTTCCTGTAAACCTCTGTACACAGTGAGCTATGCATGCATTACAGCAGGAGTTTCTGGCTTGATCTTAAGTATTATATTCTACATCGTAAGTTCGTATTTCTCCGTACAACTCCTGATTAAATTATACTCCACATGAAACATGAAAGGATGAAAATAATCTCACCGTCACACCTCTAATACAGAGGTGATACACAGTATGGTCAGTTAAGAGAGGACAAATAGCAGTACTCAACATGAAATTTGTTCCCCACCATTGGTCTGACAATGACTAATAAGGAAAAAGGAGTGCTTGTCTATTAGACTTGCATATTCCTACTTTAAAATATCACCTTTCCCTAGGTGAGTTGATGGCTGGAAACACGTGCACTATCTATCTTCTACTGCTTTCTAAATGATGTTAGCATTGTGAAAATGAAAATGTGGTTGGAGTCAAATGAAACATGGTTATTTGTGGTTAATATTAACATATGGAAACTCAAATGGATTTACTGAATTTGGTTTGTGATGCACAATTTTGGGAGCGGATTTTAGTATTGACACAGTTGCAGACGTTTGATTGATTGTGCTTGATGTGCATAAAGATCCTTATGATGCAAAGCTTGGCATAATTTTGAATGATACTTTTGGAGGAAGAAGACACATTGCAGAATGCATTCAAAGATTAATGTGACTTCACCTAAATGCAGGTTGATGTGAAACATTTCAGAAAGCCCACAGTATTGCTACAGTGGATGGGAATGAATGCACTCCTTATATATGCTTTGGGTGCTTGTGACCTGTTCTCAGCAGGGTTGCAAGGTTTCTATTGGCGCTCTCCAGAGAACAACCTGGTAATCTTATCTTTCTTGTATGATGGAAAATAGAAGAGAAGAAACCTCAAAATTTTCCTTTGCCGTAATCTTTTAGTGTAAACTCATGGAGTTGGACATGTTGGTTTGTTGGATGGTTTGTCAAAATGGCTAGTTTCATACTAAATACTTAGGACTGAAATGTGACATGCAGGTTGATGGCACAGAAGCATTATTGCAGGCCATGCTCCACTCGAAGAATTGGGGTACCCTAGCATTTGTAATACTTGAGATTTTATTTTGGGGTCTTGTTTCTGGGTTTCTTCACATGAAAAGCTTGTATATAAGACTATAAAAAGATTCCAGTGTCCCCTGTAGTAACAAAATTTTAGCTTTTACATGATTACGAGTCAATTGTGTTTTGTGCCAGGTATGTATAAAATTTATCTGTTGTTTTTGAAAGTTTTAAGACTGATGTCCTATCGTTTTCTTTTATCAAATCAGAAATCTGCTGTTAGTCCCTAAAGTATTTTTGTTTTCTGCTAATAAATTGTGTAACGAAATTGCCCTCGTGCTCAGAAGTTGTAATCACTGCTTCACTAATAGCTAGGTTCGAGGGGTATAGTGACCAAGTGCAAGCGATCCAAGCCCTCCTCTTAGCTTAGTGCAGTGGCTACTGACACAAAGGTTATCAAATCTTCCTACACTTTTTTTGGTTGGTCTAAAATGTTTGTGGGATAGACTTAACATTGTTATTTGTAGAATAAGCCATCCTACCATCGATTCATTTCCTTTTGTGGGCAACAGAAAATTAAATCTAGTGCAAAATTTAGAGACAGTTCACGTGGCGTCAGCTTCTTACCCTCTATTTCTTTTAAGTTTATCGAAATGACCTTGTTCATCATTTGTCAAGAAATATCAAATTCTAGAAAATACCTTGTTCAGTTTTGGAGCTTCCAAATCATACATTTCTGATGATGCAGAAAAAGCAGACGGCTCGCGGAAAGTGATAGGAGGAACAAACAGCTTTTTCGAGTTATTCTATAGTGAGGGGTCTTATCTAAGGAGTTTAGATGAGGTCCCATCTCTTAACCGTGTTGAAACGGTTAAGAAACTGCCTTACATAATTAAGGCCCTCACCTCACTATAGAATTCTAGCAGCTTCTTCACCATACTTGACAAGTTGACAAGCATGGCCCAATGCCGACATAAAGTCATACGACATGAAACTGAGCCCTTTTGGGATAGAAAGATAAAGAGAAACTAAGGGGTCATCTCTGTCTTTGCAAAAGCTCCCAATGAAGAAAAAGAAATTATTAGGATAATGTATGTAGATTAAAGGAGTTGGTATGCAGCTAGCCAGGTGCTTTGGTATAATTTCTTCCTTCTTTTGAAAGAGATAATATAATATAACTTACTAGTTGGTGAAAGAGATTAGTAACAATGAGAGAGAATTAAAGGGTTTCCCTTTCGGCCACGACGACACAACTTTAACCCAAATCAAGATTCGTGAGGTAAATTAAATTAGAGAGTGTTAATGACGTAATTAATAAAAGAATCTTCTTTCTCGAATTTCCAAACCAAAAGCTTCAATGTATATAAAGTTAGGGGTGTCTATCTGGCTTAATAACATAGTGAGGTGGATATGAGCAGTGAAAATGAAAACGCAAGTTGTGAGGTTTTAGAGAGAGAAAATGGAAGAACAAGTACAAGAGATGACATTTCCAGTTTCGGAAAAGCACTTGCATCGAGAGCCATTTATGGTTCAAGCAGCAGCAGCAGCAGCAACCGCCGCACTGGAAGCAGCAGGGAAGCCAGAACACAACCCAGTAGGCTAAGTAAGGTTTCCTTGGCTGACGATCCCAATATTAATTCACAATGACACACGGGTTCAGGTTAATTAGGGGGAGAAAGAATTCAATTGAATTAACAGCCTCCATATCTTCTCTTCCAAATTAATTAGTTAATGTCATTTAGCATTTTCACCTATAGCCTGATATATATTTCTCTTGTTGCAAGACAATTTGGTAATAAGACAATATTTTTTTCTGTGTTCTTGTAATATGCATATTTCGAAAGTTTGATTTATCGTCACCAGGAAAGGGTTGGATAGTATTTATTTAGGTGGTTTTACTGCCATCTTTGACAGATTGTAATTCTACATGATTACCATTGCCAGGGTTCGTTTTATCCCCAGCTAGTCGTCATATCGATAACCCAATAATAATAATAATAATAAATAAGATTGCCTAGTTTTATCTTCTTCCTTTTGGTCTGAGATGAGATATATAATTTATTGGCTAGTTTTGAATGAAGGAATACATTGAAAAGAGGGAGGCGTAACTATTTTCTAAAATTTATTTATGCATATTTATGTCTAGATTTCCAACTTTTTGTGTCAAACTTCGTATTGTAGTGTTGTTTTTTAAAATTTATTTATGTTTATTTAGTACAAACTTAATGGTATTTTCTATCGAATTGAATTCTATAGGATTATCATACAAACCATCCAATCCAATGTATTCGATCTTGACATCCAAACACATTGGATCGAATTGTAAAATCTCAAATTGATAAAAATTCATTGATTTCGAAATTACTGTCCAACAAGTTTTAGTGCAGCTTTTGTCCGCGTTAGTTTTGCTTTTAACAAGTTAGTTTGTTGCCCTCTTGGAATTGATATTTTAGATGTCTTGTTGATGTATTTAATTCTACCGTTGAAGTTTTTCTAATAAAGTTTTTATTAATAAAAAAAAAAAAAAAAAAAAAAAAAAAAAGGCAGAAACCGATGTTGTCTGCAAGACCAGACCACAAGTGCGTGCAGCGTCAAACCAACAAACTAAGAAAATACATGTACATCTCGCACAACACCTACACTACAGGCATGACCTAGAGTCTACAATAGTATGACTAGAAGAATTGTTTTGTCGTTTAGTTTGGCTTGCAATTAAGTCCGAATCATGAGCTTCATGAAATACAATCCTCTAAATTGTTGTATTTAACCGAAAACACAATCAATCCTTCTAATTTTGCACTTATATTCGTGTCTTATTTATCACGTATTTGTGTTTTGTTTTTGGTAAGTCAAAATACGGATCCTTGATTGAGTTTAGATCAAACTATTTATATTCGTACGTCTTTTGATTCCAAGCCCAACCAAAGAACAATCACGGACAGTACAGGACAGGACCCAACAACATGAGTCTTTGAGCTACACTCAATAACCCCCGTAAATGCGAAGAAAAATACGTCCTCATATTATACATGGACTTCCCAGTAGCGCACCTCGCAGTCGCAGACTATAATTGGTACCAAAGTTATATTAAAATCAAATAAAAGATAGATTGAACATTATTCAAACTTTTCTTTTTTCTTTTTCTTTTTCTTTTTTTGGTTCCCGAAATTACGTACAATACACGCACCAGCTAGCTAGCTATAGCTAGGTACGTAGCCCATATATATATATATATATATAAATATGGGTACTTATACATATGTATAATTAAGGAACCCAAGTTAGCCAACGTGAATGCATGCAAATGAAGGTTGCACGTAAGTGCATGCTTTGCTTTGCGCATGCATGTCCTTTCCTAGTCGAGTTGCAGCCATGCATATTACTGAGGATGAGGGAAGGAGCGCTTATATATCATGACCCAGGCGAAGGCGAAGCAACGTACATATATACCTGCATGCATGATATATGCGGGCATGGATATGTATGTATGCATGCATATTATAGTACTCGCTAGGTACACGGATGGATCGATCTCAACTGGTTGACCTCCGAATGGTGTCGTTGCAACTCAGATGGACGGAATCCAAGCGATCCAAGCGCTGAAGCCTCATCTGTTGATAGAATTGAGCGATAAACTCCTCCGCCTTTGCGTCAATGTTGGCGTTGACGATGGAGGCGTTGTCGTTGTCTTCGTCGGTGCGGTCTAGCTCTTGGAGATTGACGGCAGAGGCGTATCGGCTAGTCATGCCATCTTCGGAGGAGAGGTCGTCGGTTCTCGCCGGAGACATGGGTGGAGGGAGCACGTCCTCGTATCGTTCACTTGGAGCAGGTGTGTGTACGGAGGATGGCGGCGTGGAGTTGCTGGTGGTTTGGAGGTGCAAGGGGCGGATGGACCCTACGAGGCGCTTCCACGTGCCTTTTGTTGAGGTCACGGCTTGAGCTTGACCTTCGAAGGAGGTGGGTTTGGATTTTCTATCTGAACGATGTCGTCGTCGGAGCATAAAGACGGCCAATTGGAGAATGTGCATAGCTCCTCCACTACGCTTCTTCTTAGGTGCAGGTGCAGCGGCTGAGGTGGGGCCGACATCATGATGATGATCATCAGATTGATGATCATGATGATGATGATCAGATTGATGATCATGAGCCGCCTCCTTAATACTAGTATGATCAATAATATCCGTAGGAGTAGGACTAGGACGGGGACCCTTGTTGCTGTCGGCGATGGTGATGATCACGCTGTCTGACTTGGGTTCCATTAATTAATGTATATAGTTTGTGTTAAGGGCCGTGCCTAGGTGCAACGGGCGCCTGTGGTCGTCTTCTTCTTCTTCTTTATCCCACGGTCAGTCGGGATGTCCCCTCTCCCTGCAGCGAGCAGGGTGAGATGTGGGAGAAGACTTTGGTGGGAAAGGTTGGAAGCAACCAGGCTATATACAAAATGAATGTCCGACATGGAGGGATGCTTGAATCTGGCATCTATATATGAGCATGAGGTAGCTATAACTACGGAACAAATACTGTTATATATAGCCGTGACAAATTCTAACATGAATGGATGGAGGAGGTTAATTCGTTTTCCATATATACTAATTGTTAGTTATGAGCACTAGTAAGGCGTTGTTTACTTGATTAATTTTTGATTCGTTAATGTAAGCCAAGACAAACGGACTCACTCAAGTTAATCATATTAATGTTTGTTTGAGCCAAACAAATCATAAAATTAATGAAGAGAAATTCATGGAGAGAAGAGCGAGGCTCAGGCAGGGATATGTCTTTGATGCCAGCAGGAGGTGCCGCAACTTTCTCATTTGAACTGGTCCTCCACATATATCTCTCTCTCTCCATGAATTTCTCTGTTTTCATTTTTGCCAAACGATCCAACAGCTATGAGTCTATGACTATGAGATAGGGCCCATAACTGAACACGTTTTTTCTTCAAGTGGTTGAGCAACTTTGCTACAGACTGTACAGTGAGAATGACAGAATGAGTTGCTGCTCATTTACTCAAATTCGTGTTACATATATATATATGTGTGTGTATTATGTATCTACACTATATAGTATCCCAAACATTGCAATAATTCCCACAGATCTGATCTGAGTCTCCAATGAAGTATTTGTAAAATTAGCCAAAAGAAATATTATATAGGTAGCCAAATTAGCCCAAAGGAACAAAAGTCATAAAATAATTAAATGTGAGTGGTATGCAAGTCAGTCACCACCACATCCACATGAATCACAGATGAAAGACAGCTTTTCAGTCTAAGATTGTTGTGAGCTCATTCACATTACACAATTAAATATTACCAAACTAATTTGAATTCGAATATATAATTAAAATTAAATGATGAATTACTAGAACACGTCGGTAACACGGTTTGAGTACCCTCTCAACTCAACTCTCTCTCTCTCCTCACAAGTCTTTTTTTTTGGGGGTCAATTCTCCACAAGTCTTTGATTGTGAGAAGGTTTCTTAACGGTTTAACTGTAAATAAATATAAAAAGTAGACTTACATTTTGGTACCTTACTTTTACAAAGAAAGTCTTTTGGCTTTCATTTAATTAATTAATTAATTATGGGAATTGAAATAAATTAAGTTTTCCGGTGTAATTTGTTTTTTTGAGAGAAGGAAACAAACAAGGAAACGGTGGTCACTAAGGAAGGTTCCAGCAAAATCCAACTAATTATTAAAAGGAATGGAAAGGAAGAGGCGTTGATGTTGATGTTGATGTTGATTTTGATATTGGCTGGCTTGGCGTGTGTTGGTGTTGGCGTTGGCGAGGCCCAAATAATTGGCATTGACCTTTTCCAACGGCTCTTTCTTAGCTTAATTAATTAGGTTGTTCTTGCTCATCTTTCCGTTTCCCTTTTCTATTTTTTCATCACTGATTTTGATAACATTATTACTCAAGTAATTAATATGGGCGCTTGCCGCTTGCAGTGAGGATATTTCTTGGAGGGAGGGAGGGAGGGGTATATTTGGAAACCAATCAACTGCTTTGATTGATCATTGATCATTGATCATTGACGCTTGATCCTCTCCTTTCCTCTCCCGCGTATAAGTTAACAGCCGTGTGTGTGTGTGCGCTCAACCCAACAGTCGCAATCGAGTTCCCACCTTCCACACTCTTTCAATTTCGAGCAATCACACACACCAATCATCAAATTCATTAATTAAAGACCAAATAAACAACAATTAAACTCTCTCTCTCTCTCTCTCAAGCAAAGTTCACCATACGCGTTCAAGTGATTATGAAGATTCCATATTAATATAAACACTAGTCCTATATACATATATATAGAGGTACCTCCTGTCCTGTGACTCCTCATCACTTAGTCTTCATATCTTCCGAACCAGATACAAAATCAAATCAGCTTTTCTCATTTGTCTTTCTTTCTTCCCACCCACATTTTTGTATCATCAGCTACCTAATTAAGCACCTTCTTTTTGCACCAAATCATCAAGCTACGTACTCAATTGTTGACGATCGATATAATGATGAAGATGTCCAAGAAATCTATTAATGGTGATCATCTTCATCATCATCCTGATGTGGGTCGTAGAGCATGGAAGCAGCTGCGTCTGGCATTGCTTTGGGCAAGAAAAGGCGGTGTCTTCAGACGACGCCTCATGATGGAACTGCGGGTCGTCCCCAACTTCCTCAAGAGCCTTGCTCATCATCATCATCATCGCAATGATAATCAATATTACTTCGAGCGTCAGCTGTCCTTCGACAAGACCCCCATTTTCCCAACCCTCAAAATGAACCGTCGAACATCCTCCTCCTCCATGCGCTTCATTAATATCCCTTGCTTAAACCCACCATTAGTACTGGATTTTGATGATCATCATGAAGTCGACATGATCATTAATAATCATGATCAATTAGATGATGAAGAAGATGATGATGATGATGATGATGAGGGAATGATAACTGAAGATAGTACTACTATCAATGTGCATGAAGAAAAGGGATGTGCAGATTATGAGGACGAATTGGTTGATATAAAGGCGGATGAGTTCATAGCTAAATTCTATCAGCAAATTAAGCTCCAAAGACAGATTTCATACCTACACTACTCCTCTAATACTACTATACACTCAGACGCATGCTTAATTAATATATAATACACACACCACACCGTCCATCCCAAATTTCCCTCTTCTTTTCCCATTGTTTCTTGTTTTCATTGTATTTTTTAAAAGAGGCAATATTATGGCGGCATTTTTGTAGATTGACAGGTTAATTAGAGTGTTTCCAACAATATTAATATTAATAAATACAGCTTTGCAGTTCATAGTCTCTTCTCTTCTTTGTTTTATTTTCTTTCACAAACGATATTGGAGGAAGGCAAATTCAAACACATAACCTTGGATAGATGCAAATTTTGAAAAACTACTCTTAACCACTTGAGAACTACCAAGTCTCTTAATTCGTCTTTTTATTTTGAACATGGTTAAGAATCTTAAAATGGAACGAAATTGAACGCCCATATGATCATGATTCATGTGCTAACAGACTACAGCTCCTATCCTAATGTATCAGTCTTCCTTTCGCGCATACAGAGTATAGTGTGAGTGTGCGGCATCAACTGCAACATTGTACAATCATTTGGCCTTACTAAAGTAAAGAACGTTACACGTACATTTTCTATTTGACAAATTAAAAACAAAATCAAAATATTTTAAAACAATAATCTGTCATTTGTTTTGGGTTGAACCAAATGCCTGCATATTTTAAGTGCGAATAGATGATGAAAAGAAAATCCCAAGAGTTACAGAAATCCTTCCAAAAAATAAGAATTTGAATAAGCTTTGAACTGAACAGCGCGATAAATCGTGTAACCACAGTCACATAAGATGCTAGCTCAGCAATCAGGATCCACTTTCATCGTAAACTTCCATGTATTTATCCACCATCGTACGGCAATCCCTATTTGAGTTTGAAGTTATGTAAGTGCACTGATCAAAGTAACAAAATTAGATAAGACATTAGCTTTTACTACACTAGGCAGCATCCGCATCCGCATTCAAATCTACCTTGAAAAATTGATCTGGGAATATTGAGACAGCAACTCAATGCTGTCAACTTGTATTTGGATGCCGGTCAAGATATGTTTCCAACTGCCCTGTTGCTGCCAAGATAAGACCTAGAATTGCAATGTCACAGATGTCAAATGAAGTACAGAGACTTAACGACTTGATAGAGCTTCACTGAATGTAAATGGGAATTGTAAAGAGACAATCCGTAATGCACTTCGAAACAAGCATGGCCCAAGTTCTATATCAAACACTAGAGATACAGCAGAGAGACATAGTAATTCAAAGATGCATGTTGCAGCATATACGTGTCTCCCAGTAATAACAGGAAACGCGAGTATATGACATCTAAAGCTCACTTGTTTGTACTAGTACCTAAAAAGAGAGCTGAGGGCTTCCCAGGCCGTGATTTAAATTCCGGATGAAATTGCACTCCTACATAGAATGGATGGCTTGGAAGCTCTAAAATCTGCAGAACAGAAAAGTAACACAAATCGTGTAAAGAGTCAAATATTCAAATTCAATCCTTTTCAGTAAATGGTAAGAAAGGATTGTGTGCAACTATAACCAAGTAAATTATGACAAATGCTCACTACCAGTGAGCATAAGACCAGCAGAAAACCCACCTCCATTCGTCTTCCACTGTCATCCTTCCCTACAAATTTTAGGCCCGCTTCTTCAAGAATTCCAATAACATCTGGGTTCACCTGCATCATGATGGAATCAGACCATGTCCACCACAGGCACTTGTGAAAGATCATGTTTCACCTGAACTAAATTACAACCAACCTCATATCTATGCCGATGCCGTTCATCCACATACTCTGAGTTATGGTACCTAGAAATTGATAGCAATAACAGATTACACATGTTAAAAGTGGATGCTAATAGTGGAAAACTAAGAAGTTTCAAAGTGGTGGTCTTCTGGGATTAGTTTTGATATAAGCAGTCACAGATACAACACATAGTTGAGATGTCAGGAAAGACTTCCTGGAAAATAATAAACTAGCCAACAAAGTTCAAGAGTTTTACAGTATCAATGCAATAAAGGTAAAAGTTCAATTGCGTGTGCCATGGGTTCTTCCAGACCGGCAGTGTTTGAACACATGGCACCCGAATTGACTTTACTGTATAAATGCAACAAGGTAACTGAACTTATAATTTGAATTTTCAGTAACACACAGGTTATTTGTTGTATTTCTCAAGTTGAACATAGTAATTGATAATGAACATACAGCTTTGAAGTAATGCAATCAGGAGTCTGGAAAAGTGTTCTTCTGGATCCCAGTCTCATTGTGCTTCCCATATGCGTTCTTGAACCCTATATGCAGACATAAAAGAATGAACTATCACGGGAAGAATGTTGCAGCCATATGTATTTCATAACTGAATAGGAAAGCATCACCATAAATTTTTACCTCGGGCATAAAAACTACAACAGGATTTGGTGTATGTTCATCGAACTCTGTGCTGTCCGCCCTTTCTAAACTCAAAACCTAAAACAAGTAATTAAATTAGGGCTGATATACGATCTTAAAATTAGAAGAAAACATGTTAGTGAAAGAAATGTCACGTACGGATCTTGCGAACTCAATCACGGAAATCTGCATGCCCAAACAAATCCCAAGATAAGGAACATTGTTCTCTCTGGCATACTTTGCAGCTAATATCATACCTTTCACACCACGATCTCCAAATCCGCCAGGAACCAAGACGCATGCAGCATTCTGCAAAATGTAGAATAGATCGAAACATAATTACCCAGACCCTCAACTGTACTTGTGAGGGGATGATAATTTAGCTTAAAGCATACCTTTAGAGTCTCCCATGCAGCAGCATGTGCTTCTGGTGTCTGTGGGAGAAAGACAAATCTAAAGCAAAGATAATATGAACATGATATTAAAGCAAATCAGCACAAATGATGTGGTTCAATACCAGTTTGGCACTGTCATCTTCAAGGTCAGAAGCGGCAATCCAGTCAATTGATGGCTTTAAAGAACATGCGACGCAAGCATGCAAAAGGGCCTGCAAGAAAGTTTAGCCGTCATAATACAACAGACGTATAGTTGGCGATTTATTAACAAAAAAATAATCTAACAAGCATGTACGGCACAAAGCAACAGGGAGACATAGTAGCATTAACTCATATATTAACTGAATGTTATATGAATAACTAAATTCTAAGGTCTAAACTAGAGATCATATACACCATCTATCCAGCCAACGAAAAAATAGATCAGAAGTTAGCATCACACCTTCACTACAGATAGATATGAATCTGTAAGGCCAACATACTTCCCCACCATGGCAATCCTCACCTGCAAATATCAACAGATTATCATCTGATGAATCAAAAAATAAAAGAGATAATGTTCCAACATAGAGCATTGCACACTTATCTAATAACACTCACAGAATTTGTGAGATTATCGTAAGTCTCTGCCATCTTGGTCCAGTCTCTTAAGTCAGGAGGCATAGCAATGCTGAAACAGAACATTAAACACCAGTAACTTAACATAGCCAACCTTCCTGTAATCTATATATGTAGAATTTCGAGCATCATAATGAATCACAAATGTAGTCAACAATCACAATTGCAATCATTAGAGAGGGAGAGAGAGCACAAATATCAATTAAAGGAGTCCAAGACAGGCATAATTCTACGGAGAGATTGCTTTGTTCTCATTACACAGGAAGAATTTTAAACAGGCTGATGCTAATTATCAGTCCAGCACCAAAATTGAAGCCTTAAATCTGAAGTAAAGGTGAAACTTACCTTAGTAAATTTAGTTGTTGAAGAATTGAATGATGAGCATTTTGGTTCTGAACAGCAATGTGTCAAACAATAGTTAGAGCAAAACTTTAGACAAAATGTAAAATAAGTATTTAAGCCTCCAAGGAGACAAAGAATTGTTATTTAACCCACCCTAAGTAAGAGAGGAACATGCCAAATGTTTGGTACATCATGGATATTGAGAATATTACCAGCCTGTAAGAAAACAAAAAAGAAAATATAAAACTTGTACTCAAGAAAACAAAGTTTGATGAGAAAAAAACCCAAATAGGATTAAGTCAGCAACTTACTGCAACATGACAAAATTGTGAAAGTTTCTCCTTCGTATTTTCCAATAATGGCTGCAATATAGTCACACACAAAAAAATCATCTCCACCAAATTTAATCTTGACAAAATAATGATAGAATAAAATAGAGAGGGAGTCAGGTGGCCACACTGCACCAATATGAGGTGTCCATGCAAGAATTAAATGGGACCAAATGGAAGTTCTCAGGCTAAATTTATCTGCTCATTTGACTTGTGTGAATGTAAGAACAAGATAGATGAAAAGAAGTACCTGCGCAGAGCGACATGCTAATAGATGAGGAGTCAAGCCTAATGCTCTTAGTTCCCGCACACTATGTTGTGTAGGCTTTGTTTTCTACATGAACGCACACACACACACACACACACACACAAAGAGAGTAAGAGTCAGTCACCCAGAAAAAAAAAGAATCAAATTCTTCAAAAGATATAGTCAACTTTAATATCTAAGATTACAAAATACTATAAGTAACTAATGAGGAAACATAACATTCAACAATTAAGTACAGAGTCTTACTTGCTCTCCAACAACACCCAGTACCGGGATTAGGCTCACATGAATAAGACAAAAGTTTTCTTGCCCTGAGGAAAGAATTAAATACACATAAGCAGTTATCAATAACACAAAGAAAGTTCAAATCCAAGAGTATATAAACTCCATATGGAAATAATTGGTTACTTTTAGTTCTGGATATCCCACATTCCAATACATCTATACACCGGAAAAAGCAGAGCAGCAAGCTTTGGATGAAGTTTAAACGGTGGAAGTATAGCGAGTTTATTAGCGCTCATAACATATTGGACCAACAATCTAAACATGTCCTTATCAGATCTCACTGCACATTCCTACAGCAGTAAATGGATAATCTACTTTGACCACACAGCATAAAAACACAATCAACAATCTGAATCAAGCATGTGGGCGAAGAAATGATCTCATAAATAGAACCATTAAAATTCCTATAAAAAAAAGCATATACCACAACCTTACCAACTGAAAAAGACAATTGGCGCAGAGCCTCAATGAATGGCATGGATTCAATGTCACCTAAGAAGAAAGAAAATAGTTAGCTCTTGCACATAAACACATAGAAAGAACAATGAGTCATATAAAGTATCTATGTTTTAACAATCGCTTACCCACAGTCCCACCCAACTCTATAACACAAACATCTGCAGGGCCCTCTTTTCCATCGACAGGAATGAGAGAAACTGATTCGATCCAGGTCTTAATGGCATCAGTGATGTGTGGAACAACCTAAATCGACTCAAACATGGCAGGAAGCCGGTCATCAGTACTGTATGCAAGTGATAACAAAAATAAATTAAAAAAATAAAGTTATGATTCATTAACATTTGTAATCTTGTATCATCACCTGAACAGTCTTTCCAAGGTAATCGCCTCTCCGCTCCTTATCCAGGACAGACTGATTTCAAAAGTAAAATTGAGGAAACCCATTAAAAGACAAAATCAACATTTCATGAAGAGGGTAGATGGAGACACATCCCTGTTAGGAAAATATAAGCACACACCTGATATATCTTCCCAGTGGTAATGTTGTTGTCCCTAGTAAGAGTGACATCTAGGAATCGTTCATAGTTGCCGAGGTCTAAATCAACCTATAACGATTAAAGTTTAAACTCAGGCTCAGCAGCAGCATAAAACATAAAGATAGTATTTCAGAGGCAAGGTGAAGTATTACGTACTGTCTTGGCACTGGTTAAGTGTATGATAAATATTTAAACAAAAAAAGGAAAAAAAGTCCAAAGCGAAATACCTCTCCACCATCATCGAGAACAAAAACCTCGCCATGTTCAAAGGGAGACATGGTGCCAGCATCTGTGTTCAAGTATGGATCTGCAAATTGTTGAACCAAAATCAAATTAATAAAGAAAAAAATTGAAGCATTTATAATAGAGATAGTAAGAAAGAAAGCGAAAAAAGAAAGAAGAAGAAGAAGAAGAAGAAAACCGATTTTGATGGAGGTGACGCGAAGGCCACAGGCTTTGAGGACGACGCCGATACTGCTGGCAGTGACGCCTTTGCCCAGCCCACTCACCACACCACCTGTTACCAAAACGTACTTCATTCTATCCTACTCTTCCTGCCTCACACACACACACACACACACTCTCTCTCTCTCTCTCTCTCTCAGACACTCTCTCAGTCTGTGTGTGTGTCTGGCTGCAGAATTGAATTTGGAGTTGTAAACGTTTTGTTTTGTTTTGTAGGCGAAATGTTTGTGTTTATGTCTGAGCGGGAAACGTTATATGGCGGTCAAGTCGCTTTCGCTCGCTCGCTCGCTCGCTCTCTCTCTCTCTCTATGCTTTCTTCGTACACAAAATTACTTGTGTTGTTGACATCTGTTTTTATCCTCTGCCAGTGCCATTCGAGAGGGGTCAAAATTAAAATTGGAAGAAATAAAAGATTAATTAGCAAGAATAATAATATGAATAAAGTAGGCTCTTCCTACGCTTGGTTCATTTTCTTTTATTTGTAAATTTATATATGGGTGGTGCTAGAGGCACCAACTTGGGCATCAACTCTCTAATAGAGGTAGAGTCCGCCAATACACTGGGTCCTACGCTCTATTAGAAAGTTGGTGTCCAAAGTTGGTGCCTCTAGCATTTTCCTTTATATATATAGCCTATAGGGAGGGAGGGGACTCAGGGAGGGGTTGGGTGGTTCATTTATTCCGTTTGCATAAAAACCTCATCTTTCTTCTGTTGCGTGGTGTTGCTTTAATCTAAAAATGATGCATTAGTAAGTGAGGGAGGAATAAACCCGGTTCCCAGTTCCCAGCACCCAAAAAACACACACACCACAACGGGGGATCTTCTTTTATTAGAGGAGGGGCTTTGGAGGAAAGGAAAGGGCATATGCCTTTTAGAGTGGCCTTTTTGTCTTTTTCTTGTTTTGCTTTTTTGGGGGTTCATAAATTATGAAAAATCCAATCAACTCGTTCTTTTGTATGTAGCCCAGCCCAGCCCAGCCCATTGGATCTTCATTCATTTCGGTCTCTTGTGTAGCCCAGTGGATGCCAAAATTTTGTTGTGGTTGTGAAGGAAATAGGCGACGTCGTTTCGTGCTCCCTTTTATACGAATCTCGTGCAGAGGAACAGAATACTAGACATGAATTCTTGGAGAGGGAGGAGGTTGGTTTGGTACTTGGTAGAGTAGTAATCCAATGCGTCCAGAATCGAACTCAGCTGGAGCTGCAGAATCTTCATCATCATCAGCAGCAGCAGCAGCAGCTTCCGCTGCATCATCATCTCCATCTCCATCTGGAAAGCGGAGCAGAGATCCTGAAGATGAGGTTTACCTTGACAATTTCCACTCGCACAAGCGTTACCTCAGCGAGGTTTCTTTTCCTTCATTCTTTATCATTTCATCATTTTGATTTCATTGCCGTACATATGTTTGCTTGTGCTTTGCTTTATTTAACCTCTTCGTCGTCTGTCGTCTGTCGTCTGTCATCTGTCTTCTTATAATTTATTTGATGGAATCATACATAAAGGACTTTTCTTTTTCTTTTCAAGTTTGAAAATTTACTGCTTCTGACTCTGACTCTGATTCATTCATGGGTCTTCTTCAAGGAATTTTCTTCATTTGGAACTTTATTTTTTCATTAATGTTTTCAAAAATATCTACAGTTACTAGACCATTTCTGGCATGATGATATTTCCTTAGTACCCTTTTCAATCATCAGAGCGTCACATGCCATACTTTCCTCTTCACATATAACTTATGCGCATATGAATAATCAGTCTTTGATCCTTCATTTCCCTCACAACTCGTTTCTTGTGCAGATTATGGCATCCAGTTTGAATGGACTGACAGTTGGAGATCCACTCCCTGAGAATCTCATGGAATCTCCAGCAAGGTCTGAGACCATGTTTTATCCAAGGTAATTTCTTATGTAACACTTTTATCAAACTTTTCTGTCAATTACTTGTATCTGGTTTTGGAAACTACTCCGTCCCACATATGATAACTATGCTTATTCTCGTTATTTCATTATGCAACTTTTTTTTAATCATAACTTTCTGCTTCAGACTGTACGTTTAAGTTGGAGGGAGTAGTAGGTTGTCAAATATCTATTGTTAAAACATTTTCACATTTTGGTCAGCAGACTCGTTTCTCATGACTCAGATTCTTGCCTAGTTTTGATTGGTGTTATTGCATTTACCTAAATTTCTATCTTCTTTTGTCTTTTCTTTGATTACTTTCTTCTTTTGTTCTTATCTTTTTCCCTGCAGTTGGTGATATCATATGACTCAAACAGAATAGGCCATCTTATGGTATAGGTTCGATTGGATGTTGTTATGATAGACTCACATTACCTAGCGCTTGCAAGAATGTAATCATATTTCTTAGTATATTGAAGCCAGTTTACTTTGGGCCTTTTGCTTAGGTGGTAAAACCAGAAGGGTGAATTTGGTTTAGGTTTTAGTGCTACAGAACAATTGGAGGGGAAAACTTCAATCCAAAGACTGTACTTGATATGGCTGCAAACCGAAACTACATACTTTGAAGATTTCTTGGCATGCGAATATAGTAGCAATCACATAAAATTTTCTGTCTTCACTCATCTAAATGCAAGATTTGCTAGACAAGTGGACAGCTTGAAGTATATAGCCAGATATAAGACACTAGCATCAATGATTTTGAGCGACCCCTCACCAAATCTTATCTCATTTCCCTCAAGTCATTGGTTTCCACTTTAAACACGAGTTCTCTTAATAATCATGTGCTTTGCTTTCTCCATCTTGCTCCTTCCTAGTAAAGAGAAAATTTGACTTCCTTTATTATGCTGATTTTTCATTAATTTTTCACAACTTTTTGTTTCCAGGGATGAGATGTCGTTACAATATTCACCCATGTCAGAGGACTCGGATGACTCTCGATTTTGCGAGAACCCCGTAAATACTTGCTCCTCCCAACCTGACAGTGTCCCCTCTAGTCCGGTCTCTCCATATAGGTACCAAAGACCACTTACTGGGTTTCCTTCCACTTGTTCAAGTACTTCACAGTCTTCACATGGCTGCACCGTCACTAATTTTAACTGCTCGCAGCCTCGTCAACGAGGCTCTGATTCAGAGGGACGATTCCCATCATCACCTAGTGACATTTGTCACTTTGCTGACTTGAGGAGGGCTGCACTCTTACGGTCCGTGCAGATGAGAACACAGCCATTTGCCCCACCTTCTGATGACATGGCATTTAGCTCCGGGCAAGAGCCTGTATCCAACATTGAAGCTGAAGAGCGGTCGTGCCCCTATATGAAGTCTTTAGTTGATGAGAGGGAATATCCAATTGCAGAGTGTTCTTCTATGGGTATCTCAGAGCCTGATTTTAAACAAGAGAAATCATGCAGGATGTTGGATATGGATGAGAAAGGAAATCATTCTGCAGATTAAGTTCTTCAATGATGTTCAGAGAGATATTGCTTGATTTGTAGAATCTTGAGTGCAAGATGAGCATTTTTTAGGTTTATCCTAGTTGCATATGAAGAGAAAGGCCATGCATGAATCAGATTTTCATTGCGTTCTGTCTGGTACATTTTCTGCAGTCAAATGTAAAAGAAGTTGCATTGTTTAGTCCCTTCCCTTATGCTAGGGACAGCTTAACTAACGCACCTGAGATTTTTGTACATTATTCGTGTAAATTGTTTGATATTGTTAACTTAACATCGTCAATTACATATCTGATTTCACTTCTTTGATTGTACCGTTGAAGTATATCTAATGAAGTTTCTATTTGATTATAAAAAAATTAAAAAAACACGATGTTCTTGAATTTTAAATCAACTGCAAAGAGGCATAGGCGGATGAAGTAACAAATATGGGGTTATATATCTCCTTCGAAAGAAGCAACCATTTTGTCCATAAAATAATGACTCATAAGTACTTACAATGATTAAACTCCATTAAACTTTATAATCCAAAATACCAAGAACGTGCGGCCAGTCAATCCTAAAAATTATAAACCAAACCCAAAGTCAGCATCTATTCATAATTCTCTTAATATCCACTGTGTAGTGCATTATCCATGGTATAGTTTCTCAGCTGTCACCGTTAGGAATACTACTGCTTCTGTCCGGTTGAGCCTCAAGATGCAACAAGGCATTATGCAGATACTCCAAGTCTTCTACGCACACTGTCTTCACACTGATTTGGCTTCTTAGGTCACCCAGATGACGGCTTACATCCAGTCCCAAATCGCAGTTAGCATTGATTTTCTTGCTCGTCACTGCAGGGGCGGAGTCTCTTGAATGTAAGTTAGCTGACCATTTGTGATCATTCACGACCATCTGATTCAACCTGTCAACCATAGTTCATATATATATATATAAATAAATTTTAAAAAGCAAAGAAAATAACCCAGGGGCATATGATTGACACCACCATCATCTCCATATGGTACCAACTACATTTTCTTTAGTTCACTGAAACCTGAATCTCTCAAATCAATTTCTACGGTAAAGTTCACACTAGGGTGGAAGTTCAAGAGAAAAGATGATATCTAGTCCAGCATGTAGTACTTTAAAAAATGCTGTAACGCACTCTCCCATCCATATATACAAGCAAATATGTATCCAGAAAAATTACAGCGAAAATAGTTCATCACAATGCAGTAGTCGTATGTATCTATATGTCTCTAGTACTTTGCAGATTAAAAGTGGCTGATGCAATGGCTATTGATAAAGGGACAATGCAAACACAATCTAGAATGATGAAATGCAAGTATTTTCTTACTTTCTAATTAAACTTTGTATGCCCATGTTGTCTTTCACGCTAAACAAGGCATCCACTGCATCTGCTTTTGTCCTCACAACCCCCTCCAAGCTACCACAGGACATGCACATTGAGTATACTGCAGAATCACTTGTCTCCGAGTTTATGTTGGTAATTCTAATGGTAACTTCCTCTTGGTCATCTGGTCGATGAATTGGAAGATCAAAGCCTTCTGTAATAACCTCAAGATCCAAACTTGCTCTCCTGCTTGATTCTACGCTCTCGAAACATGCACATTAATTAATTATCAGGCAACCACGGAAAAAGAAGGTGGGGATTGGGGTTCAAAAGTAGCTGATAAAGCATGTGACATGTTCGTAAAAGCTGAGAAGACCTCTGTCAACAGGGAAGGTTGATTGCAGAAGGTATGTTCTCAATGGTAATAGGTCGGAGGCATTATGTGGTTAAGAATAGATCTGAAAAATTGATCCAGATATCAAGCTAAGATGAATAGTTGGAGAAGAGTTACCCCGTTTAGAGGAAACATCTTTCGAGCTGATGCTGCTTTTTGAAGGCTTTCCAGACGATTTTTTCTTACGATTAGTTTTCTGCTTCAAATGACAATTTCAAACATGACTATGATTAAATTCAGTAATAATCATGAAACTCCAAGCAGAGGTAGTAACTATATTGCACATGTGTTCAAATTAACAAAACCCAAGCCTAAATGAAATATACACAGAGATAACACAGAGTATGCAGTTGGGACATTGTGAGCGTACCATATAAGGCTCAGGCTTCTCTGTCATCAACTTCCTAGGATTACTTGGAGCTTTAGGCACTGGGGAGCCCAATTCTGAGTAATCATCATCTTCAGAAGGTGAAGAATTAAAGGACCGGGAAAACGTTGTTATGCAAGACAAAGCCCTCGCGGATAATGGGTTATCTATCCTGGCATTACATCTGCCATCCAAAGTGTAAGTTAATAATATAAATCTAAAGTTTCAAACAGAAATTGCCAAAGTACAAAATGCAGTCGAATTCAAATTCAGCAGCAATTGATAACACCGTTGACAGACACGAGAACAAACTGGCAAGAAGCGTCAAAACTCAAAAGCGATGATGTATTCTAATTCTAATGCTTGTGAAGTAACGAAACTAGGAAATTCAACTAAAAGGAGTAAAGTCCCTTTAAGTTTACACTCTACAATTCTGAGAAAGTTGAATTCAATCGCTTAGATAGAAATTGGAAACCATGTCGTCTAAAGTTGCTCAATCATTATAGATATTAAAAATGCACATTGTCGCTTATGCTTAGAGACAAATTCTGAAAGAAAATAAATAAATAAATAAAGGAAAAATACCTTTGATATGAAAACCTTGGATAACAGAGGTAAAATTCGAAAAAGAAGGAGGTACTAGTAAGTACCTGAGCTTGACTGCGGATGAAATGAAGCTATGTTGTTCACCTGGAGAAAGAAAAGAATGAAAAGCAAGGCGAAAGCTCAGAAATCAGATGTAAGTACGAGGTTATGAGTCTTCTGACCAATGATAGTCAAGGCTCGGAGGCCAATATATTTCAACTTCAACATCCCCCGCCGCCAACAACCGACCGCCGCAGGGTCAAGGCTAAACGGATTATCAGCAGCAGCACAGCACGGCTTAGAGGTTAGTCTGCCCTGCTAACACGACGTCGTCTTTAGCACATGTAGACTATGTGGAACAAATACCCTCATTACGTCTTCACACGTGTGGTGAACTTTCAAGCTTACACATGGACAATACATATTGGGTGACATAAGAGCATGTGTGGCCGTTGAGCCCAACACGTGAAGCCTTGTTCTAATACCATGAAGTTGAAGTTTCATCCCAAAACTAATTGGCTATGAGGGAGTAACCCAACTCCTTATAAACCCCGACTTAGTCATTTAACTTTTCAATGTGGGACAAATACTCAACATTCTTGTTGATTGTTTTAAACAAGCAATTTGGTACTCAATTCCAAAAAAAATAAAAACCAAGAAGTATTATCGCCTATCTCTTTTCGAGTTGGAATTCGAATTCAAACCAAATCGAAATAAGACTATCCAATATGGAAGAGGTCTGCAAAACCACATTAGAAATGAACCGGCAATGGCGGCGTTGTTGTGACGGTGAAGGGTAGCGGGCCGGACGGGGAGAGTAGTGGTTCTCGTGCTTCTCTTTTGGAAGAATATTTTATTGTGAAATAATTTTTTTTTTAAGACAAATAAGAAAAAAAAAATCCATGTCATCTTTCATTAATTGAGGTGGCATACCCACATTAGCTACCACATCAGATGATCAATTAATATTATCAATTAAATATGTCTAAGTAGCATTACTGTAATCCAATCTAGATGGTAATTGTACAAAACTGAAAGATTTCAGTTGGCATTTGTGCAAACATTAATTGAAAAAAGAAAACGAGTAATTAATAAGTAGAAACTAAACTAACTAACTAGGAGTGTATTAACTTTCAACGTACGTCTATCACGAAATGAAATGAACAAAATGAAGAAAAGGGGCGATACAATATATAACAAGTAAATGAATTTCAAGACAGAAGCCAAGCCACCATCGCATTTTGTTTGTCAGCGTCCACGGCCTTTCTCATCATCGATGTATCATAAGTGGTAGTGTCTCCTTCCCAGTTAAGATGACGATCAATGGTATTAGCAGCAGCAGCGGCAGTAGTATTACTAGTGGTAGAAGAAGAACAAGTACCCTCCTCCCACAACCAAGAAAGCATATTTTCTTTATCATCATCATGATCCCATAACTCATGCCCTGCTTCGACAACACTCTCCCAATCCCATAATATATGATTGTTATGATCACGATCATTTCCATTTGCAGCAGCAGCAGCTTGACCATCCTCCATATCAAAATAATAACTACCAGCAGCTGCTGAAGCTGAAGCTGAACTACTTGAAGTAGCAGTCATTGACATTATTGAAGAAAAGCATAGTTGTCCGTTTGATGACGAGCTCAAATGACCACAAGTGGTAGTAGTAGTAGTCTCTACCTGATCTACCTCATGAGTAACGCCCATGGCATGATCATGTTGATGGTCGCTCAAAGACAAAACCCCATTTGAATTTGGATCCTTCTGCAGTAACTCAACATTGTCCATCAATTCATTAAATGTACCCAACAACCCACCATCAAATTCAATGCCGCCAGATTCATCCAAGTCATCGTCCTTGTTCTCGTCGTTATGTGGATGTGGTCCTAAAAGCATTTCTTGATGACTTTCCTTCTGACACTGATCAATATTGACAGGACATAGCCCATCATGATCACGAGTCTCCTTCTTCTCCACCTCCACCTCCACCTCCACCACCACCACCACCTCCTCCTCCTCCTCCTCCTCATCCTCAGTAGTAGTAGTAGTAGTTGAGCTCATGAGGACCACTGGGATTGCTAGTCCTCCTGCTTCCTCCTGCTGCTGATGATCATGATCATGATTAACAAGGTTGTCGACCCTGCAGTCGTCCATGTGATGAGGATGATGATCATGATGATCAGCAGCTGGGTCAGTCATTAATACCATGTAATCGCGGTGCATAGTATCAATATTATCATTAGGCCCAGGCAAGGACGTCTTCTTCTCCAGGGCAATCGCCTCATCATCAGCAGCAGCAATATTTGTAATCTCCTTCTGGCCCTTGTTGTGACGTTGGGTATAATTAGTAGAATTAGTAGTGGTGTATGTTTTGCTCTTCTTCATGGCCCAGCGACTGGTTCTACCGCCTCTTCGCTTGGAAGGAATATTATTACTAGCAGCTGCTGGTAGGCTACTCATTTGATCACTAGTAGTAGTAGTAGGCCTTCTGAAGGTGTCAATTTTCCTACTCAAATGAGAGTTCCAGTAGTTCTTGATTTCATTATCCGTTCTTCCTGGTAATTGACTTGCTATCAAAGACCACCTGCGTAATCATATTTATCACTTTAATCCATTAATTAAACATCTACTACGCTTATACCACACCACCACTACACTACTGATGGAGAGGAGAGAAACTTAACTTTGAGTGTGTCATTAATAATTGAAGACAAGACAACACTTCATTTCCAAATTTGGAGAAAGTCATTAAACTGCTGATATTTAAGTCCTAGTTGTAGCGAAAAGACACGAACACGTAATACTTACTTGGGCACTGACCAATCTAGCTGGCTAAACAGTATTGATGTGTTAAATCTGATAACAAGTAATTTTTTATATAAAAAAAAGGTCTGACTAAAATATGTTTGTTTTTCATGGTGAAATAGATTACACGTGATCAGTTCTATATACCGACTACCGAGTGTCTCCCTCAAAGTGTAACAAGCAATCAAATCAGTGTCTAGGCTCACCCATTGACGGTGATCTAGTTCCTTGTGTTTTTTCTTTAAAAGGGAATGGTGACCTAGTTCCTTCCCAAGTTCCAACTAATAAAACAAGCAAATTTACTTACTGGACAGGGACAGATAGAAAACAAAAGAGCAAAGGGAAAGCAGCTGCACTGCAACGAAAAGAAAAAAAGTTGACATTTCAAAAGTTGATCCGTCCTTGTCCTTTGATTTGATTTGATTTAATAATTTATTAACTTGCAGGTGGTTTTGGTTTTGGTTGTGGTGTTTGCGGTTGTTATTTATTTGGTAATTAATGAGTGAGAAAATTATCAATTTATCATAACTTCATAAGAAGAAGTAGTTAGTAAGTATTATCAAGTAAGGAGGTGGAGGAGACTAGTAATTAACTCACCTATTTCCCAGAGAAGCATGCAATTTGATGATGATATCTTCCTCCTGGGCGGATATATTTCCCCTCTTCAAGTCGGCTCTCAAATAATTAATCCATCTTAGTCTGCAACTTTTACCACACCGCAGTAACCCTTCAATCAGAATCACAGTATCAGTAAGTAACTCGTCATCGTAATATATGCATACATATGACAAAAGTAATTTATAAGCTTAGCCAATGAATGACCAATGTAAAGCGTAAGAAGAAGAACAAAACAAGATTCTGGATGACTGAGATTCAGTAGCACCACCACCACATCCACAAGTTCTAGTGTGTAAATATTTTTGAAAGATAGATATATATTTACCTGCATTCTTGGGTAATGACCTCCAGGAGCCTTCCCCATTGGTCTGGATATAGTTGATTAAGATTTGATCCTCCTCTGCTGTCCACCTCCCCTTCTTCAGCCCAATCTTGTCACAGCATGGAGCCCTCCCCATTTCCAACTCTCTCTTTCTCTATCTCTCTCGCGAGACAAGTAGCTCGCTGGCTGGCTGGCTGCTGTGGAAATGAGTTGGGTTGAGTTGAGTTGACCAAATGAAAGTATGATATAGTGTCCTCCTTACTCTAGGGGAGAGAGAGAGAGAGAGAGGGAGGCAAGGCAGCAAGCAAGGGAAGCAATCCTAGTACAGCGAGTGTCCTTACTCTAAGGTTTTAAAAACACAAGTGAGTATGTGGGGAGGCCGGGTGGGTCCGTGGGGATCGCTTTTCATTGAATATTGATGGAGATAGAGGTGTGGTGCCAGATTGTGCCACGACGGCTACTTCTCCATTTTGCATTCGTGGCTGCTCCTCTGTCGACAGCCTCGTAACGGGGCTCGCATCCTCCCACGTTGACGCGATGCGCCTCCCTCTTGGAGAGAGAGAGAGAGAGAGAGAGATGATCTCTTCCTTCCTTCCCTTTTTACTGCTCTAAATATCATCATCGAATATGTCCTGCCCTCTATACATAATACAATTACGTACAACATTTGTTTTGAGTATACCTATATAGCTCGCTCAAAAGCATTTATTATCTCATCTACCCCCTTCCTTCCTATGTCTGTCTACTTTTCGATTCAATCTGCTCTGCAGCAGAACTACCATTACCATACCAACAAACTAACAAAGGCAGGCACACACAATATTGATTATTGATGGTAAATTACGTACAGCAACTCTTCCTCCTCCCTCCTCCTCTTCCTCCTCAACAATCAAAAACTTCATTAATACCTCTTGTTATATTCATAACAAAATAAATAAAACTACTATTTTAATTAATTTAGTCTCTCTCTTTTTTCCCAGAACAATACAATATTATTACTAAAAGCAAAAAGAAGCCTACAATATTTAAACATGGATCGTACATTATAATGATTTCCTCTAATTTGTTGGAGGATTTGAGATTTGATATATATATATATTATCAAGCAGCTTAATTTGCAGTCATCATTTCATACAATTTGCAGCAGATGAATTGCTGCTCACGCATAGCTTAAGATTTAGAGTTACCAACTTACCACTGTGATTAATATCTGAACAAGTTATAGATAGATATATTCAATGCAACATGTTAATAACTTGGCCCATCCATGATCCATCCATCCCCAACTACATGATAACTGTACGTACGTAGTCATATGAAATACGTATAGCATTGGCCTCGGTTTGATCTCTTTTTTCTTTTTTTAGGCTAAAGCTTGATCATTTGCATGTTTTTGGTTTGAAAGTTGAGGGATTTTTCTGTCTTTTTCAAAAAATGAAAGTTTTTTTGTGATTAAAACCTAAATTTACTAAGAAGGGAACCAAGTGAGGGTTAGGCCCAACTCGTGGATGTCTTAGAGCATCTCCAACCGATGTGTCAAACGTGCCACATATATGTTTAACAGCTAGAAATAACATTTCACATCACTCCAACCGATATGTCAAAGCTGATGTGGAATGAAGGCTAGAGGTTGAGATGTTATTTTTGACATCTCAAAAGCAAGATGTCAAATGAATATTTTATTATTTTTTAAAGACAGCTGACTATTACTTTCATTTATTATTTTATTATTTTATTATTTTTCTTATTTATCTTAAATGATTTGACTGTTATAATAATTATTTATTTGACATTTCGGGTGGAGTGTAAAAGTATGTAAATGTCAATTGGAGATGCTCAAATACCAAACATTAAATTTAAATTTGATGGTTGATGTGGCAATTTGACATTTTATACAGCTTTACACTCCACCCGATATGTCAAATTAAATTATTATTTTATTACATTTTAGTGTTGATTCATTATTAATTAATAAGAAAAGAAAAGAAAAAATAATAAAATATTCATTTGACATCTTGCTTTTGGGATGTCAAAAATAACATCTTAATCTCTAGCCTTCATTCCACATCAGCTTTGACACATCGGTTGGAGTTATGTGAGATGTTAATTATAGCTGTTAAATGTCTATGTGGCATGTTTGACACATCGGTTGGAGATGCTCTTAGGCCCTTGAGAAAGACCGGGCTGCTTTGGATCCTGGAGTCTTTTAGATTAGAGGGTGAGCATGGCCCTGAGCTGAGCTAACTTGTAGTATGTTTTGTTTTATTCTTTCCATAAATTTGTACTGCCATTTTACCCTGGTTGTCAATTCAATTTTCTTTAAAATTAAGAGCCATGATTTACAAATTACAATCCTCAATCCTGATTTTCATCGAATCATCTGAAGTTCTATTGGGGAGAAGCTCAATCTGATTCTTTTTGGGAGGGAACAAATGGGGCTTCTCAGCATCATTCGAAAAATTAAAAGGAAGGAAAAAGAAATTCGTATACTCATGGTGTAAGTGAAACTTCATCTCTCCCTCTCTTGCCTTTTGTTCACTCGTATGATATGAGAATTAAGTAATCGTTCGTTCGTTCGTTTGTTTTGTTTTGTTTGTGAAGTGGGCTTGACAATTCCGGGCAAGACTACCATTGTGCTCAGGATTAATGGAGAGGACACCAGCGTTGTCAGTCCCACACTCGGCTTCAACATCAAGACCATCACTTACCAAAAGTAAGTGAACTACGCTTAACCCCAAATCATGATTTTTTTTATTTTATTTTTGAACATTTGTATTTGTTTGTACCAAAGTGTTGTTATCAAAATAGTTTGTGGGTTAATCATACATAGAGCTAGTTGGAATGCTTAGGGCTCTTATTAAGGACATTGGGTGTTTATTTTCTCAATTTGGGGGTTGCTTTCCCAGGTTAATGACAACTGTTTATTTCATTGATTCGTTTTTAGACCATAAAAAACTCTGGCACCAATGCGGTTTTGAAGTTTCATACTTTGTTTATTATGATATGGAAACTTGAAATGCTTGTAATTTGATATTGCCAGGTATACCCTTAATATATGGGATGTTGGGGGACAAAAAACAATAAGATCTTACTGGAGAAACTATTTTGAGCAAACTGATGGTCTGGTATGGGTAGTTGATAGTTCAGATCTTAGAAGGTTAGATGACTGCAAAATGGAACTTGATAATCTTTTGAAGGAAGAGGTATGTTCGCTTATTACTTCATTATACACTCGCTCTTTTTGTTTTTGTACCTAGTGTAAATAACGCATTTGGATTTCTCGTTATTCATATACCTCCTTTAATGTACAATACGATTTATGTGCTCATATGCAGTTACAACTATTAGGATATCCATCTGGCATGTGAGCATGTTCTGAGTGTATCAACTCATGCTGCATTTTCTCGAGTCTTGTATGAGTGTATAACTGTTTTAACTTTTGCTGGCTGTGAACTGATTAATTACGTATTTGAGATGCATCACTTGAAATTTTGGATAAGCAATCACATCCTCTTAAATAACTTATAATGTTGCTGGTCTGGAATCCTGATGAATATCCACATTATAAGACCTAGGAAATGCTTTGATGAGTTTTCCCTGCGCTTGTGAGTTATGACCATTATTTTGGTCAAATGTTCTAAAGAAGCTGACTTGTTTTGATGATATGACAGAGGCTATCTGGATCATCCTTATTGATACTAGCAAATAAACAGGACATAAAAGGTGCCCTTACTCCAGAAGAAATTGCTAAGGTAAGGCTCTAGGTTAGTGTGTATATACAAGTAGGATTAATTTGTGAATGTAGCCCTGGTTTTGTTTTGCATGCTTTGATTTCCCATTGCCCATAGACAGCTTTATTCGTTGTCTTGTTATGTTGCTTTAGATTGTTTATTCACTTGTCTTATTGTCTGGATGACAAATGCAACAACAGCATGGGTTTTACTCGTCATGTCCGTGGAGTTTATATGCAACAATGTTATGTTAAATCTTTCAAGGAGTTTTGGTATATGGTCGAAACAATTTATATACAGATGAAGATGAGCATTGCCTGTAAAATTCTGAGTTTCTGAAACAGTTATGTATTATACTTCTGTCTAGGTTTTGAACTTGGAGGCGATGGATAAAACTCGGCATTGGGAAATTGTTGGCTGCAGTGCATACACGGGAGATAGACTGCTTGAGGGATTTGATTGGTTGGTCCAAGATATTGCGTCTCGGATCTATGTGCTGGACTAATGCCTATCTTGAGTATTTTATTTTTGGTTGTGTTTTGAGTGATTTTTCATTGAGGTGGACAGTCATCTTGGTATTTATGGAAAGCTGAATGGAACTTTCAGAGTTTGAAGCAAACTTTGCTGTTAAAAGTGAGAGGGAAAATGCATCGTTGTAGTTGTAGCCCCTTGTGTAGATAATCAAATATTTAAAAATACACTAGCACTCTCTTTCTTTTCCTACAATCATTCATGCATGGTAGAAGATTAACCACTTTTGGTTGGTCTTAAGCAAAAGACCTTGTTTACAAACTTCCTCATCTTGTCCTTGTTTTGTTCCTTGTTTACTGTTGCTACTGGTGCCCAGGGGCCACAGCCACTCCATCTTCATGATATCTGCGTAACCCTGGCTTCGTAATTCGTAGGCCCAGCCCAGCCCAGCCCAGCCCAATTTCATGTGGGCTTCGATTTGTTCATAAAAGCTAAATTACGCCATTGAGCTTGTAGTTGTATGCACTACTTTACTCTTTCACATGGAGTCATTCTATAGTGAGGGGCCTTAGATAAGGTCATATTTTTAACTGTTTGATCAGACTAACTAATTTAATCAAATGGTTAGTCAATTTAATCAAATGATTAAGAGATAGGGCCTTAACTGGGGGAATATCAGAAACAAAGTAACTTAACTGGTCCACTCAGTCCTACGCGGTTTGGGCTTGTCCCATCCCATTAGATCTTCCCAAGCCCAACCCATCCCAGGGATTATCTTATGTAAAATTATATAATTGCCCCTCTCCTTGTCACGGCCTCCAGTTCGGTTACAGGAAAGCGTAGCGGACGTGGCGGACACTAATTGGCTAGAACAACAATTCGCTAACGGTGATTGGCCAATTTGGAGTAAAACACGTTGCAAAATGCAAATGGAAGCAATGACTTGACTCTACACTACACAAGACAATTGAATTGACGAAGTGAGCGAGCAATTGGGAGTGTGTGAATGTCCTCCTTCCTTTCTGTTACCTGTTGCCTGTGTTGTTGTTGTGTTGGATAGATTATATCAATTAAGTAAACCAACAAACGAACTCAACCTTGATCCATCCATCCATCCATGCCTGCCCAGGTCTCAGGACGAGAGGGGGCCGACTGACTGACGACGACGACAGACCTAGAGTTTAATTTGTTTCCTAGAATTAGCAGTCGCCTTAAATTCATTCATAAATTAATTAATTGGAGATCCAGTTGATTTGAGCGCCAAAATCAGATCTTGCAATGGCGCATCAGAGAACCAAGCTTATTTTCCTGTTGCTGGTGTTGTGCGCTCTCTGCTATACGTTCGCCGCCATTGCAGGGAAGAGCTATTATGAGATACTCCAAGTCCCCAAGGGAGCCTCCGACGAGCAGATCAAGAGGGCTTACCGAAAGCTCGCCCTCAAGTACCATCCTGATAAGAACCAAGGCAATGAAGAGGCTAATAAAAAATTCGCCGACATCAACAATGGTGCTTCCTTACTTACTTCTATTCCTCCTCCTCCTAATTTCTCTTCCATTCTTCACTTTTTATTGATTTCCTCTTCTTTTCTTCTTTTGAAAATAATTAGCCTACGAGGTGCTTTCGGACAGCGAGAAGAGGGGCATATACGATAGGTATGGAGAAGAGGGGCTGAAACAGCATGCCGCTAGTGGAGGCAGAGGTGGCGGTGGTGGAATGGGAATGAACATCAATGACATCTTTGCCGAGTATGTTTCCTTTCCTTCTTCATTCCCCTCTTCTTCTGCTTTAATCAGATATTTGAATTACAATACATTCCATATAATTCCTCATATCAGCAATATCAGTTTAAAACTTTAAATCTAGAATTTTCAGATTTAATATCTCTTTTCTTTATTAATATGGACTATGGACTAAGAACTATGAGCGAGTTTAATTACAGACTTAAAAGTAAGGTGGCTCTAATTGCATATTTGTATAGTAGCTCAGCTCACTTTGTAATTTTGAGGACATCTCAGTTCTTTTTGTTTTACTTTTTAACAACTTCAAGGTTTCTTTTAGTTTTTTTGGTGGGCGCTCCATGGAAGACGAAGAGAAAATCGTCAAGGGTGATGATGTAGTTGTAGAATTGGATGCAACATTGGAAGACCTCTATCTGGGAGGCTCATTGAAGGTAAGATTCATGTCTCAATTATGAATATGCATGGCTTCCAGAATCTGAAAGATATGAAGTTGTTCACCTATGCAATTTTAAAATGTCATCATATACTACACTTTCGCTTACCACATTTGAATAATCCGAATTATGGGCAATAAGCATATCAACCTTGCCTGAAAAGGTTATACTGAAAATCATTGAAGTTTTAGTGATCGACAATAGCATGACATCATAAGTTTCTTTCTGTGTTTCTGTACACACACACACACACTCTCTCTCTCTCTCTCTCACTGTGATATGATCTGATTTTCTTTGTGTTTGTTCTGACATCCTTCTGCTATGTTTACTACATGCAAGAGAAACCATCTTTCCAAGCCTGTGAGCTGGTTGATCTTTTCATTTATGTGTGACTTTGTACATGGCCTTTATATTATGGGCAATAAGCATATCAACCTTGCCTGAAAAGGTTATACTGAAAATCATTGAAGTTTTAGTGATCGCCAATAGCATGACATCATTAAGTTTCTTTTTGTGTTTCTGTACACACACACACACTCTCTCTCTCTCTCTCTCCATGCCTCAGTGTGATATGATCTGATTTTCTTTGTGTTTGTTCTGACATCTTTCTGCTATGTTTACTACATGCAAGAGAAACCATCTTTCCAAGCCTGTAAGCTGGTTGATCTTTTCATTTATGTGTGACTCTGTACATGGTGTTTATCAGGTTTGGAGGGAGAAGAACATTCTAAAGCCAGCACCAGGCAAGAGACGTTGTAATTGTAGAAATGAGGTCTATCACAGGCAAATCGGTCCAGGGATGTTCCAACAGATGACAGAAGAGGTATGTGCTCCAACAAACATTTCTTCCAACAAATTCTTCCAAATTCATTTATTTCTTATTAGGGAAAAACAACTTTTGGGAGGATGATAATTTCTTTAGGCTGCATAAGAAAATGTTGTTCCATTATTGGCAACACATCTGTTGCCTCTGAAAAGAGCCGTTTGTAGTCCTTCATTATTGTTTGTACGCTGCGTTCACAAGCATGTCCATCTAGTCTGCATAGACTAATTTCTTTTTCTGTCGCATTAACAATTACTTTGACTGGTTATGCTACTGCCTTTCTTACATACTTTATTATGGCTCTTACAGGTCTGTGAACAATGTGCCAATGTCAAATATGAAAGGGAGGGATATTTCATCACTGTTGATATTGAGAAAGGGATGCAAGATGGGCAAGTAAGCTTTCGTTCTTCATTTCCCTTTGCAAGCTTTATGGTGCGTTTGGATGAGGGAAATAAACTTGGTATTTTGACAAAACTCAGAATTTCTAAATTGGCATGAACCAATTCCCTTGTTTGGATAAAAAAACATAGAAATTTAGAAATTCCGCATGGGAAAAAACGTGGAATTTCGAGATCATAAATCCCAACTTTAAATTCTATCTAAAAGTCTTCATTTCTAAAATCCCAAGAGAGATTTAGTTTTTAAAAAATATAACTTTACAAATAAAGGTTAAATTCCGTGCTTTAAATCCCTCACCCAAACAAGAAACTTTACAAATTCTAGAATATTAATTTCCGTCATTTATGAAATCCTTTGTATTTTTAAATTTCTTCATCCAAACGCACTGTTAGAGTTTATTTTTCTGTGAATTTGTTTATGTCAGTTGATTATCTTGTCCCTGTGGTTCCATGTATCCTCTCATATGTATTGTTATATGTTGGTGTTTTAAATTTCATTTCCTTTTAATACCAGATTTTAGAGCATCATTCTGAATCTTTTGAAATATATGCTGTTGTTCTGAGTAGTAGCTTTCTTGAAATATCTTGAATATTACTGTGTTCTGTCCATACTTGTAGAATTGAAAAACATTTGCTGTGATGCGTATAATTTGTTCTGATTAGAATGAGAAAAAAATTATGCTTTTAAACAGGAGGTGGTTTTCTATGAAGATGGTGAGCCCATAATTGATGGAGAAGCTGGAGACTTAAAAGTTAGTTCTTTGACCTTGCCACCTTGGTTTAGTAAATTGAAATATCCATGTGCCATGTTCTGAAAATAATTAACTACATTGCTTTTGCAGTTCCGTATCCACACAGCACCTCATGACCGATTCAGAAGGGAAGGCAATGACTTACACACAACCATCACTATCACACTGGTATGACTTGGATTAATTTCTGGGTCAGGTTATTGTTCTTATTAGTATTTGGTACAGCTGCCATCAAATTTTGGATGCAAAAAAGGTTCCAGCTAGCATAATTGGGCTTATAAGTTCTTCCAGTTGACCTTGCCCTATGTAAAATTACGTTTTTGGTTCCATCTATATTTGATTTCTTGGACCTTTATTGTATACAGGTTCAAGCTCTTGTGGGCTTTGAGAAGGCCATCAAGCACCTTGATGATCATTTGGTTCACATCGGCTCAAAGGTCAGCAGCATTTACTTCCTACCTAATAGGCTATAGCTTTAATATTGTCACGGAACGGACATTGTGTTTCTCTCTCGTTTATATATGTGTGTGTGTGTGTATATATATATATATATGTTTGAGTTTGAATGGGGACAAAGATAAAGTTGAGGTGACATACATATTATTATGTTGGTTGATAACGATGGCATGGCGCAGGGAATTACAAGGCCCAAGGAAGTGAGAAAATTCAAAGGGGAAGGGATGCCTTTGCATTTCAGCAACAAGAAAGGAGATCTGTACGTAACATTTGAGGTTCTATTCCCCACGTCACTAACAGAGGAGCAGAAGACAAAGATCAAGGCTGTTCTTGGTTAGGTACCGTATAGGCAGCCTATAGGAGGATATATATATTTTTGTTAGTTCAGTTGAGATATGTTTCAATTGTAACATGATGATGAGATCTTCAGTACAGAAAGTTAAGAAAATTTAAGGAGGCCCGAGCTGCTGCTACTTTTTTTAGCCCGGAGCCCCTGCTGAGCCCGAGTTTAGTGAGAAGTGAAACGAGTAAAACATTTTACGATCATCATCATCTTTTTGTTGTAGTTGTAATATTTTCCCCATATTTTACAGTTTTTGAGTTGAGCTGCTGCATTTAAATCCAATACAACTGCCTTCCTGCCTGCCTTCCACCCACTTTAGGCACCGTTAAGTGAACTTTATTTTTAGAAATTTGAGGGCTACCTTATATATTATTATATTTCTCAGCTCCCTACCTAAAAAGGAAGCTGCAAGTGAAGAAGGGACATTGTTTTGGATCGTGACAGTAAGAATAGGTCAATGGTTGGCCCCCCTTTCCCTAGCAAGAGGGAAAAAAAACTTACATGTAACTGGTAGATAACACTGTTTTGCTATCTCCGGCTAATAACATAATGATATGTGAAAAAGTTATCCTATGTGTCATTGTGTTATTTATTGGGAGACAAGGAAAAAGAACTTACATGTAACGAGGGTAACACTATTTTGCTATTTCCGGCTAATAACACAATGATATGTGAAAAAGTTATCTCATGTATCATTGCATTATTGATCGGAAATAACAAAAAGTGTTATTCTCGTTACATGAGAGTCTCTCCTTGGGAAGGGTCATGCATGCATTGTTGCTTAATCTTCTTGTTAACTGTCCTCAGACCACAAGTTTCGGTAATTAGTTAGTTATGTTTGCTTGCTAGTAGTATTTCCAACTTCCATCTCTTCAATGAAGAATGGACTGAATTTTCCACATCGTAAGGAAACCTCCTATGAGCTCTTCAATGAAGGAAGGGGTCCCACTCCCACCCCACGGTAGGCAGGCCAGGCCCAACAATAAGGAGGAGTCGTAGTCGCCGTTGTTATTGGCTAATAAATTGCTTGGGGAGGTCCAACTCCAACTCCAAGTCCACCAACATTACATTTACATTTATTATAGTTTAATCTTACGTGCCTCGCCTCGCCCTCACCTATCCGTGCAACAAATAAAAGGAAAAATATAAAAATGATCACTTGATCAAAAGAAATGAATGAAAGAAAAAAGAAGAAACACATTTCAAAATGAAACTTTTTTGAGAGCGCGACAGGTATTTTGGAGTAGAGTAAAGTACGTACAGGAGACGTATTCATTTGCTACTATGCTGTTTTCTGTGTCTCTGTGTGCAGAGAGAGAGAGAGAGAGAGAGATAAGAGCTTTGCGGACACGTCACCCGTGGATATATGGGATTTTTCTATTTTAGAATTTAGCTGAATGACTAATACTAATTACTATTAATAATGTGCATCCTCTTACGTGGCAAGTCTGTGATAGCTTTTCGAGTTTAGTCAGAAACAGATAGGCAGATTAGATATAGAGACTACGGAGAGAGAGAAAGAGAGGGAGATTTCGGGCCTACCACGCGCTTACGTATGATATTCATATTAAGATTGCCACCCATATTGGTGTGTTTGTTTCACATTTCCACAAGCCGACACCCATGTGATGTGAATGTGATGTGTCATCATAGCATGGCATGGCATGGCATGTGAGAGAACAAACAATTTATTCTTATTGGCTTACATACATGCATAACCAATTAGTAAGTATTCCTATCAAAATCAAAATTATTTCTAACCAAAACCAACTTCCTTTCCTTCCTTCCGGGGACAAGTTACCCAAACTCTCTCTCTCTCTCTCGATCAAGAGTTTTTTGTATCCTTATTTATATGAACAATCTTCTTTTTACGGGACCAAAAAGGAAAAGAAAGGAAGAGAAATACACGAAAAACAAGGTTGCAAAAAAGAGAGTGATTCGTGAAGTTGGTGAGCAGTTCGGGTTTTCCAAACTACAAAATTACATGCCCAAACCACACCACCCCCTCTCCCTTTTTATGTTTCTTCTCTCTCTCTCTCTCTAAAAGGGCCCTCTCTTTCTCTCTCTCTCATTTCCTGTCGAAGTAACAGAGACGATCCTATTTAAAACTCCAACACTCTGTTTGTAATTGAATAGCCTTTCAAGTTTGAGCTTTTATTTTAATCTTTTTTTTGGTTCACTTGTCTTGCAAACCAAAATCCCCCATAAATCCGAACAATTGTATATAAAGGAGGAAGGAATAATCAGGCAGGGAGTCAGAAATGGATGGCCTTTGTTTGAAAACAACTGCGTCAGGGATACATGGGATACCTTCCACGATTTCAGCGGCTGCAGCGCTCGACATCCGTACCAACCCATCTCCATCTCAGGTGAGCGCCATTGGGAGATCCACCTCCACTGCCGGGGTAGACAAGTCCACTACAACCACGGCTCACAAGAAGACGACCCCCTTTTCTAGGTTCTCGTTCAAGCACCCCTTGCAGTCTTTATGGCCTGGAGGATCAAGAGCAAGAGGAGGTGGACCCACCTACAACGGGAATGGGATGCCTCTCGACGACGCCGACGCCGTCCCTTTCGAGGCGGAGGCGGAGGAGGAGGAGGAGGAGGAGGGCCAGAGTGCGACAATGGAGTCGGACGGTCATAGCGGCAACTGGGTCTTGAAAATTTTGCACGTGAGGTCTCTCTCTCTGCGGAGAGGGAGAGAGGAACAGGGGGGTGGTAAGAGTAGTGGTGGTGTTTCAGAGCTTCGCAGGGAAGATGAGAAAACCGTTCTCCGTGATGACGGAAATGGGCCTGGCTCTGAGGGAGATGATGACGAAAATGATTGTTGTAGAGTTTCAGACGACGAAGATGATGTAGCGGCGGCTGAGTTTGATAAAGATTCGTTTTCGAGGTTGCTTCGGAAGGTTTCGTTGGCGGAAGCGAGGTTGTACGCTCAAATGTCGTATATGGGGAACTTAGCATATTCCATTCCTAAAATCCAGGTACGCACACACCATTCCCCTTCCCCTTCCCCTTCCCATTCCCAATTTGGTTTGTGTAAGATTCAGGGGACAGATAGGGGCTTTTCTTTTGGGTGAACATTTAAGACCAACTTACAATTTCTGGTTTGATTTGATTTGATTTCCGTTGTTATGATGTGGATCTTTCATGTGGCTTTCTTTTTGGTTTGGCTTTATGAAATGATTCCTACTTTCAAACTGAACAAGTTCACAGGGTAAAGAATGTTTGCTTTTCCGTGAGAATCCAGCAATTTTCTTCTTGTTTCTGATCGCCTGATCAATCAGTCAAATTTGGCCACCTTTTTTGAAATTCTACTTTTGTTTCTCTGTTTTTATAGAACGGATATTTCATCTTTAATGTCTCCAAAATTTGTCAATCCTGCTTTCTTTCTCGTAAGCCAAATGGGTTCATTGATAAGATTTTGTCATCTGAATTCTGGACATTAATTTAGAAATTGCGGGAAGGTTTTAGTTTACATATGAACTTTCTTTTCATAAAAGCAGCGACCCAATATTGGTGCATCAAAGCTTAATCATGTAAATAAAATAGAATCACAGAAATTTTGTGCTCTGTTGATTTTTGGTTGGGGGTGGTGGTTTGCATTCTTTCCTCGCTTGAACACGTTGCATTCCTGATAACCTCAGGTTCATGATCTTTATCCTATGATATTGTTGTATTTTACTGTAAATTGGAGAATTACTCTTGAATATCATCTGTTTTTGTTGATAAACCATCTCATGTATCTAATTCACCATTCAAGCTTTTAAATTCCCATATAAAGTTACATGCATAAGAATTTAATTTTCTCTATTTTCAAATTCAGCCAGGAAATCTCCTAAGACGTTATGGTCTGCGCTTTGTTACTTCGTCGATAGAGAAGAAGGAACTGACTGCTAAAACTGAGAAAGATCAAGTGTCAGCTGAAATTCAAGAAACAGGGAAAAACCTAGAGGAAGACAGGGAAGAAGATGCAGAAGGGAAGGAGCAAAAGAACAACGGATACCGAATAAGTGCATCTGCTGCTTATCAGATTGCTGCTTCTGCAGCTTCCTATCTGCATTCTCATACAAGGAGCATACTTCCATCCAAATGTTCAGAGGCTGAGGCTGAGACTGATAAAGACTCACCTGAAGAAAGCAGTGGAAGAAGTGACGTTGTTAATAGGATGAACTCAGAAGTGGCTTCCTTAATGGCAACCACTGACTCAGTGACAGCTGTGGTTGCTGCAAAGGAAGAAGTAAAGCAGGCTGTTGCAGATGACTTAAATTCAACGTGTTCATCACCTTGCGAGTGGTTTATATGCGATGACAATCAAAGAGGCACCAGATTCTTTGTCATTCAGGTATGCAGACTGATAATTTGTTTCATATTTCCTCCTGCTATGGGTTTATAGGCATTTGCCAGAGGGGCCTGCCTTATGCTCTGTACAATATTTATGTATCTCAAATGCTTAAGCATGTTGGGGCTTTTAGAATAATTTTCTTTCTGTTAGCGGTTAAAACAAAGGGCACACATTGTATATTCAGATGGCTAGTTTTGCCATTTTTCCCAGTTATATGATTTACTTGTTAGCCCATTTTATTTCATAATATTTAGTATCTTTTCTATATTTGACTTTAAATCTTTTTGATTTGCAGGGTTCTGAATCACTGGCATCCTGGCAAGCAAATCTACTCTTTGAGCCCATTCAGTTTGAGGTTAATCCTTTTCACAATATGTTTAGTTTTTCTAGTTTTAGTATCTACTCTGTTTGTTAGAGATGATTGAGAAAAAAACAAAGATGTTGATGCTTCAATTGAACTGTTCTGAGGAAGATTGATGAATGATTTTAGGTGATTACTTATTGAATGCATCTGCTTTTTATAGGGACTGGATGTGCTTGTGCATAGAGGCATATATGAGGCTGCGAAAGGGATTTATGAACAGATGCTGCCTGAAGTCCATGCCCATCTCAAATCTCGTGGTGACCATGCAACCTTTCGTTTTACTGGGCATTCTTTAGGGGGAAGCTTAGCACTACTAATAAATCTCATGTTGCTTATACGACTTGAAGTGCCAATTTCTTCATTACTTCCTGTTATAACTTTTGGTGCGCCATCCGTCATGTGTGGAGGTGATCAACTGCTTCGCAAACTTGGATTACCACGGAGTCATGTTCAGGCTATTATGTTGCACAGAGACATTGTACCCCGTGCATTCTCTTGCAATTATCCAAATCATGTGGCAGAACTTCTCAAGGCTTTAAATGGGAACTTTCGGAATCTTCCCTGTCTCAGTAACCAGGTAGAACTTGTACTGTTTCAGAAAGATCAAACCAGGAGAATAGAATAACATTGAGTCAATTCTTTCATTGTTCCCCTGCATCTGATATATCTGATCATTTTCGTATTTTTAAAAACAGAAGCTATTGTACTCTCCGATGGGGGAGCTCCTGATTCTTCAACCAGATGAAAAATTCTCGCCAAACCATCACCTTCTTCCTTCAGGCAGTGGTCTATATCTTCTCAGCTGTCCGTTGTCAGATGCCAGTGATGCAGAGAAGCAGCTCCGAGATGCACGGTTGGTATTCTTAAACTCACCACACCCACTTGAGATCCTAAGTGATCGGTCTGCATATGGTTCGGAAGGAACCATTCAAAGAGATCATGACGTGAGTTCATACTTAAAATCTGTTCGTGAGGTGATTCGCCAAGAGCTTAACCAGATGAGGAAGGCCAGGAGACAGCAGCGCCTCAAGGTTTGGTGGCCCCTCGTAGCTCTCCGTAGTGTGCATGGAGGTGTGATTGTGGGAAGGCCTGAAGCATCATTCAATATGGGGCACGAGCAGTTGAACTTTTCTGGCATGCTACAAACAGGAAAAGAGTCGTTGAAACGGTTCAGTAGGCTGGTTGCATCGCAGCATATGCATTTGTTTGTGGTGCTTCTGGTACCTGTGCGACTGTTACTGTTGGGGGCATACAGCGTGATCAGTTTGCGGTGACCAGTGTGAGGTTGGCACACAAGTGAAGTTTGTGATTACTTTGGCTAAGATAGTTGGAAAGGAACTTGGAAGGGTTGTGGGCATGGCTGGCTGGACAATTAGATGATTCTTTATTCATTTTTCTTCTTTAAATAGAAAGCAATCCAATGATACGATCCAAGTGTACGTTTGTTTGTTTGTTTGTTTGTTTTTATCACATTTTTTGAGAGGTGATAAATGTGGAGGTGGTATGTAAAGAAAATAGCAGGACATCAACGGGGCATAGAAAGGAAATATTAGTGCTACTCAAAGATGCGTGTGTGGAGTTCATTTTGAGTTGGAGTTTATTTAGATACCGTATACCATAGAACTTGGTATGTATTTATGTTGTTTTCTGTTTGGCCTGAAATTCTTCTGAGGGTTAGCTCTAGTCTAGTGAAATTGATGCGACTCAATCAACGATGAACGTTGATTTGTAAGTTTATCCAAGTGCGTAAGCAAACGCAATAAGCAATGTGGAAAAAGATTTGAAAACGAGATGTTTGACTGACTGACTTATGTACACCATTTTGAGTCGTATTGAACGCGATGGAGTTGTGCGGACGATAGATATTCACTCAGGTCAGATTTAACATACAAAGTAGTCAAGGAGAAGGAGAAGCCAGAGCACAAGTCAATAGGGTTGGGTTGGGTTGGGTTGGGTTGGGTGGGTGCATGACAAATTGACAATGACATTGAGCTGGAGCTGGAAGGAGACAAAATAGGTGTCTCTACGTGTGTGCCAGTGCTACTAGTCTGCTTCCCGGTCCAAAATGGCTGGGTAAAGTTCCTTCCTCCTGCCCATCCATCCAACACAGCACTGCCCAACCCAGCTGAGCTGTTACTTGTTTGGGAAAGAATATATGATACATGTACATCAACAAATACATATATAATTTAAAAATGCGAGTACACACTAACTACAAAATGTCTACACATTACAGCATACATACTTACTATACCCGCCTTGAGTTGAAATTACAGGTTTTCTTCCACTCAATTGCCCAAAATATAGTTGCAAGTTTTAGATTACATATTTAATACCAGTTAAGTTAGGCAGGCAGTTAGTTAGCACTGCCATGTCATCTATTGTTGAGTATCCTTTCTTTTCAAAAAGAGCGAGCTAGGCTGCAAATGCCATTGTTGAGTATCCTAGTAAAACTAGCGTGAGACATTCGGAAGATTGGAGATGCCTCAGACAGTGTATACAGAAAAACTGAATTCCATACATGTAAAAGAAACGGTTTTGGGCTATTCCCATCTCATTCAGTAATTAGTAATTACTGATCGTCAATATAGGGCCAGGGCAACAGACTCCGGCTGACGCATGAGTAAAAATAGCTAAACAATAGCGAAAGTATATCATCTTCATTATAAACTCACATTTCCACTGGTCATATCATATGACACACTGCTTAGAGCATCATATTTCATGGACAAAAAGGAGATAATCATATTCTTGTACATATAACGTTGAATCAAACTGAGAAGAAAGCATAGAGAGCCCTACTATTTTATTCAATCCCCAATCCCCAAACAAAAGGAAACTTGGGGTCTTTTTTTCTTTTTCTTCTTTTCCTTCCTTGTTTTATTTGGTTACAGATTAAGTTTACTAGCCAAGTACCATGAGTGCATAGCAAGGCTGCCAAAGGCCATGATGTTGGCTAGAGATGATAACCCATGAATCATCCCAAATTTCTTATTCATGGCTGCTAGTTTTGGATTTACCTTTGCCACTTCCACATTTTTCGACCATCCAACTTCTTCCCCAATGTTCTGTTCCCTCTCCACCTTATGCCTTTGCTTCATCATCTGCACCACAATTACAATTAACAGAGCACTGTCACATGCTGCTATACAAACATGTGCAATCAGAGCAGTTTCTAGTTAAGATCAAAACAAATTACCAGTCTCATTGTTATATGCGTGTCAGCTACTAACAAAATAAACACACAACCAGGTTTTTATTATTATTATATATATACATGTTTGGTTAAACAAGCACTAATTTGAATTTGAACCTAACACACAGAGTCACATATTGGTTTAGTTTTGCCTGGCGATAGACAAGAATGAAAAATCTGGTAGCTAGGCTAATATTTTGTCAAGTTATGGAATAAAATACACATGATTTAGCAATTGTCAAGTAGCAAGTGGCAAGTGGCAAGTGGCAATTAGCACTCAGCAAGGAGCAATTAACAAAGATACATTAAAAGAAGGATAGAGTAGAGAGTAAAAGTCACCTCGACGGTCATGGGTGTGAAGACGAACAAATTGGTGAGATTGAAGGCCAAGGAAGAGAGCAAAAAGCCGAGCTGGTACTTTTCAGCAACAGAAGAAGAGTTCCAGGGATGCAAATACCCAAACGAGGCTACTGTTACTGCACAGCAGATCCCCACCATTGAGAAATACGCTGGAAACATCTTGCTTTGAAGATTACCAAACTGATGCCTCGGAAGATTCCTAATTTCAATAATAACCACAAATCCCATCCCATCCAATCCAAATCAATTTCCTTCCAAAAAAAATTGAAAAAAAAAATGGAAATGGAAAAATGAGGTGAAGAAAATAAAAGGTGACCTACTTGAACATGATGATGCCGCCGATGAAGGTAACCCAGAGAGCCGCACCGAAAGCGGTGGAGAAGGTGAGGAGATGAGCCAGTTTTAGGTAGGTGGAGAGGGTGGGTGAATTCAGACCATCCGATTTGGATCCAAAGGTCTCCGGGGAGAAAATCACTCCGATGGCTAAGAAAGCCACGGCTGCTAGGAATCGAGTCAACCAAGCCATCTCGCTCAATTCAAATTTTGCAAACCCAAAGGCTTTTTTATTTTTTAGGGTTGTAGTGGTTTTGGAAGGAAGACGAGAAGACGAGAAGACCACCAAACCCAACAACGAACGATTGAACTCGATACAAGGACCCCGGACCCCTAAGCAAAGCTTTACCAACTAGTACGGCCAGTGCCACCCAGCCTCACTCTTCTCTTCTCTTCTCCTCTCCTCTCCTCTCCTCTCCTGGAGTGGATTGAATTGTCGTCGAATAAATGGAATGGTTCTTACTCATTGATGACCCTTCGATTTACCAAACTCATCCAGCGGGCGGTTGGTGATTCACCTAACACAAGTTTAGTTATCATGGGCTTCGGTTCGGGCTCTGTGTTGTTCGTCTTCTCTCGTAGGCATTGACACGTGTTCAATATTTGTCATCCCGTATATTCCACGTGGAGCACTCATGCAATTTAGTCCTCCCTCCCGCCACTGCACTAAAATCACAAAATAGTTTGAGCTCCCTCCCTTCTCTCTCCAGCTTTTAGTTACCAAATATGATCACAAAAAATATTAAATTAATAACCTTTGTTTTTGGGCCAACCATAAATAATAATAGTCATTCCATTTCATTTGCCTCAACACTTCCTCCACAAGTTTTCTTTTAGTTTAGGCTCTTGAATCACTCCTCATCACACCTCACCTTGTTCTATCTTCTTGAGGTTAGATTAGGTTGGGCATGTGGTCCCTTTTTATTTTTCGTTTTGAGTGTGAGAATGTGAATGTGAAAATGTTTCATATTGGAAAATTAGAAAACTTCGTAAAAATTTATGTGTTGGTCTATTTCTTAGTCCCTACTATGTTTCTTAACTTTTCAATGTGGAACATTTCACCCCCGCATATAGGGGTGTATATTGGTTTGAAACCAATACAATCTTACCAATCTGCGTCTGATCGAACATAGATTGAATTATAATTTTTTCAATTCAATCCGATTCCATCCAATTGATATTGGATTGGATTGGATGATCTCTGATTGCACTGTTAAACAAGTGCAAGATCATGATTGCACTGTTAAACAACCACAAAACTCATTTGGGCTTCGGACAGAAATAGCAGATGACGGTTTCATTATGGGCTTCGGACTTGTTCTCATTTGGGTTTCTGGGCTCTCTTCTCGTAGGCAGTGACACGTGTTCAACATCTGTCATGCGGTAGATTACACGTGGAGCACTCGCCCAATTTAGTCCTCCCGCCACTGCACCAAACTCAAAAAAAGAAAAAAGAACACAGAATTTGAGTTCCCTCCCTCCCTTCTCTCTCCCGCTTTTATTTATTTATTTATAGATAAACCAAAAATAATAAATAATTTCATTTCCCCCAATTAGTCAGTCAGTCTTCCTCCACAAGTTTCGTTTTGGGCTTTTAGCAAGAGACGACAGAGCAGAAAGAAGCATTTGTCTTCTCCAGCCTTTGAATCACTATCACACCTCACCTTGTTTTAATTTCCTGAGGTTAGGTTTGGTTAGGGTAGGCTTTTGGGGATGTATTAGGTGTATAACTTGTGAGAGAGAGACAGAGAGTGTTGAGATTCAGATTTCAATGTCGGAGGGCAATTCTCCGTCGAAAACGTTTCTCGGCGTCAGTTTCATTCTCTTGGGATTCGACCCCCTTCACGAGCAAAAGGTACTCCTTCCTCTCTCTCTCTCTCTCTCTCTCTCTCTCTCTCTCTCTCTCTCGTACAAGTTACAAGTTAGAAATTTCAAATTTCCATGTATTACACGTATATGATGTTATGCCCTTGTTCACTTTTGTTTTAATTGATATGGCGTAGGTTCGATCTAAGCTTGTGGGTTGTGGCGCGGTGGATGTTGGCCACTATTCCCCGAATTGCAGTCATGTGGTTGTGGATAAAACTGTGTTTGTAAGTCGATTTTCTTGTCATTGCTTCTCAAGTTACAATTTTGACGTTTTAACTTTATGCTACTATATGTTTGCTCCTACAATTTTTTTAATAATTGAAATGTAATACTGTTTTTGCATTGCAATTATACGGTGCGTAGGATGATCCCATATGTGTTGCTGCTCGAAATGACGGCAAAACACTTGTCACGGCTTTATGGGTTCATCATAGTTTTGATGTCGGAGTGCCCGTTGAGTCTACTTCTGTGAGTTTTCTATCCCCTCTTTCTCACTCTGACTTGCCTTATCATTTTACAATCATACCATTCATTCTGCCCCTTTCTTTTGTTTTTCCGAATCTAGCGTCTTCAACATGTCCCCATTCCCAGTGACGCTTGCCACTTATTCATTTGACTAATACTGTAAGCTAAGCAATGTTTATTAAGAACGCATAGCTTCAAAAAAATTTCATGAAATCCGTATATATTACCATTTGCATACTGTTTTGTATTTATAATAGTCGTTTGCACAGATTATATACAGACCTCTTAAAGATTTGAATGGTATTCCGGATGCCAAGAGTTTAATTGTATGCTTGACTGGATATCAGCGACAAGATAGAGATGACATTATGGTACACATTTCTACTTTTTTGTAACTTCTGATACAGGCCCTATTGGAGAGTTGTTTCATGAGTATACCCTGTCTCATGATTTCTTTCTGTTTTCTTTATCAGACAATGGTGGGTTTAATGGGTGCTCAATTTTCTAAGCCCTTGGTGGCAAACAAAGTCACTCATCTCATATGCTACAAATTTGAGGGTATGGTTTTCTTTTATTTCCTGTGATGAATTCTTCTTCAGCTCTTTACATTTTGTACTTCTATGTCAAAAGTGCTTAAATGACAACTCGTTGTTATATCTGAAGGGGAGAAGTATGAACTTGCCAAGAAAATCCCAAAGATAAAGCTGGTCAACCATCGCTGGTTGGAAGATTGGTAAGTTCATGTTTTCTTCATTCTCTTATGTTTTCAAATTCTGATATTAGGTGATGTCTTTTCAGAATGTTACAATATGAAAAAGTTGCCACCACTATGAATTATTATTATTTCCTATCTAAGATCCTTTATAAATACTTCAGCTTAAGGGATTGGGCGCTCCTTCCTGAAGATGATTATAACAAGAGGTGAGTTGGTTGTGTGTACACTTTGGAAATAACTTGTTCTTTATAGGTCTGCCAATGTTTGTGCTGAACTCTCACTCTCTCTCGACAGTGGCTATGAGATGGAGATGATGGAAGCTGAGGCTAGAGATTCAGAAGATGAGGCCGAAAACACCATTATGAAGCAATCTGGGGGGAGAAACATGTATAAGAGTCCTCTTAATATAAAAAGTCCCCCAGCAACATATGGAATGCCTAAATCAGAAGGAGACGTGCCTAAGGTTCCCATGAATTTTTATAATGCTATGGACCATGTATTGATTCCTCAGAATGAGAATAAATTAGGTCAAGCCTCAAGTTTTTCTAATGCTTATGTTTCCAACGGAGTAAGCTGTCAGAATGCAGATGGTGAGCTAAATGACCAACATCACAGAACTCCAGATCCTAAGGTGAGAGATGATTTGACATCTAATTTTGGAACTCCTGAAAGGCCTGCTCATTCTGCTAGGACCCTAAGCTATGCAAGGCAAACCCCATTGAAGTCAACACTTCCACTGCACGTGGGAGATAAATCAAGCAATGGAAGTGTGTCTTCTAAAGTACCCATTTGCAAATCAAATGCCAAATTTGGTTTAGCCTCTTATACCTTTAAGGCAGATCAAGAAAATAACAAAATTGACTCCAGTTGTGTTGAAGTCCCCTTAAAAAGAATTCATTCACAGAATGGAGAAGAATCAAGTGGTATATTGCCTTGGAAAAGGACGATGGATCTTTCTTATGGTAGCTCCAAATCACAGAAGATGAATAATGATGCAGAAGCAGGCATTATTTGTAGTCCTTCATCAAGTGATAAATCTCCAAAAGTAAAGCCAACATCTATGGTTGATGGTTCATATGAGACTACTAGCCATTATGTCATCAGAAATGATGACCACTCTCTGGATAAGACTGTCAATTTGAATGCTGTAGAAAGCTCATATGCTGGTACTTCACCAATGAAATCATCTACTGTTATCCGGAAGCCATTGGCATGTGATCTGCCTTTCTCTGCAACTGTGACCTCTGAGACAGCGGAAGATGGAAATGGCAACAAGAAAACACCTCTAACCACTTTTCAAAGATTAAGAAAGTCCAGTTTATCGAGCAAGCCTGGCATTGTAGATTGTGTTGTGGAAAAGCCAACATTTGCAGTCAGCAAAACAGTGGAACTGCAAAATCAGCATCAAGATGTTGAGGGTCTGTCTTCAAATAACAAAAAGTCAGTGACTAATAATTCCAACGAGCCTGCTGGTTTGAACTTGCTTAAAGATGAAAATAATCACTTAGATACAAAATCAGTAAGCAAGAGGGCGATTTCCAAGAAGATCCTGGTTTCTAGGCCTAAGTTAACTTCTGCTAACCAAAAGGGGTCTGTGTGCTTAGGTGAAGATGCCTCCTTAAATGATACCACTTTTCATTTAAATTCAGGGGACCATGAGAAATCCCCTGGTGCTATGAAGCTTGACATGCTTTATCCAGGTGCTACTGCGGAACCCCAAAAGGAGGTGGAGGGAAAAGATGTTACCATGACTGCAGATGTTGCTGAGAATAATATTCAATCTATGGATGATGAAACTGAGGCTCCTGAGGAAGAAAGTGAACATAAGTTAGAGAATGTACTTCATGAAGCAAAGGCTATAGGGGTTCAATCCACAAGTAAATGTGTCACTACCGAAGAGAAATGCAAAGGGATGCAGCAGATATCAGATCACTCTGATGCCTGTGTTCATGGTGATGCAATGGCCTCAGCAGAAAATACAGATGGAAATGAACAAGAAACGACAGTTTCTGACAGGATTTCCTTGCTAGTTGAGTCAAGCTTAGAAGGAGATGGTGTCAAAGGAAAGAAGAACAAAGGGAAAAGGCGTGCTTTGGGTAAAACCAAGTTTAAAGCTGCTCCTGCTGTGGCTGATGTCATGAAACCTAAGAAATTTGTCTGTGAGGAAGATACTCAGAATGAGAATATTCGGGAGACAGAGAAGGAACTGGAAAAAATAGCAGTCAAATCTAAGCGCCGTAGTGTGCCCAAAAATAAGTTAGAGAACTCTTCCAAAATGAAGGAAAACAGGCCGATTGTTTGTGGGGATCAATCTGTAAGTACAGCCGAACAGCAGGCAGGAAAATCAACGGTTAAATCTAATATAACTCCATTGAAGAGAAATCAGACATCTGTAGAGATCAGTCCAAATTCTTCAATACCAGAGGGGAAGGCTCCAAGCAAAGTTAAAACTGAACCTGTATGGTTTATTTTGAGTGGGGACAAATTTCAAAGAAAGGACTTTCGGCAAGTTATCAGGTGTTTGAAAGGAAGATGTTGCCGTGATTCTCATCGCTGGTCTTACCAGGCAACACACTTCATAGCTCCAGGTCCAATAAAGAGGACAGAGAAGTTTTTCGCTGCTACAGCATCTGGAAGGTACATAACTTATATCATTACTGAAGCCCTAAAGGTCCTTTTTCTTGAGAAGTTTTGGGTCAGCTAATTGAATTTTTCCAGTGCAAATGTATGGTTTAACGTATTTGATATGAAGTGCAGGTGGATTCTTAAGAGTGATTATTTGGCAGCTAGTAATCAGGCAGGAAGATTTTTGGCAGAGGAACCTTATGAATGGCACCAGAATGGCCTTAGTGAAGACGGTGCAATCAATTTGGAGGCTCCAAGGAAGTGGCGGCTCTTGAGAGAGAGAACAGGCCATGGTGCCTTCCACGGAATGCGCATTATCATATACGGTGAATGTATTGCACCACCTTTGGTACGTGATATTTCCAAATTTAGTTTCATGTTTTACATTTTTCTGATGCAGAAGCCTTAACTTTTGCCCAAAAAAATTAGATATCTTTCAGAAATTATTTTTCCATACCGATGTGGGATATTATTGCCTGAAATGGACTGAAAGCTAACCAGAGAATAAGTTTTACCCCGGTTGATTCATAAGCCATTGTTAACCAGAATATTCATAATGCACTTATCATCTTCAACAGGATACTCTGAAGCGTGTTGTGAAGGCTGGTGATGGGACAATATTGGCAACTTGTCCTCCTTACACTCGATTCCTTGACTCAGGGGTCGACTTTGCCATTGTCAGCCCAGGCATGCCACGGGTCGATATGTGGGTACAAGAGTTCTTGAAACATGAGATACCTTGCGTTGCAACAGATTACTTGGTTGAGTATGTGTGCAAACCTGGGTACCCACTTGAAAGACATGTGCTGCACAATACTCATGCATGGGCAGAAAATTCGTTTGGGAGGCTGCAGAGGAGGGCAGAAGAGATTGTCGAAGACATTTTTGCACCTCGGGATAATTCTGGTACTAGTGATATACCTTGCGTGGTTTGCGGATCTGTAGAGAGAGGAGAGGTGATGCTGATATGTGGCAACGAAAGTGGTTCTGTTGGCTGTGGGGTTGGTACTCATATTGACTGCTGCAATCCGCCACTTGAGGATGTTCCGGAGGGTGATTGGTTTTGTCCAAAGTGTAGTCGGAGCAAAAACAGCACCAGCTCTTCCAAGAAAAGGAAAAAGGGTAAGAGCAAATGATTGTTCACTCTTCCCGGGAGCAATTTTTTTAATTTTATTTTGGTCTTGTAGATTAGGTTATGGAGTTGGTAGATTGATTAGCAATGCATTACTGTCAATTGCATCCTTTTTTTCTTTTTCTTTTTTCTGTTTACAGTTGGAGCCTTATTATTAGTGGCTTGTATAGGGGGTGTTGAAATTGCAGTTAATTTCGGAGGTGTGATTGTACGATGGCTTGATATGATGAATGCACAAAAGTTGTTTGTGCGGATGCTCTAACGCGCAACATGGGAAGGGCAGTTGTTTTTGGTTTATGCATTGTTTGTCAATGGACCGGGTTGGGCTAGCCCAGCCTAAATTTTATGAGCTTGGGCTGGGCTAAATTTTAACTAGGCAAGAGAAAAAATTTGGCTGGGTTGGTACAAATAATTCAAAGTTTTTCCAGGGGGTTGGGCTTTCTCAAGCCCACCAAGTTAGATCGGGCTAGACCTATTGGGCTGGGCTGAAATGAGCTTATTACGTTTTTTGTTACTCGTTTCTTATCTTCTTTTTCTATGTTTTTATTTCACCCCGCCCCCTTTTTTTTCCATTTTTTCTCTATGTTCATAGTTCCCTTAGGCAAAAATAATAAACAATCCAACATTCATTAACGAAACTCTAAAATGCAACATTCATTAATGAAACTTCAAAATGCATCAATTCACTAGTGTAACTCAAAATGCGAAAATTCATTCATGAAACCCTAAAATTTGATAATCCAGTAGTAAAGTTAAAAAATACAAAAATTTATTTGCTAAAATGTGATATCCAGTACTGTACTGATTCGTAGATCAAAATTAATAATTTAAGAAGGGTGGTGATTTTCTCACTCCCCTTTTATTCACTTACATTTCCTTTGTTTTTTAATACTTTTTACTATAAGATAAAAAAGAGTGTAAGTGAACAAAAAAAGAGCGAGAATATACAATTTTAAAAAAATAGAGTGTAAGTGGATACAAAGGGAGTGGAAAAATTAGTACCCTTTAAAAAATAGTATGAATGATAAAAAGTAGGAGGGGTGAGCGAGATGCTCAAAGTCTGACTAGGGAATAGAATAAATAAAGTATAAAGATAATATAACAGTAAGGGGAATCAATAAATAAATAAATGGTGCCCTCGTGAGAAGCGATGCAAGCCCACCCTTTCTTTCGCCGCAAGAAAATAAACTTTTAATTAAAATGAAATGAGGAATTGAAAACAATTAATATAGCTTCTGAGACTGAAATTGTGAATGTGAATGTGAGTGGATCTTACATATGTATATATATATTCATGAGCCTGCTGCTGTTACCCTCTTAGCCTGTAGCAGCAGACAATCAGTCACCAGCAACTTAGCAAGGTCAGACTTGAGAGTTTAAATTAAAGGCTGATAATCAAGAGAGATACAGATGTGCGTGCGAGCTAGGCATGTTTTAATTCCACTTCCCCACCAATGGGCAAGTGGGCATTCGTCAGTATTTTAATTTCTCTCTTTTTGTTTTCTCAGAGAATTGTTTGTTTGTTCTTTTTAATTCATAGAAATACTATATATATATATATATATATATATTATTAATGAGTAGCTAAACTGCGGATGCTGCAGAGTCACGCGGAACTAAGAATAATAGAATTTCAGCCAGCTATGGCCGCGAAGTTTTTAGATGGGATTCACCATTCATAGAATTCAAACAGGAATAATTAATGAATTCATTCAACAAGGTTTTCTTTTCTTTTCTTTTCTTTCTGTTTTGAAAATGGCAAAAGTAGGGTTTGAGACAGACACACTGTCACACACCACAGCCAGCCAGCAGCTAATTAGAACAGGGAATGGAAGTGGGTTGTCATAATTAGAACATGGGGTGTTTTGCATCACATCATCATATCATCTGTGTTTTTATTTTACCAACCATTTGCAATTTTGCAGAAATCGAATATCACTTTGTCTTAACAAAAGCAAGATGTTAATTAAGAGCGCGATTACAGGCTCGCTGATCGTTGTTGATTATTAGCAGCAGATGCTCTGTCCGTTTTGCTCTGCTACTTTTCAACGCCCAAGACCCAAGAGCATGTGGCAATTATCCAAATGTCCCTACCCTACGTACGTACCCGCATCAGTTTTTATATAAAGTTTCCATCCATTTCGCAATTGCAAAACTTACTGCATGCAGATCATTTGATTCTCGATAACTGGAAATCTCATGTGATATAATTGGGATCGTCTTGGTTCATGTGTTTCTTCAAGGTGGAATGAGTGGGAAATGCTACATTGCACCCAACTTAATTATGTGTTAATTTCTTAGTGGGCCCAAACATAATACAAACGAAATATTATAATATCAAATATAATAATTTAGTACCAACGGCCCTAACTCAATGAAAAATTACATTAATTTGTAGAAAGTGGTCCCTCTTTTGCCTCTTTTTCATGATAAAAGGATGAGACTCGTATTGCAAGGAAAGGAAAGGAACAGAAAAATGAACTCCTCCTAAATGCATCAGCGCCATGACTTGTGTAAATGGTCAGTTGGTGTTAGGCAGCCCTTTTAATCATGAAAGTGAATCTAATGAGTTAATTTTAGTTCAACTTTAACCACCACTTACATAGCTCACTTTAGTCAAGACAATTATTGTAAATGTAAACATTAATGACTATATTAGCTTTTTTTTATTTATAGAAAAGATTGTATTTCATTAAATCGAAAGGAACATTACATGGTAAGAACTTGCATATTAACGGTGGCCTCATTAAAACCTTCACAGATGAAACAAAATCCCGAGGTAGAAAAGAATACCACTCATGCTATTGACTAAACAGAAGAGTCAAACAACTTATACGAAATAGACAACCCTAAAACCCAACCACAAAACCCTTAAAACAACATCTCATCACTACGTAGGTATTGTCAAAGAAGTCATCCTATGATCTAGAGAAAGCATCATAGTTTTTCGTACAGGGTCAAAAACGTAATATGGGTATTAGAATAGACCCAACCAGTTACCCAACTGCAAAACCATTGAAACACATCTCATCACTACGCATGTATTGTCAAAGAAAGCCTCATATGATCTAAAGAAAGCATCATAGTTCTTTGTACAGAGTCAAAAATGCATTGTGAGTATCATAACAAATCCAGCCAAACCAACCGCCACCTCCAATTTTCTTGATCCATAACCCTAGTTGACAAGAAACAGAGACCAAGATTGGCCTCTTAGTCTGAAGAAATTTTAGGGAGACCTTGGAGTCCCCTCAAGGCTGGTCTCATCTACCTTGTCAACAAAATCCTTGATACAAAAACTACGCTTATTAGAAAAAGCCATGCCACTAACAATCAAATGTCTAACACCAATTTTCGCACGCTTCTAATTCCCACTTGGTGCCACATACTTGTCATTCTCTTGAGCAGAAGAGGCAATGGTCACCTCCATAGCGTTAAAATGGAGACCCCTCACCAACGAGTGCCTCATTGGGAACCCAGAAAGGAAGCACACAGAGCTCCCCCACAGAGAATAAAAGAGCAACAAAAAAACTCAAAGAAACAATCAGAGAAGACTGAGAGAGATAGCATAGAGAATGAGTAAAGAAAACTAGAGAAACCCTAACCCTAGCTACAGAGCGACCCCAATTTATTAGCTTGTTTATTTTGTTCGCTATTTTTGGTGAGTCCAAATCAATTCTTCCCTAATCTCATATCCTCTCCGTGTTACCCATTTTAATTATTGTGTTTTTTATTTATGATTTATTATTATAAGTTAATGGAGTTTGGTTTTGTTATCTTGTGTTGGGTTTTGAAAGTCGAATTCAACAATCCTCGACTAATATTATATTTATGAGTTTAAACAATTTTGTTGTTGTGATCTGAAGCCAATTAGCTAACCTGTTAAAAGTTATACTTTAAAAAATGCAATGGCAACAGACTGAACTGACATTTAAAAAAAGAAAAAGCAAAACGTAATAATGGAAGCTTTCGATGGGAGAGCAGATAATACAGGCCTTTGGGAATACTGTTATGCTATTGATCTTTGGATTCTTGGATGGATGGTTCATGCTTTATGGTTGTTGATCTCATTAATTCCTAACAACCTTCTTAAATAAAGTCCTGTCCTCCGTTATTACAGAATTAAATTTTACAACAGCCTTCTTTTTTGTTTGGTTTTTCATTTTTAATTGGTGCTTGTGAAGAGTAACCTACAAACACAAACGTATGGCTGTACACACACACACATATAGATATATATATATATTTTAATTTAAGAGATCCTTTAATGAAAGTTCTCTGTATATATATATATATATATATATATCCATACCATTCATGATCTATATAATATATTTATTGATTTTTCTCTTTGCGGGGTTGCAAAGTAACAATGAAATAATTAACACAGCAGTATTTCACATGGATGCCTGATTAATTTACACAGTTGACAGTACATACTTTATCTTTGGGGAGCTTTGGGGAGCTTTTGGGAGCTTTTGGTATCTTTGGTTGCAACGCAAGAAAGAAGAAAGAAGAAAGAGGAGAGAAAGAGAGAGAAAGTAGAACAAACAAATAGTGCAAGTTAATGTAGTACGGAAGCGATGGCCAAAAACTCTAATGATGGCAAAGGTGAAGGCCGATTTGACATTTCCTTTCAAATCCCTTTGTTTTTTGAACATTGATTTAGACCCCTCTTCTTTTGGTGGCATCGTGTGTTGGCCTGCCCTGCCTAAAGCTTTTTTTTTTTTTTTTTTTTTTTTTTTTTTTTTTTTTTTTCTCTGTCCCAGAGTTAAACAACAAAATATATCTGACAAACTTTTTCCCTATGTGGTTTGTCCTTTTGGAGTTTTCACCATTCAATAATCACTTTGTATTCAGTACTCACTTAACCCATTGGCCGTTGCTTTGCTATTATGTGGGAGGCTGCACGCTGCACCATTGACATTTTCACATTGCTATGCTATTATGTTGGTGGATGAAGAAAATATACCGGTGGGAATGGAATTCAATCTCATTATCCATTAAAAACATTTTAGAACATATCCATACACATATTGTATAAGTATTGATAATATCGGAAAATATTCACATCGATAATTTCTTGTGAAACCAATTTAAAATCTTTGGGGTTATTCTTGTAATTTCAAAAACCTCAAGAAGTTTTATGAAAAAGTCTAAAATCTCATGAGGTGTTGGTGTAAATAACTCAAATTAGAACCTTATAGGAACTCTATGTGGTGGTAAGTCAATAATGTATACAATACATAAAGTGTAAAATATTATAGTAAATTATTATAAATAAATGATTATGGTGTGTTTAATTTTCTTTCATTAATTACCACATTTTCTACACTAGTGTTTGTCAGCTCACTATATAATCAACTCAAATTAGTTAAACCCGTCATGCAATGCATTTTCTGCCTTTTTTTTTTAGGTGATAAAATTATAGATAATTGACTAAATAAACATCCTACAAAATTGCAAGAAACTTTTTCAAGTTTTTCTAACAATTTATGCGATTTTTATTCAATTTTTATCGATATCGATAATATTATGATATTTCCATCGAAATTTTTTTAAACTACCGATATTTCCGAAATCATCGATTTTTAGACACGTTCCATCCTGTTTCTCTCACTCTCCTCCGTCCACCCTCTGTCAGAAAACCAAACCCCAACAAAAAACAAACAGAAATGAACAGAATTTTGAATTTAATTGAAAAAAAAAAAAAAAAAAAAAAAAAAAAAAAAAAAAAAAGGCCAAACCAACCCATAAATCAAATTCAAAAAAAAAAAAAAAAATTGGGTACTGAAATTTTGTACATGTAGTACTAGCAGCAGCAGCAGTAACAATAGAACATGGAAAATGGAAAAGGGTGACAAAATTTCCCGGCTAGTCTTGATATTATCTTTTTTTGTACACACTACAGAGAAAACCAAATGAAGCAAGATTCTCCAGCCCGCCGGTAAAGTTGGAATTTTTCAAGTCCAAAAGTCTTGCATGGATGAGTGACTATCGTCGTCTATCAGCAGCTCAATGCCTCATACTTGACTGTAATTGGGCGGTTAAACCCAACCTGCGACAGCAAATTCCCAACCACCGCAATGTCTCGGCAAAACACCCCTTGGAACGACGCCGCTGCTGCTTTAGCTTCCGATGATGACGAATGCATACTATGATTATTGATGATATTATTGTTGATACTATGATTATTATTCCTATTACTAGAATTGGAACAACTAGAGGAGGAAGAGGAGGAGGATTCAATAAAAGACTCTTGGGTTTGAGTTACTTGCAGTTGCATTGCCGCTGCTGCCTGAGCTGCTCCAAGTGCAGCAGCAGCCTTCTTTCTCTGTTTCTCAGCAGCTTCCTCTTCCATGATGGTTGTCATCACGCTCGAATAACCCTTCTGCATCAATCTGTAAAGCAACAGAGCTGACATCTTCGCTTTATCTCTAATTGAATCAACATCCCGATCATCCGCCAGCTCACAACGGTCAATGAAAATGGTGGCCTTATCGGGCTTGTGCCTTAAACACAGCAGCAAATGCGCCCTCTCTAACTCGGACCTCGAACAGCCACGCCGCAGGCCAATCAAAGCATAGTAATCCACATTCCCTGTTTCCCCAGAAGCCACCCTCTGTTTCAGTTGCTGTATCTTCGTCGTCAGCACACACAGCTTCCCGGGAATCTCCCTGTACCTCACGTTGTGTCTCTTCCAGGCCGGTCCCGCAAGCTTCCGATCCCTCAAGATGGCATTGTACAAAAGCTTCAAGTGCTCCAGGTCATGTAAGCAATCAGGCAAACACCTGATCGTCTCAAGAAGTGACGCTCTCGTGTCCAGCGCTTGTATGCAACTCGGCTCAAGAGCCAAAGTCCGATTACAGTCCGCGATGGCCTCCGCGATCCGACCCGCCGACCGGTAAGCCGAGGCGCGCTGCATGTAGCACTCCGCCAGGAATCCCTGTGGGGCCCCACGGCGGCCGTCGACGATTTTAGTGAAGTGGCGGATGGCCTCGGAGTAAAGGCCGGCGTCTAAGGCAGCAATTGCAGCGGTACGGCGGCGAAGGAGGAGCTTTATGTGGCTGAGGAGGTGGGTCACGGTTTCCGACTCGGTTAGGATCCGAGGCGGAGTGGCGGGCGCGTTGGCGGACGAGATGATGTCGTCTGAGAGATGGAAATTGGACAGGGAGAAGCTGTCGTCGGACCAGCATATGCTTTCGCGGCGGAATGCGGCGGTGGCAAGTCGTTTTCCGGTCTGGAGGAGAGCCATGGCATCCTCCATTAGGCCCAGGTGGCAACACGCCTGGCCGAGAACCAAGTACCTGTGTCCATCAAATACATCGCACTCAATCAACTCAATTTGCAAAGTGTATTATTTTTCTCTAATTATTATATGAATAAAAAATAGAAAGAAGAAATGGTGAATGAAAAGATTATTCAAAATTTGTAAGACTAGACGACTAAAAGGCCAAAGGGCGCACACACCGCATAAAATTATATATATATATATATATATATATAAGGGGGCACATGGCATATGGGGGAAAAACAGCTTGTAAATAGTGTGAAAAGGATTCAAATGTGAATGTCAATTGGATTATTTTATAATTTTCAAAAACGGTTAGCTGGCCCTGCAAATTTGGAAGTCAAATTTCTGGAACACAACTGGATTTCAGTGTTGTTGCCCCAAGTCCCTATCCCCTCTTTCCACAAAGTTTGAACAAAACAATTGCAAAACAAACAACAACACAAACATGTACCAAAATTTTGAAACAATGTATTATATTGTAGGGAATTGTTGCTCTTTTGAGAAAAGGTGCAAGTAGTGGTGGAGAAGAAGAGGTACAGAAAATAGCATTTAATTTGATGACTGGCGGTGCATTTACTACTCTACTGAAACGTATAGTGAATAGTTAAGTCATAAAAAGCTGAACCCAGAAAACAATTTAAAAAGGAGGCCAGGCAAAGGCAACACAACACGCAAAGCAAATTTGCAAAACCAATGGAATGGAGACAGAAGATGAGAATAGAGGAGGAATTAGAAATTACCTCCATTGCCCTTCCTTTTCGCAATTTTTACAGAGGCCTGCCATGACCTTCTTTTTCAAGTCGGAGACAGAGAAACACTTGAAGGAAGGTTCCCGATCCGGCGAGGCAGAGGAGGAGTTGGTGTTAGATGAGAGAAGCTTGACTCGCTCCCTGGAAAGCGGCTGAGAGGAAGAGTCGGAGGCCGAGTCATCGGATGCCATTTTGAGGCTGGGAATGTAGTCCTGAAGCATATCAGCCACGTCCTTGAAGCGCCTGAGATAGAGCAGAGACCTGGCTTTGAGTTCAAGGGCTTGTTCCAGGCGAGGCGAGATGGCCAGAGCCGCGTCCAGGAGCCCCACAGCCGAAGCGATCTCGCTCTGTTCATGAGTCGCAATCAGGCTTCTGGCATCTCTCATATACTTTTCCACAATCTGGATGGATATTATTATCAACCAAACAAACAACATTAACATCATTCATTAGCTCTCTCTACTGAATATTGGATCCTAAAAATTAGAAATGAATCCCCTTTTCATTTGGATTACTTTCACAAGAAGATGAAATTGATGCCTGATGATGAAAAATGGCATTGGCACCTTGATTGCAGCAACAATGAACTAAGAAATTGAAGATCAAAGACCAAAGAGGAGTCAAAGAGCGTACCTTTCTACTGCTAAGCCACCAGTGCTTCTTCTCATTGGAAGACAGACAAGGAGAAATAGCAGTCATTCTTCTTCTTGTTCCTCTTGTTAATATCTTGTAAGGGACTTCACCATTCACCATCAACCCTCCCCCCTTCTCTATCTCTCTGTATCCCCTTCAAACAATAAGACACATTTCTTTTCTCTTCTCCTGCTCTAATTAGACAAGGGAGAGGAGAAATATCTAGTTATATATGTAAGAAGAAGAAGAAAAAGAAAAAGATAAAGAGAAGGATACAGAAACAGAATGGAGGAGGATTTAGAATCTGCAGGAAATTTTGAGGAGTAAATATGGAAAGGAGGTGGAGAGAAGAACAAAGCTCTTAAAATAAAACTAAAAAATAAAAAATAAGAGAAAGAGAAAATGCCAGCTTTGACCTCATACATACACTCTCATAGAGAAACAAGTAAAGGAAAGGAAAGGAAAGCCTTGATCCTTCAACTTAGTAGCTGGCACCAGCCACTCACTGCACAGCACAGTATTAGATTCTCTCTCAAGTCTCTAGCTAAGCCTACTATCAGAGTCTATGACCAAAATTACAAAAAAACTGATTAAATTCTTATCTCATCTACATTCAACATTAACCCACTGGGCTGCAGCCGGTGAGTGCAGCATTATGACTGGATATACCCGGTCAACCATCACGGGTCCTTCCTTGGGTTCAACTACCGGGCGCAAAAGATTAGACGCCACCAAATTTGCCCCCATAGCCTAAAATAATTAAGTAAATGATTACTATACTTATTTTTATTTTTTTCAGATAAAGCGATAGAATTTTATCGAGGAAATAAACATGCAGTACTCTCTAAAATAAGGATAAATTTAAGGGGATTATGCGAGTATCTCTAAACATAAGGATTTAATGATAATTTAATTCAATTTTAGTGGATTTTTAAAAAAAAATTAAAAATATTTCCAACAAAACAATATAATGAACACAATACTCCATTCATTTGGTGGTAAATAAACGCTAGACTTGACTCCTTAATTAATGTGGTTGGTTAACTAACTAGGTAGAAATGTGACGCGGTGTTGTGTTGGAGAGGCTTGGTGTTTATCTTTTAACCTAAGAAATGAAAACTTTTCTAAATTTGTACGTATGAAAATTTCGTGTTGATTCTTATTGATTGTGTTTCTTAAAGTTGAAAGAAATTAGCAATGCCTTTTTTTTGGTATTTAAAATATTACCAATGTCTTTTTATGGCCGATGGTTTCATAGCCAACTCTGTCTATAGATTAGATAAAATGATTAAATAAGTAAACTCTAAATCAATAAATAATTAGTTTGATGATGTGGCATGGCGACGTTGAGTATTTGATTAATTGGTTAGCGAGGAAGTGGTTAAGGGAAGCCAGCTTATCTATTAATTTAATATGGCAGATAAAACTAAAAAGTAATTTGGTGTACGTGTTTATACATGGTTGGAGATTTCATACAATTTATTCCTGTCTTAATTTGTTAATTCCAATAGCAACGTTCATCTCTAGCAGTCACGCTTTATAATTGGTTAAATTATTCAAGAAATGCAACCAAATATGTTACATGTGTGGGATAGTGTGATATGTGTAAGATGCTTTCTTTTTTTGGCCAGAGTGTAAGATGCTTATTATTAGCAAAACAAAATGCTATTTCAAACGCTCAATTCATTTACTAACAAGTTTTTTTATGGAAAATTTATACAAATAGCAACTTTTATTTTATTCAAATTATTATGATTCTTTCCCTTGTTTGGACTTTGGATGGGATGATTGAGGATAGGTAGTATAATAGTAAATAGATAAAATGAAGAGGGAGGAATTAGTAATATTGAATTGGATTAGATTGGATTGGATTGGATTGGATTGTATCATAAGCACATTTATTTATTTTTATAGTGGGAGAAAGTAGAAAGTGACTCTTCCCTTGTAAGCCACAGGAATCATGCTTTTCCTTTTGGGGTTTTTGCTTGCTTTGCTTTTATTGTTGTGTGTGTATATATATATATATATTTATTTATTTATTCACCCACAACCTCAACCACAACCACAATCCATCCACATTGATTAATGAATGGAATGCACATGAATGTGGATAGATTGCCAGATGGGTTTGTCTTAAAACCCTCTCTAACTTACCCTTTCCCTTTCCTCTGCCCCCACCAAACCCACAACAAACAAAGCACCCTCATTCATTCTTTCCATTCCAGAAACAACCCTCTTCCTCCTCCTCCTCCTACAATCTCGTGCTCTGCTCTTGGCCACGTCATCATGTGAACCTGGCCTGTATCCACGTGTTATTTCCTTATGTTGGGTCCCACAGTTCAAGGGCCACTCTCATAACCAGACCAGATCAGCCACAATTCCTCTGTAAGTTTTAATTACTATACATGGACATTCTTCATTAAGTATTTTATGTTAAGGATTAGTTTACATAATTTCGGCGTTTGATTGCATCTAAGAGACTATCAACACATTTAATGAATGCAATCCAACGCCCAATATTAGAAGTATATAACCAATCATTCACATAGAATACTAATTGGAAAATCTCCTTCACTATAGTATATATATTGATAACATCATCAGACTATTCATTTAGTAAATTACTGTTCATATATGTTATCTCTGTAAAGAAAATAATCAAATTGAGGATCGTTTAATCATTTATGCATATAAAATAAATTGAGGTTTTGTGTAATAATTAAGATCCTCGTGATGAGTGTCTTCATTTATTTGTTACATATGGTCGGATGACCAATTTGATACATGATTTTTAAATGGTAATTTGGAAAATGAAGTATATTATGATTTGAAGGGGTGAAGTTCATACTTATTCTTTCATTTTCAATATATTATTGGATGACAATGCATGATTATTCGTTCTGGTGTAAGTAGCATATCAGTATGATTAAAATTGCACATATGATTCCCAACTTGTAGACAGAAAAATTTATGAAGCTTAGAAGAGTTGCCAAACAATAAATCAATATGGTCAAGATTATAAAAGAGAATGCTTCCAATTTCTTACCAGATCTTCTAATTATGGTATTGTACGTACCCAAACTAAAATTGGACACATGTTGTTAATTTATGGTACTATACAGCAACAATAATAGTAATGCCTAACAGCCTCCTGCGTGGAATGAAAGACTTGGATGCACCATTATTTGGTTACAATATTCTGTCTGAAATATACGATCCCAGTTAAACTAGGTACTTTAAAATTGGGTATCCCCATCTCCATGATGGAAGAATTAATGGGGGGTGGGGGGATGATCAAATACTATTGTCTTGTAATGGGTTGGGATAATGACATACTAGAATAATTAAGCTAAGCTCGTTCCCATAGGTTGGGGACCATTTGGACTCATGCGAAGGGTTTGGTTTCTTCCACACAAGCACAACACAGATAGATAGAGACGGCTGCAACTCTTGTCTTTGTACAGCTAAGAAATCCAGGTTGTAAAACTTATTTGAGACGAAGATGGCCCATTTTATAGGTAGAAATCATTAATACAATTATACAATATGAATGAAGCAAGCTAATAGCTATGGCATGTGTTGTGAACTTGTGAGGTGTCTCAGCGTCTCAGCGTCTCAGTGTCTCAGTGTCTGTCTGTCTTTGTGTATTTTCATTTTGGCTAGGTCAATGTAGGCTATTTGATCATCTGGATCTGGTGTTCAATTCGAACCCTTTGTTTAGGTTTTGCATGAAGCTATATGTATATATATAGAGACATTTTTGCATTCGTACGGGTTCAAACATTCCCATCAATAATTAACGCAAAGAAAGCTGATTGGATATTCGGCTAATAATTCCATTTTGATGTTTAAATTCCGATTAGAGATATTAATTCCCACAACATTATAAATTTAATATTGCATTAGATGCCGGGTGGGTGGCTGTTAGTGTTTACAACAAACAAACAAACAAACAGCATCATGATTATTCATGCAATGCAACTTTGCAAATTGCAAAATTGTGGTTAACCATTCTCAAAGACATGTTTGTGTCCAAGGGGGCAATATGTGTTGTCAACTCCTAAATATTCTCTTCTCCTTTCAAAAAACACTAGTTATTATAATTAATTACATAAGCTTGTTTCTTGTTTATTCCACTCTATCTGCACTTTGCTCATTTCGACGGCATTTAGAATAATCCATCCCCTAATTAATTTAATTTAATAAAAGTCTTTTTTCCTGAGCTGTATAATAAATCTGTGCTGTGCAGAAGCTCAAGCCCAGGTCTGAGGGGCGCACGTGTCTTGTGGATGAAATTTCACGTGGGGAAGGTGTCCCATGTGCAAAGACGTGCAGCTTTATGAACCCATATTCACCCCAGTTGCCTTGCCTTGGTTTATTAGCTTAACTTAAGTGTGAAATGGCAAACAACGCCAGCCTAATTGGGTTGGGTTGGCTCTCTCTCTCTCTCCCCCCCTCCCTCTGTTGCTTTGCTCAAAAGTTGGGTTGCTGATATATTATTATCACTGCCTCTGCAAGTCTGCAACCCAACCTTCCAATATTATATAGGACCTCCATCTCTAAACTCACATCCAGGTTCATTGTTCGCTAATATGTCATCCATCTCTAAACTCACATCCTTTTTTACTTAAAATTAAAATTAATTATGACAATTGTCGATAAACCACGCTTGTACTGTTTAATTAAACAACAGTTGACGAATCTCACATCCTTAAAGTAATTTGAGTATACGACTACTCACAAAATCAAATGTGCTTTTAATATTCTAAAGCATCATTCATCAATTTAAACTCGTTAAAATGTTCCGTTTACAATGTCCTACATATACGTCAGAAATGACATATCAATTAAAATTTGGCAAGCAGCTAGGATAATACATAATAGGTTATCCAAAATATATACAATAATTGTTTCTTTTTCAATATTATACTGATTGTTTGCAGACTCAGTTATTTTACAATTATCAAGCACCTCTAAGACTTATTAAAAAAATTTAAAACTATGGCAGTCAAACGATTTCTTTTTTCTTTTTTCCCCAAGAGAAGCATAGGATTCCACAATAAAGAATTGCTAATTAGATGATTCTTCATGAAGCATTTATTTTCTAAACCATTTCCCAAGCTAAACTTACAATTCATGTCAATGTCTATTCGATCGTCAATACTGTAACAAGTTTTCTTTTCCATTATATAAACACCAATGGCCACTACTATAGTACTATTTCGCCTTGGGGCCTTGCCCTTTTTCTAGTAATACATACATCACACATCACAAACTTTTAAGGGTATATATGTCAAGTCACGTCACAACCATGAATTCACCCCAATTTCGAGAAAGTTTTGAGCCCCCCTGAACTTTCATATTATACAATATTCCCCCAATCTTCACTTTTGTCGCAATTTTTCGTTAGTTTCAATCACGTACATATGACTAACTTTTAGTGGCATATACATCAGTTGACGTTGCAACAACCCTAATTTTGGGTCTTACACGAAAGGCTGGATGGAAATTTTTCTAGTAGGGAATGGGTGAGCCAAACCAAATCCCAACTTAAAATAGCAAAAGAAAAAACTCTCAATTTGATAAAATAATTGAGAAGATAAGAGAATATTTAGGAGAGAATCACTCTAAAAAACAACATTGATGTAACCCCTTTCCACTGCCATCACTTCACTCGATCTAGTTGCAATAGCCTCAACCTGTAGAGCGGAAAAAATGTTATCACAACAAACCGCGAGTCTTGCCACAAAACCGCGCCTGATAAATTATGAACCATGCACCATATCATAAATACAGTGAACACGACTTTGAAGTTAGTGGGCATTGTTAAATTTTCCCCCTCATATATATATATATATATATACATATATTAATTACTACTTGGTGAGGCTAAGGAAGATTTTAACATGAATTATATGATGAAATTAAATAAATATATAACCTTGGGCAGTGTCTTAGTTTCAAATTTGAATGGTTTGCCCTGGTCGTGACAGTAGCTGATTAGCTCCCAGATTAGATTGAGACCTGATTTAAAGCTGAATCTGATCCAAGAATGAAAGGTTGGCCCAATAATTGGGCACAACATGTGCAAAGTAGTAAGGTATGGAGCCTTCGCTGAGTCATGGGCATCAGAGAGGGCTCATATCATATACAAGAGTGGTGTTTGGAATTTATTTCGAGCCCACCCACGGTCCACCACACTGCCCCTCAGCCTTTGGAAAAGAGAACAAAAATTCTTTTCGGGTAGTTAGTGCTACTCCTTGCGCTTGAAGAAAATTATTTACAAATTACAAAACAAACCAAATGGTCACATCACAATTTTGGAAGGCAAAGAAGAAATGTTAATTATAATTAATTAGCTCACTGATGACTTTATGTCATTGTGTGTCTTTTGTTATAATTAGCTCACTGAGACTTTATCAATTGATTCTTCACCACATAAAAAAAGAAAAAGAAAAAGAAATGAAATGATGCAGGATGATGTAAGAAGGAGTTGAATAAGTACGTACGTTGTGGGAATCTGTGGTCTCTCTCATACAGTCATATATACTTGCTTGGGCAGTGGGCATGGCATGCATTATATATGGCCTAGGTCACTCTCACTCATATTCTGCTGATAAATGTCAAAATCGGAGCCATACTGTTGTAGTTTTTTGTTTTTCGTCTTGGCTACCTTCCTGGGGTTTGCATATGCAATTTGCAGCCTCAGTCATCATCATATCCTCATCTGTGTTGCTGCTGCTGCTGCTGCTGCTGCTGCTGCTGCTGCTGCTGCTGATGATGATGCACATCAGATCAGCACATGTAACATAAGATTGTCCGCAGGATGGCAGGAGTTACCTAAGATTAGCCAAGCTTGGTGCTTTTCCTAGCTATTTGCGTCACATATCGGAAATATATAACAATAACACATTATACCATCAAATCTTAATTTTATATTAATTTTCTGCGTTAAGCTTAAGCAAGTGCATGGTGCAGCAAACCCTCATTTACAGCTCATGTGAGAAATTAGATGAAACGTGTAAAAAGAGTCGTTTATATGATTAATAGTCTTCTTAATGGATTTCTCATGTGGCTGAAGCTGTCTCTAATAAATAAATTAAACTTTTTCAAACCGTCGTTGAAATTTCAAATTCATCATTCATAGCTGAAGTTCGCATACTTCTCTTCCATATTTCTCATGTAGATTGGAATTTATTAGACATATATATATATATATATTTATATACTACAAAAAGTAGAATTGTACGTATGAATTAATTTCCAATGTACGTACATTTGCTTCAATCAATTCAATGCTCAATCAACTTGAAATATATATCAAGATTTCTAAGCAACCAAAAGAAAAGAAAAGAAAAGAAGAAAAATCAAAATCTGAAACAATTAAAGGATTGGGGGTACCCCTATTTTCTCCTCCTGCTGCTGCTGCCGTTCAGCTGGAAAAGGTCGACCTTAACGAAGGCGTATCCATCCTTTACTCAAAAAAGAGTATGAAAATGGTGGTGGAAATGAATTAGGATATATATATATATATATATATATATATGTGATGACTTGAGGCCAAGCCCCAGTCACACAGGCAGTTCAGAGTGTAGCGGGCTGGAGGGAGACAGAGTGCATGAGGTCACCAATATGAAGTTTGTGTCGTCCCATTGGAATTCTTCGAATTCCAGACCCGTCCACAACGCTAAGGTGCTTGCACACATGAATGTTGATTCGGACTCGGCGTTGAGTGTTGGCGGGGACATACACTTTCTCAAACGCAACCAGTTGCTTGTGAGGAGGAGCCCAGCCGCCTTGTCGTGGTGGGCTAGACAACACTAGCAAAGTGTGAGAACCATCTCGGTTGCCCACATTTCTCACGTCCACATCAAGACCCACGGAAAGTTTGCTGCATTTTGCATGCGTCACTCGGATTGCCTTGCCATAAGAAGAAGAATCGTTAATGGTGGTGGTTGTTGTTTTGTTTAGGGATGTTGTGTGGTGGCGACCATCAAGAGCGATGGAAACCACAGTGACAGAGGGTACATTATTGGGTATGGTTTGAACAAATTTTGTGTAGCTCAATCCGTGACCAAACGGGTACACCACTGGGCCTTTGTAGAATCTGTAGGTTCTTCCAGGGTATCCTTTTGAAGGGCTTGACCTCATCTCCATGGCTGTCATTGCCAAATTCCTAAGATACTCCTGTGGGTACCAGGTCATAGGCAGCTTTCCTCCTGGGTTTGTGGTTCCGAAAAGGATGCGGGCAATGGCTGCTCCCCCAGCTTGGCCAGGGTAGCCAGCCCATAAGATGCCACCGATGCGTGGGTCATTGTTAGCGAAAGACACGTCAATTGGGCCACCGGACATCAACACCAAAATGGTTGGGCCTTTAGAAGCCGCAGCAACTTTAGATACAAGGTCTTGCTGTCGTCCAGGTAAAAGCAGCCCAACTCGGTCTCTGAATTCAGCTTCAATGGACTGGTCAAGCCCCATCACCAAAACAGTGGCATCTGCTTGACGGGCAGCATCAATGGCTGCGCCGAATAGCGTGTCGTTGGCGCACGCTACATCCGCACAACCCGGCTTGTGAAGGGTCCTACTTGCATATTTCCCTAGTCCTTGTAGGGGTGTAGTGTATCCGCATGCCACACCTTGAAACATGATTAAATAATTGTTTGATTATATTAAGGGTTTACTTATATATATATATATGTATTTAAATAAATAGTAAATTTGTGCTTAATTACTAGTTACCTACCGGCGTAGTTGCCGATCATAGTGAGAGTAGCATCAGAATTGGGGCCAATGACAGCGAGAGTGCGGTGACGGCGGGTGGACAAAGGCAGCGAGGGCCCGTGGTTCTTGAGAAGGACAATGCCTTGCGTGGCAGCTTCAAGGGCTAGGTCCTGATGAGCTGGGCTGCATACGTGTTTGGGGCCCAATCTGGCATAGGACGACGACGACCCAGCTGCATTATCATCAAACATCCCCAGTCTCATTTGGACTGTCACTGTATTCACTAATGCATTGTTGATATCAACCTCCTTCAACAACCCTTTTTTAACTGCTTCCTCTGAGTGCACACCCAGGAATGGCCCACAGTCTAAATCCAAACCTGCATACATATCCAATTAGTTAGTTTTACTTAGGAGATCAGATAACCATGCAATATTAATCTAGTCAAGTTTAATTCACCTGCTTTAATGGCATCAGCAGCGGCTTCTTCAGGTGTTGACGTATAGTGTTGGCTATCATAGAATACACCCACTGAGTCGCAATCAGACACAATATAGCTGCATGAAAACAACAAGTTATCCGTTGATTAACAAGTTGTATGTGTGTATGTGTGTGTTACCAAAAAAAAACCAAAAAAATTACCCATCAAGGCGCCATTGAGCGCGTACAGTTTTCTTGAGGAGATTAGGGTCGGCGCAGGTGGGGACACCATTCACTTGGTTGTATGAACACATGACGCTCGCCACCTTTCCTTCCTTGACGCACATCTTAAATGGCACATCGAATGTCTCCTCCATGTCCTGCTTGCTTACCTATACGGTTACACCCACCCATGCCATGCCATGATGCCATGTCAGTTATTCTTTTTTAAAAATAAAAATAAAATAAAAAATAGGTGAAAAAAGTGGAATTAATTACGTATGATGTTAATTGAGGGAGGGAATTTCAATTACCCTAGCGTTAAAGTGAAAGCGGTCAACTCCGTTCCAGTTATCGAGGTCGTAAGCCGTGAAGTGCTTACAACAAGCAGCCACCTTCAAGCGGTTACCGTCACTGCCCTGTAACCCCCTCACGTAGCTGGCAGCGTATCTACCCACTACTAGAGGGTCTTCACCGGGAGTTTCCTGTCCACGGCCCCACCTAGGGTCTCTCAGTATGTTCACATTTGGGCTCCAAAACGTAAGCCCAGCAACACCCCCGTTGTACATGGCTCTTGCTTCGTCTGACACTACCTGCACCACCACCACCGTCCCAGTGTTAATAATATTATATTCATGCACACACATTAATTAGTATACTTAGCAAATTCAGGTCTACAATTTGTCACTGGAATATTACATATGAGCCAAATTCATTGAGTTGAGCTTCAGAGTACCACCAGCAACTAGCTAGCTAGCTACCTACCACTCCCGCTCACACTCATACTCACTGGAGAGAGAGAGAGAGAGAGAGAGAGAGAGAGAGAGGGCATGTAACTTATACTGCGGCATGGGATGGGCTATCCATTGAAAAAGGGAATTATAAACTATGAAAGCAGTGTACCAACCTTTGTTTTGTTGGCCCACTTGTTCTACATCCATATCTCAACCTCCAATAATATCCAATTCATTCATTTAAAGTAAAAGGTTTGAGAGTAGATATAAAGCAAGATAAGGATAATCATAATGTATTTACAACTTAATTTCTACTTATTTATCAACATAATCTTAATTAAAGTAACTTTCCACTATTTCATTATGGGAAGCGGAACAATATTCTCTAATTAAAGTGTATATTTCTTTGTTTTATGTGGGAAGTCACTTTTGAATTCTTGATAATGTTTTAATAACCAACCAATGCATTATGCATATATACCAAATACTCACGACACCTTGTGCAAGCCACTATATATAATATAATACGTGTATTTATTTAATAATATTATAAATAACTTAAGTTTATAAATATCAATCTCACGTGACAACATAACCGGCATACTAATTAAAAAAATTCTTATGCTTATCATAACAAAAAGAAGATGGAATAGAACCCCCAAAAAAGCCAACTTCAATTATAGTAATGAAGCCCTAAATTTATAGCTAGGAGGACGAATCTAGGAAATGGTAAAAGTAATTGAAAGAGGAAAGCAAAAAGAAAAAAATCTCTCACCCGTCCGATGGCTTCCCACAAAGATGCATTGAAGGAAGCAGCGGTTGTGATGACTTGAGGGAAGCTAGTGGCCCCAGGGAAGTCCCCACCAAACTTGGTTCCGGGCCCGACATTTGAGACGCCATGAAGTGCCTCGGACCACCATTCATAGCCTTTGATCCCAAGGCGTGGGACGGGCAGAGCAGTATTCACCAGCAGCTTAACCTTCTCTTGCAATGTCAACCTTGCAAGAAGATCCCTCACTCTATCTTGTATGGGCAATGTCACACGGCAAAATGGCAAGTCCTTGGTCCTTGCATCTTTTGGGTTGCAAGCGAATGAGTCGCTGCCTTGGCAACTTTGCTGGAAAACACCCAAAACCAGGAAAAGGCAGATGAGGGATATTGAAGCTGCAGCCATTCTTCTAGCTAGTGTAAAATTGTGCTCTCATCTGGGGGACTGGGACTGGGACTGTGACTGGGAGGGGAGGCAAAAGTCATGTAGTATATATAGCCATAAGCGTGCTACAGCAGTGCACGCAAGTATGGGGGTATGGAATATTGGATGGATGTTAGTGAATGATGTTATATACTCATAATGTTTTTTCAACTTGCTTAGAGAAAAGCAGTGTGTGTGTGGGCGCGCGGGCGGTGGGGAATAATATCATATCACATAAGTTGGTGGCCAGTTGATAACTTATGAGAGCAAAATTCATAATTGAATTTACCAGCTGCCATTGTAACTTGCAAGTAAGTCAAATAAATAAATTGAGAAGATCAGAAGAGTAGGTTTATGTAGGCCATCCGATATGCACTCATGGCTGACGTACATTAGCTCATAAAAATGGATAACCATTGGTCGTCCACTTTCGAAGAGATGTCGGCTCCGGTCCCATGCATAGAGAAATTGTAAGAGTAACGGGTGAAGTTAGATAATCTAATTGATTAATTGTATCTTGTAGATTAATTTTCGATTAATTTTCTACACATATGATATAACCACCAGACTACAGCAGTACTCTTCCACTACCACTAGCATAATATTTCTTCAATTCTATCTTGCTTCTCAAGCATGGGATGGGATGATAGATGATATAACAAGGGAGAGAAAATCTTGCTTAAAAATAAAAATAAAAAAGTCTTCAAAGTACTGGTAATTTGAAGACTTTCTCATCATCATATCATAATCATACTAGTATGGCAAGTAAACCAAGAAAAGCCCTTACGAATGGAAATGATAATATCAAGCAGGGGGCTTTGCTTCCAAGGGAGGTTACTTTTCTATGTATGATTCATGATTGCATTGCATCAGCAAGAACAAAGGAATTAAAAGGAATTTCTTAAATTAAATACTGTCAGTGTCACCAAATAAAACAAATAGAAAAAGAAAGCACTCTACTGTTAGCATTAAAACAAGAAGAAAAAGAACGCATTGCTTTTGTTTTTCTAAAGAAAAAAGAAGAAAGCAGTATTCGGCTAATATTGTATGGGCGTACTGGTACTGGACTTTTATATTCTGTTGGTGCAGGCATTTTGTAGATATAGTTGTTGGGTCATGGTGGCATGGGGAAAAGGAAGACAGCAACTTGTGTTGTGTCTAGTCTTTTTAGTGGTACCATAACATATAATATGGATATATGTATTGAAAAGCTTCTGTCTTGGGGTTTTCTTGGGAAGCACTTTTCCCACTTCTATCTTTCTCAGAGTCCAGACACAGTTTTTTTATTGAGATATTTAGGCATATATTATCAATAAATGATAGAATAGAGTAACATTAAAATCATGATCATACACCGTGCGTGGTGGTGCACCGCCCCAAATAACAGTATATATAGAGGGATTTTCCGCTCTGATATCGATCGGCCACCAGTTTTTTTATTTGAACCCGCACTAGATAGCACAGTACGTACAGTGGAGTAGCCAAGGAACCATATTCCTTCCTCAATAGTTGAATATAAATGTTTATGATATGAGTTGATATGCAGATGTAAATTGCAAATTGCAATGCAGGCGGGCAGGAATTAATGTTTTCTTTACCTTGTGTCACCCGCTTAATGTGCTTGCTTATTATTAGCTTAGGCTTCAAGCGTTTTTGTTTTCTTGTAACGCTATGTAAACCTTAACCTTGTGTATGTATATATAGTTGAACAAAGTTGTTGTTATGGTGTCATGTCATGAGCGCTGCTTGAGATCAGGTTTCACTTGGTCAACGTACGTACGGAGGCCGAAGTTGTTTGTGATTAACTACTAAGCTGGAATTTCAAATTGAGATCCAACAGAAAGCGGGAGAGAAAGATAAGAAATAATTAATTGGAGGGGGACCGGGTTGAGAAAGAGAAAGATAATGGCAGACTAGTTGTTAGTTAACTTAATTTGCTTTGATGACCCATAGGCAATAGTAATCATGGTTGCTGATTAAATTAAGATGGTGTGTGTGTGTGTGCGCGCCTAATTATGAATTGTGTGATTAGAGCTCTGAACAGAAACAAACAAATTAGTTGGGTGGGTGAGGTTAATCAACCGTGGAAGTAACAGGAGAATTGGGAAAAGTTAGTTGAATAAGAAGAAGAAAAGAAATAGATTAATTATTATGTGAGGGTGAGCTCTTGACGATTTTGTTCTATACCTGTTTTCAAAACTCCTCCCCCGCCTGCTGTGCTGTGCTGTGCTGTGCTGTGATGAAATATTAATAGCAGCAAGACCCTTCATCAAAATACTCTCATAAATGACACACAAAACAACACTAGTCGAACAGATTACACCATCTCATACAGCCATTATCTCTTACAATTAACTCTAATTAATTATAAATGACATACATTTCATCTTTTATATATATACTTACTTCAACAACATTCTTCATTAATTTCCTTTCCCATTGCCTCACAAGGCCTGCCATGCAGATGCAGATGCAGATGCAGATGCAGCATAGTCGAAATCGAAATACTACAAACTTGGCACTTCATCACTAAAATGGATTTTTCTTATTAGTTCAAAATAACCAATGAGATTTCTTCTTGTCAACCTTCTTCTCCTTAATGGTATCCAAATTTGGTTTCCAAGTACCCTTGCCTGAAAACTGCCTACTCAAATATTCTGGTCTCGCGTCCAAATCTTCCGGCAGATCAAACTGTGGCATGTACTTCGAATTCGACGTCCTCTCCGCACAAGATTCCTTGTTTGGCAGAGCACAAGCTTGTCCAGGATGGCCTGCTGGGCATATCCTAGCAAAGAAAGGTAAAAACCTTGAAGATGACAATAGTGACCTTGATCGTAAAACCAAATTTGCACTTAAAACAACACCGTGAATCTCTTGGGATGACAAGGAGACTGGTTTCCCTCGCTTCATTGGCAGCATTAAGTAAATATTTTTCTTGTCTAGCTTCATATCTGCAGGCAATGGGGTTGGCCTTTTTTCGGAGACAGCCGCTCCGAATTCGATAACCACTTGTTGTGGGTGCTCTAGCATGAGCTCAGCAACTGTTAGGGGCTTGTTGAACTGATGCACCGACCCATCCGATAATATCACTTTTCCGGTGGCGCTGGCATGTAATTGCTTGTGCGAGATGGAATTACCCATGAATTATAATTATAATTAAAGGCTCAAGCTCAAAAGATGACTACTGAAACTAATTCAAACTACTCTTAGAAGGCAGAGAGAGAGAGAGAGAGAGAGAGAGAACAAGAGGTGCATAGGATTTTTTGATGATCAGTTGAAGAAAATCTTCTGTTTTGTGGCGTTTTATATATCATTAGTAGCAAGGTATACGCGTCTAGCCTTGTAGCTGCTAGCTAGGAGTAGGACTGGGAGCTTAAGGTTGTAGGACATGTTGGTTAACCAGCTCCATCTTGGTGACGGATACATAGTGGACTTGGTAATTAATATATACAAACACTTAACTAACCAATACAATTGGATGGGGTCGTTGGGTCTGGGGTGGGTTTAGTCCTAATATTTGACCAGCTTTTCATGGAGAGACAAGGGCATATATAATACATTGCTAAAGCTTGCTTCAAGACTCTGCTGGGTTTGATTAAATCTGCGGCCACAAATGTGTGAGGTACCCACCCAGCTCACGTCTGCCAATTCTTATACCCATAGGCCACACAATTTATTTAGTGGAGCCCAGAGATCAAGGAACGGTTCAACCATAACTAGGTTAAGTTGTTAACTAAATTTATTAACAGAACTGCGATGACCGAAGCCTAAATCGTAATGAAAGATCGAGCTCAAGTTCAAAATAAGGTTCCTTTTCCTAATTGTAATTATTAGAAACTTTCAGATTACCCTTAAAAGTTGGGATCTTTGAAAAAAAAATTGAGCAATTACCAAGAAAATGCCAAGCTGTGGTGAGTATCTTTCGTTTCTTTTCTGATTGACATTGACGACCAGACCAGCTAATAAATTCTTCTAGGCAGCGATCAGTAATGAATTTTTATAAACATATCTGCACGAATGCTTATCTCTTAAACACTTCCTACAATTAGAAGATGAAACAAGTCATTCCAGACAAAGTAATGACACGTTCTACTACTTCCTTGCTCCAAAACAATAGAAATATGCAAGAGAAGGATTGAGGCCACAAATAATTTTTTTACAAAGCAGTGGCATTGATATTTCCTTCCACACAAATCCGAAGACAATAAAAGATCCAATTTAAGAGCCTAAATAAAACAAGACTGAATAAAATTTTGAGGTAAGGTGCCACAGGTTGTAGTAGTTAAAGGGGCTGTAGTACATGTTGTCGACCATACTCCTACTTGATGTATTGAGAGAGCCATTTGAAACCATCACCATACCCCATTTTTCGTACAATGCTGCACATAAATACTTCTAATGGACGGACATTTGAGTCTGTTAGGTTTACCTTGCCCTTGCCAGTGGTGAAGTTGGTCAGCCCAAGGTGGTGTCGCAACTCATCCTCTGAGGCAGCATATGGTATGTCAATCTTGTTCCCTAGAATTAGAAATGGGACATTGGCAAGAGCTTCATCAGAAAGGAGTGCATCAAGTTCCTTTTTTGATTCAGCAAACCGCTCCTTGTCATAGGCATCCACAAGGTACACCACAGCATCTACCTGTAAAAAGCAAACCATGTATGTATGACCCATGTTGGAACCCTTTCCTAGCTGATGAAAGTCCAATCACAACATAAAAGGGGCAAAGTAATTTCAAACTTAAACATCTATCACAGACCAGAGGTACAAGGTTCTACAACTGAGATGCAGAGCATTAAAGATGCAACACAAACACTTGTGTCCATGCAAAATATCCGAGGCTTCAATCAGTTAAAGAAAAATGCATAAATTGGTTGTACCAAGCAAGCAGAGAAGTTGAAGGCTCGACCAGGACGAGAAAGAACCCAGTACCAACATGGATTAAACTATGAAATTCTGAATGATGGCAAGGACGAAGCTTTCTTCATCAGATTTCTGACCAGTAAAAAATACCTACCTATTGCAAGCAGGTTTGAGTTGACACAAGAGAGAGACATTGCAAAATAACGCTGCAGAGACATGACAATTGAGAAACAATATATCTAACCTTTGCATAGTAATCTCTCCAGACCCTGCGAGCAATCTGATGACCTCCCAAATCAAAGGCCTTGAACTTGATTTTCCCAATGCTCAACTCCTCTGATGTTGGATACTGCGTAGGCTGATGCTGTACCAGTCTCTGGAAACCAGTACAACCAACAAAACTCAAATTGTGAACTTACCACACAGAAGAAGAGCAATTCATTTGCAAACAATCTAATATTTATATTCGAACAAATCACTACACTAGCAGCTAGCAGCACACATGAAATGAAAATACCACCGTGGATAATCTAATATTTGACCGATTGCTCTAGTTTTGGGCATAAATTTGAATCTTGTTGTGAGCTGCCTGCGCTCTTTGTTGTTGATGTATTGCTTGTGCGGGCGGCTGTGATTAAGTGATGTATAATTTTTGTGCTGTGTATTTGGCACTGTTTTTGGGGAGAAGGGAAACTATAGATCTTGTAATTGTAAATCTAGCTGCTCAATTCTTTTTCCGAGGCAATTCTATTTACAAGAAATAATCTAATCCGAAATAGGAAAATTAAAGCATAAAATGAGAATTTAAAGGAGAAAAGGGGGCCAGCCAAGGAAGGAACCTCGTCTTTCAACATGTGAAGCAAGGTGGTCTTGCCGGCATTATCGAGGCCAAGGAACAAGATCTTGGCCTCTTTCTGCCAGAGACCCAGGGAGGCCAGCACACCGTAGAACCAGTCGAACAGAAACATGCTCAGAGAGTCAGAGGCTGGCCGGTGCTGCTCAATCAATTAATTCTCACGCGGATCGGAACCAAATGGATCGGGTCGAGCTCTGATCCACGACAATCGAAGCCTTATCGGATCCTGCCGTTCAAGGCTTCCGATGAGAGTTCATGAGTCTACGATCCCTAACTCAAAACATAGGAATATAATAAAGTAGTAAGTATCCAAATTACAAGCGAATTATGAGAGAGAGGGAGAGAGAGAGACGCAGACAGCAACGCACGCAATTTTCTGGTAAAGTTTGTGGTAACTGGTAACTTAAGTCTCGGAATCTCGTCAAAATAATTAATTACAATATTAAAATGTGTGTTGCTTGCTGTAACTCTTTTTAACACGTTCTCTTTAGTTTTGCTTGTTGATGGCGGCTTACGACGCCGTTTGCTTGTTGCGAACTCGTAACTTAAGGAAGAGGGTTCATCCCTGTTTCGGCGAACCAGACAGGGAATTCTTGAGGCTTCACTTCACCACTTTTCTTCAGTCTTCCTTCCTGTGTGGTGTGGGGATGATGATGATAACAACAACAAGGAATTCTCCACCGTTTAGGTTTTTGACACCTCCATTATATAATATATGAATAAAATGCTTCTTGTTTCATGAATTTGTTTGGGACGCTCTGAACTTGGTACTAGTTTCTTTTTTTCTTTTGGTGGTGAAACGGCAGGCTAAGCCCAAAGAAAACAAACATATTTGGTACTACTTTTTACTCTATGTAGCTCCATTCCAATAATAATTCATTCATGTGTCTATCATCTAATCAACGGATTCATAGGCATTTCGTTCCGGTGCGACTGTGGTTGTGGAGGGAGCTTGATGTGATGTGAGAATTAGCAGCTGGAAGGCAATCATAGTCCTTCACTGAGAGTTGATTATACATGAATTGGTTTGTCTTGTGGAAGTCGAGGCAGCCAAGCCCAAGGGGAATGCAAATATTATTGGGACATACTGTATTACTGGGGATGGGAGCTTCAAATTTAAATGTGTGTGTGTGTGTGTGTGTCTTCTGTCTGGGACTTTGATATTGTTTCCTTGCTTCCTGCCTTCCTATCTACTGGGCACTGCCTTCATATCATATATATTTAGCATTCATAGAGACAGAGCTTAACTTGTCATTGGCAATTTGGCAGGCTATGAGAGGTAATTAACTTAATTGTAACCAATCGATATATGTATACACAGGCAGAACATAAATCTTATTTTTATAATTACACAAGGCAGACCAGTCACCAGACCAGGAATCAGGATTCCCCAACGCCATCTCTTCATTTGATTTGAGATTAGAATACAACAGAAACTGCTGATTATCATTTATCTGTTGTCACTGGTCAGGCACTGGCAGGATGCTTCACAATCACCACCGGACACCCTACGTGTTTGGCACAATAATCACTTACACTTCCAACAAGAGTCCTGCAGATGGACAAAGGATTAATTACAGATACATAATTCATAAATCATAATAATCAAGCAAATTCCCATTGCAATTGAATTATATGAATGATGATTGATGTTGAGGATATGATATGATATGATTCATTCATTCCAATATCGGCATCCGCCATTCGGTAGTGACAGTAGTACTAGTCCTAGCAGCTCACCTCTTAAGGAAACCATAACCGTGGCTTCCCATGACCAAGGTATCAGCTCTAAGTTTCTCAACCGTATTACATATCACATCCTTTGGATCTCCCCTCCCTACCATTCTCTCAATATGCACATGTGCCTGCATCACCACATCAACTTCATTACAACTTGTAATACTAATAGTAATTTCAAATTAAACACAAGCACTTGTACTTTTACCGGAACAAAAATAAATAAATATATACATTGGTGTGGAAATTTCCGTAGACAGCTTCGGCTCTTTGCATCACCGAATTGACCATGTCAGTGCCGTATTTTTCCATGGTTGCAACTACATCGCTGGAAAACATATATCCTGTGAAATCAAGTACACCATCTCTGAATTAGTTCATTAACAAACACGATCGTCACACATCACATATCTGCTGTGATGGTTCAAAGCCAAAATAAAATCTAAAAAGCTTGTTGCCAATTAATTACCTGCAGCATCGAAAGTGGAATGGACTGGCGGTGGTTTCACATAGAGAAGAACAAGAGTGTTGCTGGTGTTTTTAGAAGAAGAGAGGTTTCCCAGACACCAGGACAGAGCATGCATGCTCTCTTCACTCTCATCTACTGCCACCACAATTTTGTTCTCTCTGTTCTTCATATGTTCGCCCTCGCCCTCCATTAATTGCTACAACTTAATTATAAGCCTATAATCAACCAAAGTACTCCGTTTGTTTGGGGCCTCAGCCTCACTCACTCAAGATATTGATACACACAAACCCAAATGAATGATAATCTATGTATATATAGCCTGCAGCCTGTAGGGTTACTTGTGCCGTGGGATTAGCTAGATAGATTACATGAATTATTAGTGTTTCTAGTTTCTGAAAGTGGAGTAAATTAAATTAAATTAAATTAAAACCCCAGACCCCAAATCCATACATTATATAGTAAACTATTGACATGAAAATAACTAACTGCTCCTTGTCCTCTCCTCCTCCTCCTCCTCCTCCTCTAGGTTTGGCACACGCGCAAATTAATTAACCAACCGATGCTTTAACCAGGTGATCCCTTTTCGTTAAAGACTAAATAATGATTAATTAGGTTGGAATTGGAAGTGGGGAACGAGGAAATGACATATACAGTCATCCTTCAATATTCTTCTAGAAAGTTCAGACAGAGTGGCTAAGTTTGAATCTTCAGCCCACCAGACGTGTTACAATCATAAGGAAGAAGGTCATCCAATAATTCACATCCCGCCAGACGATGCCTTGACTAGAAGATATTTTTTTAATGTAATTTTGGTCCCTGAAGAAAGGAGAAAAACTAAGTTGTAACATGAATAACATTATTTTGCTAATCCGGTCAATAATGCTCTGTCATGTGTGTCATAGCGTTATTAGTTGGAAATAACAAGCAAAATAGTGATATTCATGTTTCATGAAAGTCTTTCTCCTACAGAAGGAGAAGCCTATACTATCTTGCTGTAGTAACAACAGTTAAAACAAGTTCTGGGAATTGAATTGACTGCACTTTCCTTGTCAAGTTTTGATTTTTACTACCTATATATCACTAATAAGTAACAAGTGCGTCTTTTACAATGCTCGCTGGCTGGGGTTACGCCTTCATGGAGATATTTATGAAATAATTTCGATTCCATCAAATCCAAATCCAAATCCAATACTTACTATCTAAATTCCAAAGCCATGGTCCCAGAAAGCGTCATCTTTGTCATCCACAAGGCACAAGGCACAAGGCAAATTAATATCTAGCTTCATGTCCTTTTAGTAGTCCAAATCGGTTGCTGTTACTTGTGCAACTTGGCATCACCTCCTCATCCATTAACAAGTGGTCTCAGAACGACCATATATATCTAATCTTTCCCAAGAGCTATTTGATTATATTTATATTTTTTAATGAAAGCTATTTGAACTTTTGCATGAAGCCAGATTAAAGCATCTTAAATAATTGGGCTTAGTTGTACAAGGTAGCCAAGCCATTGCCATTCCCAAGTCTCAAGCTCAAGCTCAAGCTCAACCATGCATGCATACTAACATCATTTTTGTTCTTGTCAATGTCACACATTCCATGTGAGTCTCAGGCTATCCCACCCAGCCTATAAAAAGCTCTTCATTCGCCTAATCATAAGCTGAATATGGCCCAGCCCAAATTCTGTGCTTTAATCATGAACAATCCAGTTCCATGTCCACGTATTATTTCCTATTATGATAAATTGGGTTTGGAACTTATATTTCTATATAGGTCTATATATTAGACACCAATTGAAAAGTTAAATAAGGAACTAATACATATATATGCTTTTTTTAATTATAGAGAAATACATATATATGCTATTAAAATTCAACGTTACGACATTTTTTATCAATGTAATAATGGAAACAATACTTAACCAACTTATATTCATTGGGTGTCTAAGAGTTTCGAACAACTATACCCCTCTGCCACTCAACCAACTTTTAGTTATTACATCTCAAATTTGTGTGTTGGCTTGTATCTAGGTCACAAAATGGAGAATTATTTGTTTTATATACCTTAGAACTGTGACAATAATATTCATATGTATTTATAGACTTATAGACATGGGCTTAGTCAAGTTTCTATACTCGAATTCGAATCCCTCTCTTCATAGTTTAAATTAATTTAAGAGCTTGTCCAATATAGATCCCTACATTTTCTATTTCCTAGACATATACCCATCACTCTATAAATCTATGTGTAAAACCCAATTTCAAATTTAAATGACCAGTAGGATATAAGAGGTCTTAGTATTTCTATGTTTTTACATCATTGCCACTAAACTTCATATTTTATTTATAATTTATTTCAAGCATTTCATTAACTGCCATAATTGTAATTAATATACTCCCTATTAATAGCATATCAATCACCCATTTCTTTTAGTTGTCATTCCCTCTCACATCTCGCCCCCTAAAATTGCAAACAAAAAAAAAATCTGTAAATTACATATCCAATAATGCACCTATGAAAAATATAATATAAATATATAGGTATATTACCAAAAAAAACAAACAAACAAAGTTAGTTACTTTGTAATTGCGTATATTTTTCATAATTATAAATAGGTACATAATAATTTATATAAAATATAGGTACATTATTTATCCACAGGTAAATTATTTTACAATATACCTGTAAATGTGTATAGGTACATTATTTGGAATAGATAATTATGTACACTTTTCATACTAGGTAAATTATGTTTTTCATAAAACAAACAAGTAATAGGTACATTATTTTTCAACATAATTAGTATGTACAATTTTATTCATAAACAATTGTAAAGTGGATTATTAGTCATGTATAATTCATAAAAAGAAAATAACATAAACATTTTATTAAACAAACCGATTACCTAAATTTGAATTTATGGTTAAATTTTTTTAAAAATGTTTCAAAATTAATTTCTACATCCATTACAACCATTTGGAGATCTTTCCAAATTCAACGTATATCATTATATACAATCCAATTAAAAACTATTTTCATATTGATTCATACATTAATATACAAAATGCAATAATGGCTTAGTTTGAGGTATTTTTGGAATCTAAAAAGTACAATAAATCAGATTTTATGCTTAATTAGGTAACTTGCTGAGTTGTATCCTAGTCATGGGTTTTTACTTATACAAATTGGGTATTATTTATAGGAACAAAAAGTGAAGGGTTTTAGATACTGCAAATTGAATTTGAAGGGTGTCGCTAATATTTAAAATATATATATATAATTACCTGTAGGATGATTAAAAATGCCTAGAGGAGGGTGAATATGCCAGTTTAAGATTATAATCAAATAAATAAAAATAAACTTCGGTCACGGGATGATCTTCGACACTTTTTATGTTGAACGCAATATTGGTCACGATTGCTTCAAGCTCGTCGGAGAAAAACCACCACCACGGTCTTGGTGCCCTCAACCGTATGAATCACCAACATGCATATTAATGCAATATGAATGATGAAAGGATTTGATAAAATCACAAAGTAAACAAGGATACTACTTGATAATTAAAATTTAAAAAAAAAAAAAAAAAAAAAAAAAAAAAAGAACAAAGACAAGCTTTCTCTTCAAAATTCAATATATTCAAAACCAAATATGTCGAAAGCTCTGCATGTTGAAAAGGAAAACCCCCACCTTTTATTCAAGACAGGTTATCTCTCTCAAGAGAGAAACCCATGTGACACACTTCCCATGCACCAATGATTCTCCAAACCAATCCAACTAAGACTTCTAAACATGATGCTAAAAGGTCTCTTCCTTGGGACGCCAAAACAGCAGCCAAACAATTATCCAAATATCAATATAAATTCTAATTCCATTTACAAGCTATGTGATGACGCCAAATGATGCATGATGTGAGGAAATCTAATGACTTTCCACTACAGCTAATCTTTTAAAACAATATCTACCTAAACAAATTAATTAGACCAATCAAGTAAGAAATAATAGCAAGAGATAAAATCTAATCCTTTTAAAAATAGGGCTAATAAAAAAGTACTTGATTGAAAATAACTCTAATTAGGAATCCTATAATGAATGCATGATTATGTCATGATTTACCTGAAATTAGTTTCTCATATCGGTCAAGTTATGCTTTGGAAGTATGAGATTGAGCGAGTTGTGCCAAAATGTCCAGTAACAATTCTTCACACACTAATTTTCAATCTATGCTAGAGTCTAGAAAATGAACATAATTTTCATACTAACAATATATATATATATATATATATATAGACTCAGAGTGTGTAACTACATGGCAAAGTCGTATGTATTTATAAACCTCCAAAACCCTAAAATATTGCAATTTTGACATGTGTATAACTTAGCATCCAATTTGAAAGCTCATAAAGAACAATGCATTCGTCTTACGTGAAAGAAGCACATATACACACATACATATATAAATATATTATATAAACAATAATGCATAACAGAGTGAACCGATATGAATATGTGAAGAAAAAATAAATAAAAAGGAGATGACACAATTGTAATTTAAAACAATTAAAATATGAGCAACTCGCACATACTCAAATTTGAAAGGAATATTAAGGATAGAAATATAGAAGCACAAAAATACCCATTAGCATCTAAACAACTTGGGTCCACATAAAGCATGACTTAAGACCTATTTTAAACAAATCAGCTTTCTCTCAACCAAAAAAAAGAAAAAAAGGAAATGAGCTTTTGCTTGATACCTAATCCAGAAAATTTTAACAAAAAATGTATCAAACTTAACATCTAATCTATATTTTTTTTTCTTAACACTTTCTACATTTAAAATGGTTAGGTACAACATAGCCTTTGAAATCCATGTATCAATTAGGCAAATAGTTTATTTATAGAAAAGGCAAATAAACTACTCTTTATCTATTTCCATTCAAATTTAAGCATTCATCATTCATCATTCATCATTCATGTGTGGTGTGGTGTGGTTAACATTTTATTGGAACAATCTCGTTATTGAAACATGAAATTTGCTTGATGCATTCCTGTTTCGCCTTTGAATTGAAACCTGGTAGGCTCCACATGTGGATGGCATTAGATTAGATTAGCCACTAAAGATGAACTTGTCCAACGGTCATCTAGCGACAGGTGGATGGGTGGTAACCGGTAGGCTCCAAATGTCCCCACAAGTTAGTGCCGACCACTTTGCCTTAAACCTTCAAAAAGTTGAAATTCCATGCAAGGGGAATTTAATCCCATCCCTATTTAATTTTTTTTTTTTTAAAGGATAAGACCGAGAGGGGATAAGAACAAATTCTTATGGCTAAGAAAATTGAATCATTCGTTTTTTATTTTAATAAAAAAAATTAAGGCCTATATGTTATTATATTTTAATTAAATATTGGGCATGAGAAGACAGAGGAACATCATTTGTTTTTTAACCAAAAAAAAAAAAAAAAAAAAAAAAAAAAAAAACATTCACCACTTCTCTCTCATGCGTTTTGGACCTGGGGAGCGCGTTTCTTGCTTGGTGTTATAATCATAGACAGAGAGCAGGGGACCATTCATTTTAAATTTCAGATACTTCAATTGATTTCAACCGTTGATCAACCATCCGAGGCCCCAAATTTGAACTTGGGATGGGAGTAGAAATTCGAATTGGACTCGGAGGGAGGAGGAAGAAAAAAGTGTCCTAATTCAATAATGTACGAATTTTCAGTTCAGTTCAATATAGCAAATTAGCGAATACAATAATAAAATTATATTAAAGGACGACATTGCCCCTCTGTTGATCCGCGTTACAGATCATCTTCACTCTTTTCCTTTTCTTTTATTTTCCACCGTTTTATTTGATCAATCTCTTCCTTGATAAAATTATCCTCCACAATTGAAATATTGAAATATTATTATTGTCATTTTTTATACCTAATTTAATACTTTATGTTTTATTAAAACATAATACCATTACTTCTATTTTATTAAAACACTACAAATATTTTCCATGTCCTTTAAGATCCATATTTCTATACTATGCCATAAAGGTGGGCACAATTTCAAGTCAACCCGATCGACTCGTCCAACTCGATCATAGTGGGTTGGGTTGGTCAAAATAAGAACGGGACTTGAGTTTAAAAAATTATAATTCTCTATGTAAGGGGAAAAAATGTTTAACGAAACATTTAGCATAACAAAAACTGATTATAAACTTTCATGGTATGTTTACTTATCAAGATTAGGTATTGGAATGATTCCAATTCCTGCTTCTTCTGTGTGTACAAAAACTGATTATAAACTTTCATGGCATGTTTACTTATCATGATTGAGTATTGGAATGATTCCAATTCCTGATTTCTCCCGCGTTTACTAACACATAAGGAATAAAACATTATGCAAGTTCCACCTTAAAATTCATAATTGAATATCCTCAAAATCAGGAATGGGATCAACTAGGGGAAGTAGTTGATCCGATTCCAATACCCGATTCTTTGTTGTTATGTATAAACGACGTCGTCCACACCTAATCAATATGTGATTAGATACATGTTGGTTTTACGCTTATTGTTCCAATTATGTCTCAATTCATAGCTCTCATACACATGTAAATTTGTATTGCCACAACTGCTCAATTAGACGATCACTCCTACTTTTCTTTCTTTCCTTCAACAAACAAAGAACCTTGAGAGAAAACCTTAAAGGTGAGAGAGGTTTCAATTGCCGCCCCCTTCGAAGTCGGTGGGCTCTATCCCGCCCCTCCTAGACCTTTCCCTCCCCTCTTCTCCCCTTCCCTCCACCCCTCTAGATTATGGTGCTTGGCTATCTTGGTTGAATTTGTTGGTTGCTTGGCTGTCTTAAGGACAACATAGTGGTACACCTTGTGTGCTTTTTGTTGTCGGTGAATTATTTCGTATTTAAATTAACCATTTATGGTTATTGTTGTTTCGTATTTGTACTAATCCTATATAATTATTTGTATTTATATTGATCTTTATAGCTGACGACGTTTATGCATGAATTATGAATGCAATCCATCGCATTTCTCTTAAAAAAAAGGAAGAAGTTTGAAGTGTGTGTGAACGTGAAGTGTAAGTCCTGCGTCTATATTTATGGCGTCAAAGACCATTTTTAGTTTTGTGAAAACGCGTAAGGGCATAAGACCAGTTAAGTGAATATTCATTTCATTTCCATTTAGAAAAGTGCAAGGGTATTATTGGAAGTTCGGGTCATATTTCTTGTATTTAAAGTCCAGTCTTTCAGACACAGAGAGAGAACTAGACACGGACGGACACAGAGACGGGCAGATTTTGAAATAAAGAGAAATTTTTGAAAACAGAGGAAAGGTTGTGACAATATGGGAGAAGTTATATTGTACGTGGAGGAATTGGATTTGAAATCCTGCTCAGCAATTTTAGTCTGTAGGATTTGCCATGAAGAAGAATTTGGAAGCTGTGAGAGCATGGAAGCTCCTTGTGCATGCTCCGGAACTGTTAAGGTACAGGCAAACAGAGTTTTGCTTTTGTGGGTTGTGTTGGCTGTTTCTGAATAAGCCTTGACATCGATTTTTGTTTCGTTTTTTCAAAACTTTGCTCAGTTTGCACACAGAAATTGCATACAGAGGTGGTGCAACGAGAAAGGCAATACAACCTGCGAAATATGTCTCCAGGTAATAAGATTTTTTTTGGGTTCCTTTGATTCTTTGATTCTTTTTCTTTTTACATTCCAGATTTTTTTCTTCATATTAAATGAATAGTTTTGCTTCGTGTTTACGCATCAAAATCGAATTGGGTCGGATGTCATAGTTGATTTGAGATGATCAAACGATGTTCATATCGTTTTCTGTTTTGTTTTGGATTCTTGGCGTCTAAAATTTGTCTTTTCCCGTAACTTTTATTTCTGTTCAAGTCTGTTCTGTCTCTTTCTTTTCTCTGGGTTATACTCTCCGGTTCCTTCATTGTGATTATTAATTTCTTACCTCAAAAACAGAATTCATCATGGATAATGATTTGGGTAAATATTATAGTTTGGTCACTTGGCTTTACCTGGTAGTGAAACTTTCTTCTAGTTTTATTTAGTGATATAAGTCTAATTTTAAATTTGAAAAAGAGAAAAAAGAGAAGAAAAAAAAAGGTGTTTACTTATGAAAATTTGTGCAGAGCTATGAACCTGGATACACAGCACCGCCAAAGAAGTCGCGGGTAGATGACACAGCAGTAACCATTAGGTAGGTACATACGTGATTTTATCCAAAACCAGAATTACATACATAATTGATAATTCAGCTTGCTATTATCTATCCGCATACATAATTCCCCTTTAATTTTCTGTTTTTCGTTGGAGTGATTATGATTATCCCTTTAATTGCACGCGGACAAGTATATTTCAATATTGATGTTTAATTTAAAGAACGAGGCAGACAGAGACAGACAGAGTTGTTTGCAATTGCAACAACATAATTCTTGTATTTATTACATATGTGATGGGACCTCGACGACTTGGAAATATTTGTAAATCTCATGTAGAAAATGCTGATCCTTGAGTTGAGTTGAAACTTGTGTCTTGTTTAAGTTTGCTTCTTTTTATTTGGTGTTCCCAGAGATAGCGTGCAGGTTCCTAGAAGAGACCAAGAGCCACGAAGCCCAACGTTAGACTTAGAGCGGGTGCAACCAATAGAAAATGTCTACTCTTCTCAATCTCAATGCTCGTCTGCAGCTGATAGAAGTGCGTCTTGTTGTCGATCACTGGCTCTACTTGTAAGTTTCTTTTTTTGATAGAACTCAAGACTCGAGAGAACCTATCGTCTAAACCCTAAACCCACCATTCCATGGGCGTTACAAAATACGTATGGAAGGATGGATGGGTACCATTATTGCCTTGCCCCTACCTCTACTTGGTTGACCAGGTTAGGTTGCTTCCTTTGTGGCAACCACGTCACGTTGGAGTTCAAATCTGAGATTGCTGATATACTAATCAAGACGATTATTCCACTTAATTTAGGGATATGACAATATAGAAGTTAAAAGTGCATTTTGAATACTCTTATAATGATAATAATTTTTTTAAATAAGGGATAAAGTTATTATTCTGATTCTAACAAACATACCCCAACTGTTTAATTTATGATGAGTTTGCAGTTTACGGTGGTTTTGCTTGTGAGGCACCTCTTTGTGGTGCTTACCGGTAGCGACGAAGATTACCCCTTCACGCTTCTAACTGTAAGTGCCGCATTCTTTCTTTGGTTCAACTCTTTGCCCTCTCCTCTACTCCACTCTGTAAATAACAAATCAAAAGACAAATTGACATATCACATTTTTTGAACATGTCCCAAGTGATACGAACCAAATGAGAAAAAGTTGCAAAATCAGTGACACCTAAATAAAAATATTGTATATATATACCAACGTCCAACTCAAAAATAAAAATAACAATTACACACCATGAGATTAAATGAGGAAACACAATTTCTCTTCCCAGAAGAAACCCCAATACGCTTCCTCTTTTCCCATGCAATGCCTACTCCTAGTTTTTCCATGGAAAAACTTATATCTCTATTAATCCACCGAGCTCTTTATATTTTTTTCGATCCAGCAAACTAATTATTCCCACCCTAAACCCCAAACCCTATATGCTGGTCTCTATTGAGTTTTGTTCTTGCTTTTTGTTGTTGGGGCTTGGCCTCTATCTTTTGTTAGGTGGTTTGTTGATTCTCTTTATTGTTTTAATTAGCACCTTTCAGCCAAAAAAAAAAAGGCTACTTGAGAACTTATTGTGAAAGAATAGGTTGTTTTGTTGAATGTTAGAAGCTATCTGATTATGCATGGACCTAAATATGATTTTTTTATATAATGATTTATGTACTTTTGCTTTGTTAGAATGAAATTATTATGAATGAGCAAAAAAAATAATTTTCATTTCTTATTAAGCTTTATTGTATACTAGTGAAGGGGCCTCATTTAATATATCGGCTAGGGCCACCCAAAAGTCAGGGCCGGTAATTGGATGCTTGCTAACTGTAATTTGAATTTTTGCAGGTACTTATTCTAAGGGCTAGCGGGATTATCCTTCCAATGTACATATTAATTCGAACAATCACAGCAATTCAAAACAGCGTCCGGCAACAATATCGATATCATTATCAGGTTACTTTTGTTTTTTGTTTTTCCACAAACATTAAAAGCCTAGTTAGTAAAATACAAAACGGGAAAAGTACGAATAAAATACGTAAGTGTTTTATTACGTATTTTATTTGGCAAAATTTTGGCAAAGATACAATTGAAAAGTTCGGCCACTATATAATATATTTAATTTTAAAAAAATATTATCTTTATTCAATAATATGTGGAAAATATGTTAATTTTGTTTGTATTATTCAAAAATTTGTAAAAAAACACATGTATTAAATGTAAAAATACATATGTACATGTAAAATATGTGTATTGTATGTTTGTTTTAAAAAAAAATTGTATTTTACCGAATCTTTAAGATGTGTATGAAAAACAAAAGTATTATTGAAAAATACACAAGTACATGTATAATACGAGTATTAAACGGAAAAATGCTGACTAGGATTAAAAGTTTAACATTTACGTACTTATGTGATGGAAGAAAATTATATAACATGAATGGGTAACCGTTATGTAACAAAGTTGCAAAGTAGCACACTTAAATCTCTCCTTTTCTGCTTTTTGGTTTTGTTGGGTATATACATAGCAGGACTCTGATGATGAGACCTCAGACCCGGGTGACAACCATGAAGAAGTATAAGATCAACATCATTCAGTTTAACACATTTATTATTGTACTATTTTCCATTTTGCAACAGAGCATCATATCAATGCTCTCATCTGTCTTTACGTACATTATATATACGACAAAGAAATATCAATTTTTTCTTCTTCCTTTCCTTCATTAAGATTCAGGTTGAGCTGCATGCGTCCTCTGCACAATCGAATCCCCAAAAAGTAGGAAATCAACCCACCCATCCACCAAGCCAATTAGAATAAGAAAAGGTGTTTAAGTAGGTCGATATTTAGGAACTCAGCAACTGCATATACCCGTTCGGTAGGAGTATGAACGGCCAGATCTACCGGCATATCATTCACTTTGAAAACAGTCAGCCTCGGTTGGTTGGATGCCAATAATAAAGATAAACTTAATACAACTTATGGAAACAACCTACTTTGACCCAAAAAAACAGAAAAAAAGGGAAACAACCAACAAACTTCAAAGCCTCAGTCGAAAATTGGAACCAATACCAACAAATAAAAAAGGAACCAAAACGTTTGACGTCACAACTAATGGAAGAGCCAGTCTCCTCGTCCAGGCAACAATTTGCCAGATTTATAACTTGTAAGCTTTAAGAGTTGGTCAATCCAGCTAGAAAGAAAGTGGCTTCTTAAGTCTTCTGGATAGGCTCAAAATATGTACTACTTTTTTTAGTCACATTCTATCAAACATGGCTAAGCTTGCACACCATGACTGTTGGTAAGTAGAAAAAAAATGCATCATCATCTCAACTTTGTTGCTCAAGTATTCTTGCTCTATGCCAAACTTCAGTTAGGGAGTCAATGTCAGTGCTCTTGGTAGACTCATGACTAGTCCATTTTTCCACAGCACTAATCAACTCTTGGATGCAACTTACCATGTTGTCAACTGGACTTTGAAAGAAAAAGCTATCTGCCTTCATGTGTTTACCATATGTAGCCTCGAATTCCCTAGACTTAGCAGCAGCTTTTTGAAGGACAGAAATAGGAAGTCCTGAAGAAAATAATCGTAAGAACTGGAATTTGGCTAATGAATTAAATGAGTAATGCACAAGTTCATCTCAGAGTTTATTTTTCGCAAGCTTGTTTGATTCTCATAAAATGCATACCCTAAACCCATAAATTATTCGTAAATGATATTAGCTGAGGGCAAAGGTACTTCAGATATAGATAATATACACGTTGATAAAACCAGAGCTGACAGCAAGGTGCCTCAGGTCTAGATCATATTTCACAACCAAATGATTGCATTTTGACTACTTCACTACTTCATTCACGACAAATTATTTATAAATGACATTAGCTGAGAGCGAAAGTGCTTCAGACATAGATAATCTACATGTCGAAGAAAACCACAGTGGGCAGCAAGATGCCTCAGATGTAGATCATATATCACAACCAAATTATTTGACTAATGTTTGTTCCAACTTGTGTTACGGAAACTAATAAGGAAGCAGTGAAAGGTAAAGATCCTTACCAGCTAACCGTGCAATGTTGACACCATAGCTTTTAGGGCATGCACCAGGAGTCAGCCTGTAAAGAAATGTAACTTCTTCCACACCTCCGTCTCCATTTCCAACTTGGCATGCCATATGGCAGAGTGAAACCTATTGGAAAAAAAAACAAGAGGCAGCAAATTAAACACAGGTGCAATTACAAAAATAAGGCTAATAATAAAAAAACTAAAAGGAAAAACCTCATACCATTTATGGCAATTGCATACTTGATTAGAAACATTCATGATTGGATCACCAACCATGTCAAAATAATAAATCAACCACCAAAGAAAGAGAAACATACCTCAGGATTGTTCTGATAATCTACAGCTAGTCGATGATAATGGGTAGAAAACATTCCTCGACACTGGACCTTGTAGACAAAATGTTCAAGAACAGATTCCCTGCCAGTTGAAAAGGAAACTAATCACAAACACTGATTTTGTTAAAGGCAAAAGCATGTACAAGTATCTAGCATGACTAGCACTTACGCAATGGCTTGTCCGTCTGAAGTCGATGTTCCACGTCCAAGTTCATCCAGTGCCACCAATGAATTACGAGTAGCAGACGACTGCAAAGAATATTGAAATATATGTTTATAACAGTAAAATTCTTAAACCAAAACACCTTCATCGGTCAATTGAAGTTACTCAAAGTTCTCTAAGAATTTCAGGACTCAGTTTATTGATATACTTGTTTCACTCATGAAAGACTTCTCATGGAACAAGATATTGGAATACAGTGAGAAGACATGCTAGATTCATAACCAATATTAGAACTATTAGAACCAGATGAGGAGAAACTCAGAACAATATATAATAACGTCAAATTACTTTGAGCTAGGTTGCTCAAGATATTAATCTCACCAGCATTGTTGCGGTTTCTGAAAGCTCTGTCAGAAATGTACTTTGGCCTACCATGATATGATCTCTGGCACCCATACGAACAAAGATTCGGTCAACAGGAGATAGCTCAAAGCTCTCTGCAGGCACATCTGCTCCTAACTGTCGAAGAAAGAAAGACGGAGATGACCAAACATTACAAGTCATGAAATACAACAAAGTAAGAAATTCAGACCATAACAGAAGACAACTTTTTTTTTTGTGGCCATGATAACAGAAGACTACTTTACCTGGGCTAAAATCGCAGCCAAGCAAACTTGGCGAAGAAGAGTTGACTTTCCACCCATGTTTGGACCAGTGAGAAGGATAAAGCTCGCATGGCCAGAACCTCCAATAATAATGTCATTGGAGACAAATGTACCTTTCCCCAAAGAATCACTTTTAAGAACCGGATGTCCCAAACTTTTTGCAGAGAAGTGGGGTACCTCATTAGTACATGATGAACTCATGATAACTGGCCGACAAGACGGTCCTTCAAAATAATCACTTGCTATTGCTAGACTGATTAAAACATCCAATTCTACAACATGAGGGTTCAATGTCAGTCGTGAACATAAAATAGACACTAAGTAGTTTAGATTCATGGATGTGTTTTTAGAAATAAGATAAAGGAATTGTTAAGCCCAAAGGTTTGAAATGTAACTAGAGTTAAATTTGGTTGAAGACCCAAACTTGATTCAATCAAACACTGCCACATAATTTGGTGAATAGATTTAGTATCCCTAGCAGTACTCATATCCATATAGAAATTCAGATATATGTGTAATTATGGAGAGTTCTCTTATCCTATATAACATAGACGAACACACTTATTAAAAGAAAAGAAAAAGTGAATGTAAAGCCATGTTCCAATCCACACACGGAGTTTGACCAAAAAAGATTAGAAAGAAATCCAATGCAGAGGAATAAACGCATACCTGCAGTCACAGAGACCAATTGTCTCCATTTAAGATGATGCTCGCAGAATTGTCCAATTAACCTATGCAGAATGCTTTTTAGTGAGGACTCTTTACCAGTTTCAGCTTCCGATAGCTCTGTCAATGATTTCTTAATATTTGGTGTCCAGTATCTGAAGATACCCTGCATGTTTAAGGTTGAAACACAAGGAAGATGTGACCATGAAAGCTACTTGATTCATTATTCCACACCTTTTTCTAATTACCTTTTTTGATGAACATAACTCATAATCTCGAGGAATACTCCCACGCAGACTTTCTGGCACTTCCAACAGGTAAGAATCTTTTCCAACAGTGACATAAGTGATCTGTAACAGACCAACAGAAGACAAACGGGATTTTGTTAACCTTATTTGTAGAAGGGCACCACTAAGAAATCAAAATACCAATGTGTCTTTTGTAGAAATTCTTACCGATTTATTTCCAAGTAATCTTCTCTGTTCTTGGAGGTATTTTGTTAAATGAGATTCTATCTCCTTTACTTTTTCACAGGAAGAGTCATATTCAATATCAACTCCTTCATGAGGTATTATACGACCTGAACTATTGGCTTGTACCCAATCAAAGGCATCCTTAAAATGTTTTAAAATTGAGTTGACATCAGGAAGACCTTGACCTGCAAAACAATGACAATAAGATGCCAAGATTTTTAAAACAATGAAAAGATACATGCACATGCCAAAACCAATTTATAAGATGAAAAAAAAGATCTTTTGGAATGATAGAAATATAAACACAAAAATCAAATAATACCCGGTGTAAGCAAATGATGAAGTTGTCTAGATTCAACATGCTCCAAGATGACTCCAAGAGAACAACATGTCTGAACCATTAGTTCACAACCGTGCAAAGCTGAAATAAACTCCTGAAGCTGTTTTTTAGCAGCATCCTCGTATAAAACAACCTTATTAGCATTCCTCCCGCAAGCTTTACTGCATTCAGTCACATTCAGTTACTGTAAATTATTCTCTGGAGCCATCGGCAAGTTCCCTATAAGCATAAGTTTACTATAGCGATAATAAAATCAACTGGTTATTCCAAGCTTACCTACTAGAGAAGACACGTGCAAGCAACCGCTCCATGTCTGGAAGCCTAGACATTGCTTTTCGAAATTCAAGTGCATAAGGAAGATTAACTCCCTAGAAAGAAGCATACATTAGAACATTTGTATGCCAGATAGGCCGAAGTGCTCAGTGTCCAGTTCAAGTCATCTAGATACTGTATACATTAAAGATTTGGATTTTAAGTGAAAAAGAAGAATTGGAAGTAACAATGCCCACATAATATTTACCTGAAGACTTGCAACAGCATCCTGGCGTTCCTTTATCAACTCTACATGATATAGAGGTCTTGCAAGCCATGTTTTAAGCAATCGCTTCCCAAATCCGGTGACACAGTGGTTCAATTGTGCATACATTGTCCTTCAAGAGTAATAAATTACCTAAGAATTTAGATTAGAATGAGAAAAATTAAAGACATGTTTAAGATAATTTAAAGAAGGTTACCCTGAAGAGTCTCCATTTCTGCTGTTCTCAAAAATCTCAAGGTTCTCCAGGGCAGCTGAGTCAAGAACCATGTATGGTTTTGATACAATATCACCAAAACCAGAACTTGGAAGTAACTCGAATTTTGCAAATCGGAGTAATGTCTCATCCAGAAAAGCCTGCTTTAAATAAAAAAGAACGCCTCCAAGAGCTGAAAGTGCACAGATGCCATTCTCACCTGTTCTCATAAGCTCTGACAACACATCTGGCAGGCAGCCCAAGTCATCTTCTTCCAAATGAGAATCATTGGAATGTAAGTTGGATGTCTTTGGAGAACCAGAAACCAATTGATCAACGGTGCACCTGTAGATACGTCTAATCTCCTGAGCAGTTCTCTCAGCATCCCAGAATTCTAAAAGTGGGACTAACTCATTGACTAGTGGACTTCTTGTATGCCTTAGCAGTACTTTCTCTGTTTCAGGACCAAGTAGTTTTACAGGTTTTATAATTTCCACGGGCCTCAGCTCAGACAAGAGACAAGACAAGGCACTGCACTCTAAATCATCTCCAAACTGTTAAAGGGAAAACAATACTAGTAAAAAACACATCCATACATAACATTTAGTTCAGTAAAGCAATACTATTAACAAACACAGACATACATAACATTTGATTCACTAAGGCACTACATAACACAGCATGAAAAAACTTGTTTGTTGTGAAATGGAAATTAGGAGTAACAATGTCACAACTTGCACTGCTGATCATATATGTCCTCAAACAGTCAAAATTTAATGGAAATGTAGACAGCCACTGATTCCAGCAGGCACCAGAAAATCACGCTATCCAGACCTTTTACATTCATAATAGGGCACACAATTTCACCAACTATGCTTGGCAGTTACAATGAACCCCCTCTGCCCTCCCTCTCCCCACTGCTTTGATGAGTGACGAGTCCCACCAAGTTTGTGGAACAACTGTATGCTTTATGTGTGCATATATGTCTGTACAATTATGAGAACGAAAACTATGAGAAAAGGATGAACAAGATGTTCTACCAGACTCACACCTGCCCAAGAATGACGCGGCTGGTAGCAACATCAACTACACAAACCCCAAAAATCCGCTCTGTATTTTGGTTTGCCACATTCTGAGAGTTTTCAGTCACTGCCATTAGATAAGAAGCATCAGGGTTTGCTGACAGCATCTCTCCCTCAGTTAGAGTTCCTTTTGTAACCACTGCACATATTTCACGTTTCACAACCTATAGACAAAGGTGAAGTCAGAAGTTCATAGTACCTTTTATGAGTAGCTTCAATATGGATATGAAATTACAAAGTGCAGTGCTAAGAATTAAAATATAGGATATCATATAAATCAGATGACAAACATTCAAGTATATATATTGACAGGTCAAATGAGCATACCTTATCTTTAGAGCCATCCTCTTTGCGACGAAGCTCCATCTGTTCAGGTGTTTCTGTCTGCTCTATAACAAGAACTCGATACCCCTGCTCAGTTAAGGCAGATTAAATTAATCTCCCCCCCCCGATTAAGAAATATACTTGTAATAGATATTAGATGTTTAACTTCAACGAATTAGAGTGAAAAAAGATATCTTCAGAGAAAATGACAAGAATAAAGCCAACCTTCCTAGCCAGTTTCTCCACATTCATCGAGAAATTCTTCTCTGGGAATCCACAGTGGGGTTGTTCACCCTAATATTAGTCAAAGAAAAATTACTAAACAAAAAACAAATAGGAAACACAATGGATGTAGCCAAAGTAATGCTGCTAAAAAATATCTGAAAATTTCAAATTCAGAAGAGAACAGCTTGTATCTTTTATTTTCTTCTTTTGACCTATAAAATGAATTTTATCCAACCATTATACAGTCAAGATAAAATGAGAAAAGAAAGAAAGTGTTAAGTGCTCACACAAAACAGCCAACACCAAGACAGAATTTGAAGATAGATTACCTTCATATATTGCAGACCAAGTTCTTTTGCTCCTATGTGTGCATCCATTTCAAAAAGTTCATAAAATTTGCCCATCTGCTCAATCAAAAATCAAATATCACCTGACTGCAGTAATGACCCTGAAAGTTTGTGTGGCATTATATAACATATATATATATATATATATTTTAATCCAAATTATATATATAACATTACTTGGCTACTGTAAAGGATGAACATACCTTGAAAAAGATAACTTTGTCCATGTGCTTTGACTTAAACTCCCACCATTGTCTCTGAATATTAACACATTACTAGATTAATAGTGTTCATGATGGTAAAGTGCCTCCAAACCCAATAGGCCACTTATCTATCTAAAAGCAATTACCTGGCCACCTGATAAACTCTTCAAGAAATCAGGAGGTAAGTAAAGAGTTCTTGGATCATAATTTGCATCTCCAGGAAATCTTTTTTTGGCATCCCTACGCCCTCTGTTTCCAGACCAAAGCAGTTGAGCAAAACATTTATGAAATTGGGATTCCACGTAAACATTTCTAAATGCCTCCCAAAAAAGAGCAATAAATTCAGATCTGCGCATACTAATGTAGTAAAAGTTCTCCTTTCATCAATAGTCATAGGCAAAACAGAGATACAGTGACTGACTAATGTTGTCATTATAGAATTATATATTTTTTGAATAGAAATGAAATTTATTGAAAGAAACAAAAAGGAACACACAAGTGGATAAGGCATCCACAAGCCAAACGAACAACAAAAACAGACCAAAAAAACAAAGACACCAGCCAAACTACACAGAGACTGCTATACCAGAAAGACCCAAAGAAAATAAGATGCAGAAAAACACTTCACATCACAGCAGCAGCCATATCCCTCAGTATTGTGGAGTAAGAATAGTCTTTGAAATCTGAAGTGACATAAGCCCATAGGGCATCAGCATAGAATTATATGTGGGCTGTAGCTATACAACAGGTTTAAAATGTAAAACTAACAACTTAAAATGGCAATTACCAGATTGCCATTAGACATAGCAATTACCAGTAGCTTGTTCGCAACTGCCAAATAAAACAGGCACAAAGTGGGGTGGTCCTAGAAACACCATAGCGAATAAGTACAGAAACTTACTCCCCCAGGAAATGCAACTTCTCAGCTTCACGAACGATAAACCTTGCTGAGGCATCACCAGATACAACAGTATTCATACCATTAGCCACCTTCGTGACTGAAATTAAGCAGGCTCAAATTCAGTATGGCATAAAACATATACCACAATAAAGACCCTACCTTTTCGGTATCAATAGTTACACCATTGATTGGAAGTAGACATAACCAAATCAAGGTAAGTTAACTTGAGTATCCATTGGCTAGCATGGCAATAAGAAAGTAAATGCAGAAAGACAACAAAGTTTTTCAATAAAATACCATGCAATTCACATATAGCTTGACAACCTATTTTTTAAACTTGTATAAATCTAACCATTAACACTTATTAAGTCATACAGGATAGAATAGCTCTAGTTTGGCTTGCATTTTCTAAAATCAGGTAAATCCACTTCTAAACTGCTGCCATTTATAAAACAGGCATAGAAATTCCATTTCTAAAACAGGCATAGAAATACACATACATGGAAAATAATTAGATAAATAAACAGAGGCACGAGAAAGCCCCTTCAAAATGTAATTATTTTTATAAACAAAATCACCATCAGCCCCGCCATGCATTTGAAATTTGAATATGATTTTCTCAGTATGGCACATTTCTTATCTCCAAACAAAATCAACAAATAAAGGGAAACATAGGGCACACACTCAAAATCCCAGTACTTACTCTCAGCATTAGGGGTAGGCTCCATCACATCTTTATCACACTTGGTCTTCTTAGCAGACCCCAAATTCCCTCCACCTTTCACCTTTCGTTTATTCCTCAAGCCTCGCTTTCCTTTGTTCGTGCTTGTTGTGGGCACTTCATCATCTTCATCATCCTCCAATTCCATAAGCTCCTCTTCCTCCTCAGCAACTAGGTCTTTGTCCCCACTCTTCCCCCAGTCCTCGTCGCTGGAATCATCGTCAGCAACATCATTGCTGCCTTCCTTATCCTCATCCTCATCCTCCATAACCACATGCCCATCCACAACGACCTCGTTGGAAGTCGACAAAGGGCCTCGCCTCAAACGTTTCAAGGTCTTGACGGTTTCCTGGACCCATTCGATCTTCTCCTTTCCCAAATCCAACAACTCTTCTTCAGCATCATCGTACTGAACTAAATGTTTACCATTATCCTTACTGAACAACTTCACATAACCTTCGTACCAGATATCATCCAACGGCCAGTAAACCCTGATCCTCTTGCCGACAACCTCTTGGCCATGGGATTTCTTGGGCTTGGGCTTGGACTGGAGAGGCGGAGGAGTGGTGTGGCTAGGGCTGGGACCGGGGCTAGGGTTAGGGTTTTGAGTTTGTTTGGATTTGGAAGAAATGGGGGATGGGGACGAAGTGGTTTTGGAGAAGAATGAAGTGATTTGGCGCTGTTGGTTGATCAATGGAGAATGGCCGTTGCTCCGACGACGCGACATTGCCTGCTGTCTGTGTGTGTGATGATTGTGTCAATTAGTAGCTCTGCCACTCACTGCGAATGCGGGTTAGAGAGAGAGAGGAACTTAAAACTGATGCACGTGGACTGTGGGCGAAGAGGGTTTCGATTCTCAAGTAAATGTGAGGGATGTTTCATGTAGCGGGAAATAACCGAAAATGAGCGGGAGGGAAGCTGCTGTTTGGCGGGAAACCCTACCCCTCTCTCAGACTCTGTCTCAGTCTCCCTCCATCCATCCATCATTTGTATTTTTATTTATTTTCATTTTGTTGGCCTTATTGGGCCGGCCTGCGATAAAATTGGGCCCAACAATGTGCAAGTTACGTTGTCAGTCAGGGGCTACAAGTTTCATCTTTGAATCTTTTGATACTTGATAGATACAACTTGCTTGAAGTTAATTTCTCTCTCTCTCTCTCTCTCGCTCTCTCTAATCTCGATCTACCAGACAGACTACCAGAACCAGAGGCCTCAACTCAAGCGTCCTTTCATGGCTGCCCAATGTCGCACTTTCTAAGAAGATCCACACCCACTCAACACCAGCACCAACACTACTCGCTCTGTCTCCAAAGCCACTTACTTCACTCTCAATCCCACCCAATACTAGTCTCAGATGCCCACCTTTACCGCCGGCTCACCCCCTCGCTACGCTCTGTCTGTCAGGGGCCAAGGTCTGGACGAGAAAAACGACGTCGTGGAGAGCAAAGGTGCCTTCCTAGTGGTAGCACTCTGCCCCTGCCTGGTTTGCTTCATTTTTCTCCTCATCGTAATTTCCATAATTCTCATTGTCAAATTCCGTTTCTTTTGCCACACCCCACTTCACTCTTTGCTCTACAAGAAAAATTGCTAACACCCACGCTTTCCCATTTGGTGGTGGTGCCCAATGTTCACTTACTAGGAAATGTGGTTGGTATGGAATATCCTCATAGGATTAGGGGATTTTCTAGTGCCACCGCTGGTGGTTCGGATTCTGATGCTGAAATTGATGGTGAGGACGAGGCTAGGGGTGAATGGGAAGGTAATGAGGGTTTTCATGCTAGTTCTAGTGGGGACCCGGAAGAAGTTGATAGGGTATGCAAGGTGATCGATGAATTGTTTGCCTTAGATCGGAATATGGAGGCAGTTCTTGATGAATGTGGCATTCATTTGTCGCATGATTTGGTTGTGGCCGTGTTGATACGCTTCCAGCATGCTAGAAAGCCCGCCTTTAGATTTTTCTGTTGGGCGGGGCAGAAGCCAGGGTTTGCCCATGATTCGAGGGCTTATAATTCGATGATGAGCATTTTAGGAAAGACTAGACAGTTTGAGACCATGGTGTCCCTGCTTGAAGAAATGGGAGCGAAAGAACTTTTGACAATTGAAACATTTGTGATTGCTTTTAAGGCTTTTGCTGCTGCCAAAGAGAGGAAGAAAGCTGTTGGCATTTTTGAGCTGATGAAGTTGTACAAGTGCAAAGTTGATGTCAATACTATTAATTGCTTCCTTGATACTCTTGGAAAGGCAAAGCTGGGAAAAGAAATGCAATTGCTTTTCGAGAAGTTGGAAGGGAGGTTTACACCAAATTTACAAACTTACACACTACTGCTCAACGGGTGGTGCAGCTTGAAGAATTTAATGGAGGCAGGGAGGGTGTGGAATGAGATGATTGACAAAGGATTTAAGCCTGATATTGTTGCGTATAATACTATGCTTGGAGGGTTGTTGAGGGGTCACAAGAGGTCTGATGCTATCAAGTTGTTTGAGGTCATGAAAGCCAAGGGTCCGTCACCCAATGTTAGAAGCTATAGTATTATAATTCATGATTTCTGCAAGCAAAAGAAGATGAAAGAAGCAGTTGACTCTTTTTACGAAATGCGTGGATCTGGGTGCCAGCCAGATGCTGTGGTTTACACATGCCTAATCACAGGGTTTGGAAATCAAAAGAATATGGAAATGGTTTATGAATTGTTGAAAGAGATGAAGGAAAACGGTTGCACTCCTGATGGGAAGACTTACAATGCCTTGATAAAATTGATGACAAGGCAGCAGAGAATGCCAGATGATGCGGTGAGGATATACAAGAAGATGATTCAAAATGGCGTTGAGCCATCAATACACACTTATAACATGATCATGAAGTCTTATTTTCAGATGAGAAATTATGATATGGGTTGTGCTGTATGGGATGAGATGATTCAGAAGGGGTGTTGCCCTGATGATAACTCATACACTGTTCTCATTGGAGGTCTCATTAGTCAGGGAAGATCAGGGGAGGCCTGTAAATATCTAGAGGAAATGATAGAGAGAGGAATGAAACCTCCTCAGCTTGATTTCAAGAAGTTTGCAGCCGACTTCTCCAGAGCTGGGAAACCTGACATTTTTGAGGAGCTTGCTCAAAAGATGAAGTTTGCTGGTAAATTTGAAGTCTCCAAAGTCGTTGCAAGGTGGGCTGAGATGGCGAAGAAAGGGGTATAGAGAAGAGATCCTATTGATAATGGTGGTCAGTGAATGTGAGTTACTTCATGAAGATCCATGATACTTGGCCTCAAAGACGGCATAGGAGGCATCCTGGTTATACTTGTTGGGTTGAAAAGCCACAGTTTCTGTTTTATATTATTATAGTTTGTGCACTTGTATCTTATTTGCCTATTTGGTGTTATAATTTGTTCAGATTTATGTACTTCAGATGTATCACTTGATTTGTATATACTTTTTGAGTTTCAGGTTTATGTACTAATGGCTTTCCCGCAAAGTTTATTGACCGGCCTTGTTCATAAGAATTGCAAAGTGGCACTCATCCTCCATATTGTAATGATTGTTATTATGGTTGTCTTCATATTCAGCTATATTTTCCTAATGCTTAGTGCGGGGAGACGAGAGATGCATCTTTGTGTCACACTGATAAAGCAAATGGAGGCAACACAGAGAGAGAGTATGAATAAAAGTCTTGCATTTGCTACTGCAAGCCATTATGTTCGTGCTGCTCTGGCCGGAATTACCAGTTTGATCGAGATATCTTACGATGAAGTTGCCCCAAGTTCTGAATTAGAAACAAATTTAAGACAAATGGATTCTTGTATGAAGGACCTGTTAGGTAATTGTAAATAGTCTCAATGATCCATTAACCTCAACTAATTGTAGTATATGTAACTGTTCATGCATGATGCATATGATTTTCTTTGTCTATAACTCTAACATGTAAATAATGCTAAATATATGTAACTACTTTGTAGGCATATTGAACTCTATTCTTGATACAAGTCAAATTGAAGCGGCCAAAATGCGACTGGAAGAAGAGGAATTTGAGGTGGCCCAGCTTCTTGAAGATGTGGTCGATTTGTATCATCCTGTGGGTTTAAGGAAAGGCATAGATGTGGCGTTGGGTCCTTATGATGGCTCCGTTATAAAGTTTTCGAGAGTGAAAGGTGACATGGGAAGACTTAAGCAAATATTATGCAACTTAATAAGCAATGCTGTCAAATTTACTCCGGAAGGACGTGCAGCAGTCCATGCTTGGGTGGAAAACCCCAGTTTTAAGAACTCCATAGTTGCTTCTGACAGGAACATTGGTGTTATGAGACAATTGTTGTGCTTTTTTAACAAGAACATCAAAGCAAAAGCTGACAGGGAAACAATGAATGTGGTCCAACGATTCAAATTATTTGGAATTTGTATTTGAGGTGGATGATACAGGGAAGGGAATTCCTAAGGAAAAGCAAATATCAGTATTTGAAAACTATGTCCAGGTCAAAGAAACAGCTCTTGGAGAAGGAGGTACTAAGCTTAGGACTTGGTATTGTTGTAAGCAATCAACATCAATTTTATATACTTTTCTTTTTACTTGGAAACATGCCTTTTCATGTTTGTGTTTGTGTGTTTATTACTTGGCTAAACAGACTGATTTTTTGGAATATTCATGCCTGCTTACACGCTTGATATACATCTCCTTGTAAATTTTGCACTATAGGTACGTTTGATGCATGGAGAAATACGAATTGTGGACAAGGAGATTGGGGAACGAGGGACATGCATCAGGTTTAATGTTCTCCTAGCGGTATCTACTGCGAGATTGTCTTTAAAGATAACACAAAATAAGAGGACGTTGAAATGGCATTTGGCCCAAGTACTTATGATGACAGGTCAAATCTACATTTGGGGATAGCAGCCACTCACACTCCTAGTACTTCTGGGCTAAGCATTCACGCACCAAGCCCCAGATTGAACATTCGAATCCCAAGTCCAAGAATTGAGGGATCAGTTGTCGTACTGTTGATTAAGAATAAGGAGCGCAGGAGAATTTCACAAAAATTCTTGGAGAACCTTGAGATAAAAGTATTGGTGGCAGAACATTGAGAGCAACTTCCTCATACTCTAGAGAAAATAAGACATAAGGGGTGCCCTTCTCGTCATCATAGTCTTCAGGAATATCCGAGTTGGGTTTGCAAGATTGCTTGACACGCAATCCCAAGAACAGAGCAAAGGAAGTGCCTTTGATCAGCGCCATAGATGGAACCGAAAACAACAACATATTGTCTCTCCTTAAAGTAGACTAATCTTCGTGGCACATCAGTCTTTGCATTATTAGTAATTGATGCTACAGCTGGACCATTCAAAATGAGCCTTACTCGGAATAGGTAGTAATTGCAATCGGTGCAGGGTTGTTTGGTTAGCAAATCATAGCATTAACTTCAACGACGTCCTCAAAAGGGGGGATATTTTTTATCAAGATGATGTTGTCAAACACAAGGCACGTCACGGTAGCCGTCTATACGAAGCGGTAAGGCTTCTTCCAGAGTTTAGGGTGCATTACCAAAGAGAAAGGCCGCCTGTCAGCAGTTGCAGCTCGTTCGAAATGTGTCCAAAGCTCCTAGATCATCAGGACATGATTAGTTTCGTAAGAGTACCGACGATGAATATGAAATATCGCAAGATCATAATAATATTGGTGGTTTGGGTAATATGACACCTTGCCACGAACCAACCTCATCATTAATATTTCTCTTGTTGGCTCCACATCAAGAAACTCGCCAATACTAGCACTTAATGACCACCCCTCAGTTCCAATTCCAGTTCTAGTTCCACATGATGGAGATCAAACGCAAGATCATCAACTGGTAATCAGAGCAGACCCCTGAGCGGGAAGAAATTTTTGGTTGCGGAAGATAGTGAAGTGAACCGCAGGCTAGCTATGGTTAATCTATAACAGCTAGGTGCAACTGTGGAGCTTTGTGAAAATGGAAGACAAGCTCTTGATCTTGTTCGCAATGCTCTTGTTAATTAAGGAAAACATGATGCAATTATATACTAATGGACTGTGAGGTAACTAGCTACTATAGTAACCATACATATATGTATGATTCATTTCCGTACTCCTCACCTACCAGATACCGCGCACCTAATATATTTAGTGTCATTTGGAAGTGCTTTATTTACTCTTCAATTCATTGATCCGTTGAATCAATCCTACTGCTTTCGAGTTGAAAATTAAAGACTGCGTATTTTGGTTTCCCTAAAACAGATGCCAGAAATGGATGGGTTTGAAGCAACAATGCAAATAAGGAAAGAGAAAGAACCTTCCAATGTTCACATTCCCATCATTCCATTAACTGGTCATGCACCAGGCGAGGAAAGAAAAAAGAGGATTGAGGCTCGCATGACGACCATTTAAGCAATAAGTGAGCTTCCTCTGTATTAAAGATGTGATACAAATAATCTTATTTATATGTCTTATAATATAGTTGTGGTTGTGGGTGAAACATGAATTAAGGTTTATTAACCAACTAGTTTTTTATTATTATAAATTTTTACATTTTAATACAAGGGATAATTTTGAAGGGAGTGAAGGGAATCGAACCTAGGATATCAAGTATAGGCGTAGATGTTCTTAACCACTTGAGCTACATATCCCCTTACTTTTTTCTTTTTAAAAAAAACTTAATTACTGTTCAAATGCTCGGTCTCACTTTACCCACTGCAATTGAAATTTTCTCACTTAACCTCATAATCTCTAAAAATTGATGAAATTTTCTCACTTTATAAGAAATTAAGCCTTTTTTTAAGGACATTTCCTATTGAGGGAGGCAATAATATACTTGACAAGACCCGCCCTGAATTTTCTCAGAATCTGGGACGGACCCCGCCTAATTACCGACATCAACCTAATGTCGGGCCCACTTAGTAAAGACTGAGACTTTCTACCAAAAATTTGGCAGAGTCTCCCCTGTAAATTGAACATTCCCAAACTTCAACATGTTCAAAATTTACCGTTAATTACAACCAACTGGCAGCATGCTTTACAAGCAACAAAACATTTTACAACAAAGGCCTCCGGCCTCACAAAATTAAACCCTCAGCGGGCGATACAGAGCATAACTAAGGAATTCAAAATACAACCGAAGTACCGTTTAACTGAAAGGAAAAACAAAGCACCAAGAGTCTTTACGAAGACTCGAGTTCCAAGATGCACCCGGTCCGGCTCAACTGCAAAGCTCAGTCGCTATTGGCTGGGGGCGCAAAATAGAAAGTTGTGAGTGGACAAAAATCAAGTTCAGTTCAAAAGAAATCAAAGTAGTATAACCCCCACCTTTATAAAAAACATACAATAAAACCAGAAGCATAACAACCATCAGAAAAAGGTATATAAACATACACGAACATATATATATATATACCGGATCTCAAATCCGTACTCCGTGAATAATGCTTCACGAAACCCACCACTCAACTTAAGAGTCCCGAGAGATTAGACTCTCATAAACGTACTCAAAAGTACGACCGGCGAGGAAATATCCTTACCGAAAAATAGAACGAAGGAACATTCATATAAATAAATATATATAATATACATACATAATAATAATAATATGAGATAACATAATCATAATAAGAATAATAATAATAATAGTATATAAAGATAACCCATATTTAATTGTACCGGGGAAACAATCCAACCGGGCGACTGTTTGACTAGGCCACATGGCAGAGCCATTCCTCAATTCACCATGTGTCTAGGGAACGAGCCGTCCAACCGGGGGACTAACTCTCAGCCAGCACATACAGCCGACACAGTCAAAGCTTGTACGCCTGAAATACCAGTCCTACGCGCGCAGACTACCCCAAATCCAGGGTCCACAGCAACATCCCCTCAAGGATGCCCTGAGTTCTCATCGTAACCAAATTCAGATCAGGGGAGGTACATAAATTAGTGCTTAACGCACTCCAAATAATAGATCCAACATTACCTTTCCATAGTTCATATTAACCACCAAGTACCCCATGCATAGCCGCATGTAAATATAGCTTCTCAAAATTCAAATATCAATGTAAGTTTTATGAAAACCTCGAATTCCCATTCGAGCATATATAAATAATTACTCGACATAATAAAACAATATGCCATATTTCTATGAATAAAATCATACTGAGTTTCAAAAGAAAAGTCCACTCACAAGTAGTCCCACACAGCTTGACCCTTAGAGGGTCCCGCCTGCTGCGTATGCTGGGTCGGAGTACCTGATTCAGAATACGAAAATGCGATGAATATCAAGCACTTCAAAACAGAACTTTGAAATAAAACCCTAGCTTCCCGGGAGTTCCTATAGGTTTTACGAGGGCTAGGATACACGTCCTGTAAGTTTGGTCCGAAACGGACGGTTAGACCGCTTACGATCGCATAATTGGACGGTTACTGAAACCCTCACCCTAGGGTTGGCATTTCCGGAGTATCCGGGACTCCGTTTTACGATCCGTCGAATCCTACACGATCTTGCGGTTATCCAGAGGAACATACTTTAATTTGAAAACGATCCAACGGTCAGAACATATCGAACCCGAATAACGCACAATATACGATAATTCGTTCGATAGTCAAACGACCTCGGAATCGAGATCCGCGAAATCCTATGCGCTCGTGACAACGTAAAGATCACATTGGAATAGTTTGCAGCTCCACCACACTTGCCCACGCGCCGGCAGCAAGCGGGTGTGCAGAGAAATTCCGGCGACGGAAAATCTCCAAATCACAAGTCACCCTCCCGGCTATAGGTCCTACTCAACTAGGGGAGCACTTCATTCAACTACGGCCAAGCCCAAAACCACCGGGAACTGGCCGGAATTTCGAAGTGAAAACCGGCCAAAAACCTAATTCGAAAATAACTTCCAAAACCTCAAATTGTTTCAATCCTAAGCAACAGGCAGCTAGAACAGATAAAACGAAGGAGAAACCCCACCAATTTTACCTGAAATGAACGGCGGAGGCGGCGGCGCAACGATCGGAAAAGTCCGGCTCGAACCAGTCGAAACTGCCGGCGGTTCTCGAGCTTTACGGTCGGGATTTTGGGTGGGTCAGGTCTGGGACTTCACTACGAGTCGAACGGAACCGGTCTCGAGGGCTGGGGTGGCCGGAAGTGATGGCGGCGTGGAGAATTCTGTTCGGGTGAACAGTGACGAGAGAGAGAGAGAGTGTTCGCGGGAGAGAGAGAGAACGCACGGGAGAGAGAGAGAAAAGTGAAATGAAATGAAAAATCTGATTTTTTTTACAAATACCCTTTTCGAATTATTTACAATTTTGCCACCGAAAGAAATTTCATCGCCAACACTTCGTTATAACTCCGATTCAAACCTACTGCCTGTCTACGAATTCATCTCAGAACCACTTACACAACTAAACCACTTGTGGTCCAAAAATCCTTCCAGACAAGAAAATGACCAAAATACCCTACCCCAATGGTAGTTTCGTAATTTCACAGTTAATTTAATTTTAACTTTTTAAATAGAGTCGGGGTGTTACAATACTTAACTCACACACACTACACGGATGCTATGACTCGAACTTAGAACCATGCCTGGAGGAACAATTACTCTAAACCACTACACAAAAAGCCCCTTGACCACCTAGAAGAAAAAAAAAGTTAATTATATTTTTGGTTACTGGGGTTTGCTCAAAATCAAATATGGTCACCGTGATTTTAATTTTCCCGATTTCGTCACCATAGTTGCATCAATTAACAAATAAAGTCCTAAGCCTCAATTCCCTCAATTTGTTTAATTTAAAAAATATTTAATATTAAGTTAAAATTAATTAATTTCAAGATAAAATTTAATATTTAAACAAAAATCTATCCTCGTGTTCCCTTTATTCCGCCATCAGCCTCATTTCCCCACCTACCCAACCGTACCTAGGGTCAGTTTGGGATTATTGTCACTTAAAAAAAAAAGTTGCAATTGCTGTACTTTGAAAATAATTAATTGTAAAATAAAGCAGCTTCATGTTTGATAAACAATATTTTTAAAGTGTTGTTAATACAAATAGTAGTGTTAAAACTGTTTGGCAAATTTTAATATAAAATTGTTATAAATGTGAATAATGACTAAAATTGTCACATCCCGGGATTGGCTACGCCGTAGCATGATATTGTCCACTTTGGGCCCCCCTCTCTGCCCTCATGGTTTTGTTTCTGGGAACTCATGAGCAACTTCCCAGTGGGTCACCCATCCTAAGATTGCTCTAGCACCAACTGGCTTAACTTCGGAGTTCATATGATTCCGAAGCCAGAGGCACATCACTCCCTCTCCATTGATTGATGTGGGATGTTACAATCCACCTCCTTAAGGGCCGACGTCCTCGTCGACACACTCACACTACACGGCAGAGTGGCTTTGATACCAAATTGTCACATCCCGGGATCGGCTCCGCCGTAGCACGATATTGTCCGCTTTGGGCCCCTTCTCTACCCTCACGGTTTTGTTTCTGGGAACTCATGAGCAACTTCCTAGTAGATCACCCATATTGAGATTGCTCTAGCCCCAACTCACTTAACTTCGAAGTTCCTATGACTCCAAAGCCAGTGAACTCCCAAAAGGCCTCGTGTTAGATGGAGGTAGGCATGTACATATAAGGCACATCACTCCCTCTCTGTTGGTCGATGTGGGATGTTACAAAAATAGACATGATGTTGAAAGTATCATGCGCTAATCATGCGGTGGTAGTGATAGAGGTGGTGGTAAAAAAGATGAAGGTGAAGGTGGTGGTGAAAGAGGTGGTGGGAGTGGTGATGAAGGTGGAGCTGGTAAGGATAGCGATTTTGGAGGTGGTGGAGGTTGAGGAGGAAGAGGTGGTGGTGGTGGTGGTGGTGGAAATAAGGAAAATTAAAATTATGGTGACCAAATTTGATTTTGAGCCAAATCTTAGTGACCAAAAATGTAATTAATATAAGAAAAAAAAAGTAAGGAGAAGTATTTACGGTATTTGTACGAATAGGGTATATTATGTATAATACACATTTTGAAGTTATCAAATTTTAGTGGAATTGGGTTATATCACAGTGGTTTTAAAATGTCATCAAATTTTATTTTACATTTTCTTGAAAAACCCAAGGAAATTTGCAGCAGTCAGTGGTAGACACCACGGTTTACGAGCCTCCAGTGAGTGCAAAGTTGTATCCCTATCGTACACCAACACCGACTACGGTACTGTCCTCTGTAGTTTACAAATTAGGGATTGCTTTTCAGAGAGAGGAACGTCAGGGCTTTTCAGCGAGAAGCATACATACCTTTGAAAAGCTTCAGGCTTGAGCTCGCCGTTGAGGTTGAAAGAAGGACCAAGTCTCGGGTAAGTAAAATTTTGTTCTGAAATTACAAATCAGCTAAAACAAGTTTGGAATTTGAAATTCCAAGTCTGCATTGGAATACAAACCCAATAACCGTGGATTCAGCGTTGGACGACCAATGTCAAAATTGTCGAATACATGAAGTCAAACATTCTTATGAATTTTGTTAGAGCGATCAATTTTTGTGAAACTTTCTTGTTATATCTTCGCGGCACTACTAGGTCTTTCACTTCCGGAATATAGGGCAAGAATTGGAATGTCATGTACTTTTTATCAGTTTGGATGGTATGTTCTTATCAGTTTACAAAATTGCTGGGAAAGGAAAACGGTCTAGTCTGTAAATTTGGAGGTGTGGGGAAAATTAGGAGTTGGACACTGAAAAACCCTAAACCCTGAAAAAAAGGGCATTTTGATATATTGTCAGTCCTCTAGTTCTTTTTGGGTCACCGCCTCAATAACAGCAACAACAACAAAATTCAACTGTGATTCTTATAAACCTGCCTAGGATGAGACTGGATTTGATAACTCACTGGAAGGTATGTTGAAGAAAGAAATAGAGGCCAACTTCCGAATTTTGTCAAAGTTGAATGTAATAGATGGACTAGTCATGAAGGAAACTTACCCCTCCCAATCCCATCAACACCTTATGACTTATCTTCTAATCTTAATGCTTAAATTGGGCATTTACCCCAAACAATCATTAATCAATATGTTTATATCATCTTTCACCAACACACACTTGTAATTGTACATAGCAGAATCATTAGATTGTTGCAATTTGAAATTATCCTCTTATTGCTGTCTTCAGTCATGTAGTGCACATAGCTCTGTTGAGATACCTCTAACTGTAATTAATTAAGAGTAGAGGTACTAGCAAAAAGAGCAAAAACAATTGAGTACAGTTGAAGGTGTGAGTTATTGTGGAAGTCATCTTATTGTTGAAGCATAGTACGAACCATAAGTGAACCATTTGTTTGTCATCTGGTTTCTAAGAATGTCATCAAGATTTTCAAAACCTTTTTTTTTTGTCTTGGATATCTTTCTGGACACAACCAGCATCTTCATTGAAGTAAATAACCATCTGTCAAGCAAATTTGGATACAAAACCATAGAGAAATTACTATTCAGTCAATGCTTTCTACTGTCATACTGTGTCACTGGTTAAAAGCTAGTTGTTTCCTTGTTGGATTGATCGTGCTGCAGTATCTGATGGAGGCTCAAATTCAAGAATCAGTTCCTTGTAGGCCTCAGGTCAAGGCGAAATTCCAGCTTGGTTCAGAAACATATTCTGTCAATCGAAACACGGGCATTCTTTCTGAGCAAGTGGTTTCCATTAAAGAAGAAAGCATGAACATATTGAAGGACTTCATCACCAGACATAATGTTCCTAATGACGTCACCGATGAACTTGTTGAAAACTCCTCGGAAGATGATGGTGAAATCCCCGAGAAGCCTCCTGTCAAGTTGAAGAAGACTAAATTTACTTGATTGCCTTTCTATGCCCAGGTTTAAACCCCAAAACTGTTTGTGGAGTGCTCCTTTTGATGTCTTAGATCAACTTTTTGAACTACATCTGGAATTACCCAGCGTTAGCTACTTTTGCAATATGAAGTGAAGTGCTTATGTTTTCAAGTTTGACATTAACTACTTTTTGAACTATCAGCTTTTGAAATTCAGTCCGTCCAATTGAATTATTAATTATCAAGATTAATCTTGGACTCCGGCTAGGTTTTAGTGGGCATTTTCGTATCCCTTGTACTCTTGACTTCACTTAAATCACTTGCTGTTACAGATTATCTCCCGATTGGAAGTGCAATTGGCAGGCTTACCCTTGTACAGATTTTAACTGCGACTGTGAGTCTGTTGACTAACCTGAAAACTCGGATAATACGCAAATCAAAGCTGTGCAAGAAAAATATTGTTCTCATGGGTAAGCTCAGATCTGTTCCATTCCACTAGCCTTACTTAGCACTTATTGTTAATAAGATGATATTAAACATCTTCTCCAACAGTCAGAATGAGAAACACTTTGTTGCAAAGGTTGCTATCTCTGGCCAATAATGCTATGCCAAAGTATTATCACGTGTGTCATAGCGTTATTGGGCGAGGATAGCAAAATAGTGTTATTCCCGTTTCATGGAAGTCTTTCTCCACATTCTTAGGTTACCTCTAAGATGAGCATATTTCTACAATGGTTGAGAATGGAGGTTACCATACCGACTTGATTATGATGTTACGAACTTTGGGCTCTTGTAGCCATGGACGGTGACTCTTTTTCTTTTTTCTTTTTTCCAAACAATAAGGGATAGACGGTGACTGTTGGATGCTATGATGTTAGAATTTAAGAGTTTGCCCCCCCAATCTTCTGATTTTATCTCATTTTCGGACTGATTCCCAACAAAGTAGGCCAACAAACTTCAAAAAAAGCTCGACACAAGGAGGAGTAACTGTCATTATAATAATAGAGATAGAGATAGAGATAGAGATGCATTAGAAAGGAGACTTGGAAAACCATCCACATAATCCCTAACTAAATTATCCAATATAACCCTCTTATAAAACATTAAAACCCAAAATAAACAAGAGAGACTTGAAGCCTAACAAAATTGGGTTGTGTATAATCTTAACAGACAAAACATTTGGATCCCAATTTAGGAGAAGTGTATACCATCCTTGTTGAACTCAGAAAGTAGGTCCAAGAATTGCTGTAATTTGAGCTTCGAGGACCTCTCCCCTTCAAAACCTGCCTTCATTAACACACTCAAAACCCTTTTTTTGAATTCAGATACCTCCCCTTCTGCATTACCATCCTCCACCTCCATTCCATCATCCACTCCATCATCATTCATCTCTATGTCCTCATCTGAAAAATCCATCACATCATTAATATCCTCCAAGGCACCTTGTTGGGCTGGTGCAAGATTAAGCGCCTGCAAGGTCTTGTAATTCTTCTCTAGCAAATTGATGACACTCTTCTGCCTAAAAATTGAGCCAAGCGTTTTGTTCTTCCTATTGAAACAGATCCGCAAAAAGCCATCCCACTCCTTTTGGTTCACTTCAAAAGGTGGTTTCCTGGGTTCAATTCGAACGACAGAGGAATCTACCTTAGGCGGAGGGCGAAAGTTGTTCCTTCCAACTTTGAGTAGATGGGAGACCCGAGACAAGAGTTGTGTGTTGACGGTAAGACGACAGTAGAGCTTGTCACCAGGCTGCGCAACCAGTCTCATTGCAAATTCCCTTTGGAACATTATAATGGCACATCTGAAAGCAGGTTGGTGCTTCAATAACTTGAATGTGAGGGGAGATGAGATTTGATAAGGGATATTTGCCACGCATATATCAAAATAGGGAAGTTCAGTCTTTAGCACATCTCCTTGAATAACCTGTGGACATAGCAAACAAATCCTCTATCTGTATTCGATGAAAATCATCAACAACACATCGCATCACACATCACACAACAGAATTTGAGAATCCCTTCATGGCATAATAGTTCACACTTTCTAAATTATCATATTCACCAAAACGCTAATTGCAATTACTCAATAATGGGTTTTCAAAGCAAAAAGAAAGTGCTCGGATATTGAAAATAAGCACGAAAAGGAGGTACCTGCAAGCGGCTGGAGAGAGGAGTGCCCTGAAATCGTCTCTGCAGCTCGAGGACCATGCGAGCGTCAATCTCAACGGCGATGACCCTCTTACCAACTTCTAGAAGCTTCTTGGTGAGATTACCAGTACCAGGACCAATCTCTAGGATGATATCGGTGGATTTGATCCCTGACTTCTGGACTATGGAGTCCACCAGTAACGGATTCTTGAGGATGTGCTGTCCTTTGGACTTGTGGAACGATATGCCTCCTTGGTAGGGCGTGTGCCCTGCTGGCCTCGCCTTCTCTTTCTTTGTTTTGCCTCCTGCCATAGATGCCAGACCAAAGGCTGAGAGGGTTCAGTAAAGGGTTTAGGGTTTTCGATGCAACACCGAAATCTATTTCGGTGGAAGTTTGAAGTTTTTTTTTTGGACGAAGTGGAAGTTTGAAGTTTGAACTAGAATAGTGTGTGGCAGTAAGGAATTATAGAGCGGAACGGTATCAATAGTCACGAGTCTTTTTAAAAAGAAAACTCAGAAACTGTATTCAATTAGGATTTTAAAAGATTATTTTGGGATAAATAAGTTATGTGATATTCAATTAAGATTTTTAAATAATCTAAATAAGTCTTGTGATATTCCATTAAGACGATTAGAATTTTAAAAAGAGAGTCGTCTTAAACTGTTTGTTCAACTGGACTTTGGAAAATTAATAAAAAAAGGGAGCTGATTTTCTTGTTCCCCTTTTCTCTATTTACACCCCATTTTGCTTTTTAATCAATTTTGTTATTTTTTATTCCTTCTCTTTCTTATTCTACCCTTATCCTACATTATTTTTTTTTTGTACTTCACTTTTATATTATTTCTTTGGCTTTTTATCACAAATGGTAATTGAAATTTGCATAATTATCACCTTTTGTCCTTAAAGTTTTTTTGTAACACTAATGGTTCTTAAGGTTACGCTCTATACATTAAAATGGTTCATGTTGTTAACTTCCGTCACATTTTCTGTTAAAATGCTGACGTAGCACACATATGGGCCACACATCCAATTATGTAGTCACATGGCTTTAAATAAAATATAAAATATATTTAAAAAAGAAAATTAAAGTTTTTAGAAAAAAAAATATTAGAACTTAATTTAAAAAAATATATATATATGCATCTCTCTCTCTCTCTACCTGAGCAACTCACACTCGAATCTTTTAAAAAAGAGAGCTTGTCGCAGAAATGAAGTATAAATTATCATCCCCGGCCCTTACCTGTTTTGTCTTGAAATCTCCCCTCGTTAAGTCCAAGAACCTGGCTAGATAGGGATTATGCCATCCATAAGTCCGATTCTTCTATTTGACTAATTTCTTATGTTGGCGTAAAATGTTGCATCTTTGTCCGGCCAAAATTTTCTAATTTTTCTTATGTTCGGATATTTTCCTATTTTTTTAAACAAAGATCTTTATGCAGAGGTTGTTGCACAGAGCTTTCTTCTCCAGCCAGGGCTCATTGCCCCCAATGAGATACACAATGAAATGGTTAATTCCTAGGTGGCTAATTCTAATGTTGAAGCTGCAATTTTCACCTTGATTCAATCATCAGTCTGTCAATGCAAATACATATATATATATATATATATATATATTTCTTTCCAAAAGGATGAATTTCCAATTAATACAAATTTTGACTAATTGACAAAGCAATTGGAACGCGATACCTAATTTGGCATAATAACTAAGATTTATAGGCTGACAATTTATATAAAATGCAAAATTGACAACATTTTCCTATATGAATCAAGATGCGTATAGCAAGATTGCTTCAAATTTTTTTGAAGTTCTTTTGCCAAACTGCTGAGCACTAATAATAATGATGATCTTGGAGAAGATGCGTATACAATAAATGATCTGCTTTGGCCTTGGGGATTTCACTCTCCCTCTGGAAGGACTGCTTTACCAAAAATGGAACAACGGGGGCCTACTCGAAAAACAAAATTGAAAAGAAGAAAGAGCAGCCTAAGGAGTAATAAGGAAGACCGGTTGTATCTTCTGTACTCAAAACCTCTGCAATCTTGACAGTTTTTTCTTAAACCATTTTGAGAGGTGCCTAATCCGGGCTTGCAATTCATTTCTCTTGAAGTACTGCCTCGCGTTTGACAGCATAACCATTATATCATGCTCCACAGCTTCCAAGCTTCTATAATAGTCATTCCTTAACCTTGACTGGATTAGTTCCGGGTACAATTGCACAGGAAAGCTGCAAAATATCCACAAACCAAAGTATTATTATTTTCTCAAAATCTTAGTTTTTGCCAAAAATTATTTATATTAAAAAACGTGATTATTGATGTGCACTTGGTTTTTTTGTGTGTGCAGGCTTTGTGATAGAACGGCAGGATGGGCCCTCTTAACAGGCTATAAGTATATAGGTCATCAAGTTCCGCACATTCTATCTAATTTCAAGGAAATTAATTAGAACTCAATGGATTGGAAGGTTCCTATAAATGTTCTAACACAGGGATATGGTTAATCCATATCTAGTATTTCTTTACCTGTTGCAGAAATCCGCCTTCCGAACAGCTTGATTCATTTGTTGGATTGTTTGGGAGTCCTGCATCATTTACAGCATAATTAATTAAAATCCTTACAACAGTTCAAGCTTTAAATTCCAATTCCCACAAAATAAAAACAACAGGGACGTGAAAGTATTTGAATAACCTTCTGCTCCAATTTAGAAAAATAGTGCAGCAGCTTATCTCTGCTTTCAGAGTTAATATGAGGGTGTTCCAATAATATGAATGGATCACGCAGTTCCCAAGGACAATGACAATGGGTTATCCCATCATCATTTTTGTACCGAATCTCATATCTTAACCAAGGGCTGTCGGGAAACTCATGTGATTTGGCCTGACAACGAACAATTTGACCTTCCCACCAATCCCCACCTCCATCTGAATCCCTCCACCAAACCTCGCATTTGTCCCTAGTGGTCCAGTTTCTTCTAATAGCAGCATCATACCATATTTTCTCAACAATGAAATCACTGAAATCAATTTCAGGCAAAGTTAAATTCCATGGTTTACCAAACATAGCAGAAGAAGGGTCTACAAATTTAAGTTCCATTCTACTGCAGCTCTCCCCAGAACCAGGCTGCGAAGCATAATCAAGGCTTTCAACCTTGCAAATTTCCACAGCTTTGATGTTTTCCTTAATTGATCCCCAAGGACCCCAAGGACCCACTTCTGATTTCATAACTACTTCTAGATACTCTTGATGGCCCTAACAATCAGATGCCAAAATATTAGTATTAAACAGTAAATACAAAAGCAGAACTCAAAAAGGACCAGAAACCATGAATACAGATGCCAAAAATTACCTGTCTCAGGTACACCACTTCATCACCTAGCTGAGGAATATAACGGTAACCTGGCTCATGTTTTGACAACATCAGCCATGACAACTTTCCAACAGGGGTATCTAACATGCTTCGGGTTAAAGAACTTTGGTCATAATCATTATATGAACCCTGACGATTTCTTGTAGACCTTGGTCTTTGATATATCTGATCACACACTTTAACGGAGGAGTCTTCTGCATCTTTTGAAGTCCCTGCTGTTTGATGGCCCCATCTCAACTTAAGGCTACGGCTCACAGAGCCCACCCCCCGTGAAGTTGCCTTGATCTTTAATGTTCTTGTTCCACGTATTGCACCCATTGCTGCTTCAGGGAGATCAATTCCTGAATCATGACGGTCGTTGACATTTGAAGTATTTTCTTCCATATTACCATCAACATCTTCTGAATTAGTCCTACCCTTGAAAAAAAACTTCAAAGAACCTGGTCTGCCAGCACCTCCACTCACTTTTGGCATTTCCAGATTTAAATTCTGGTCCATGCATGAAGGATCTTCTGGCATTAAATCTCCATAACCTGTTAGGTGTTCTGCAGAAAACTTAAGGGGAGCATTATACTTTAATTCATCAGAGTGCATTGTTCCAGCAGCCTCCTCTATCTCCAGGGAGTCCTCTATGCCTTTTGGTTTGCGCTCGCCCAAAGCTGAGGACTCAAAAGATGACGATATGAGTGTATGAGAAAGCTCCTTACTTTTGAGACCGTCCAGATCCTCTAATGCATCAGTTCCATTATGTTCCTCATCCCTGCAAGGCAAGATACCTCCATAATTTTATTTTTTCCCTTAACTTTTGAACGAGTATAAAACTTTGCACAGTTGTCCTTAGGATAAACATACCAATTGACATAATTCCTCTCTTTCATATAGACATCAAAACTAGCAAGCGATCCAGTGGCTGCCTCTATTGGTATGGGATTTCCTGATCTTGTATGCTTTGGTGTGCGTATCTTGACCTCTCCCCACCCAACTCTGTTATCCTTGTCACATGGAGATGCCTTCAAAGAATTTCCAGCCTTTGCAGTTTGCCCGGGATCTGTGAATTCATTGTCTATGAGATTTCCTGACAACTCCACGTCAATCACATCTGGCAAAGATGAACCCAGACCCTTATTAATCCTCTTATCTTGAGTCATATCTTGATATCCAGAAGATGGAGACACCAAATCAGCCTGATTTTTATATTTGATTTTTACATCCTGCGGAGCCTCTTGCTTCTTAGAATCACGAAGTGGAATCTTGAAAACCAATTTTGGCTTGCTTCTGACATTTGACTGAGATGAAGAAACTGCAACAGTCTTGGCTATATCCTCAAACTCGTGGACAGATGGTTCTTCTTTAGTATGTTCTTGTTGCATCATCTGGTTACCACCATAGCTTTGAATGTGGAATTGTTGCTCTAGAGAATCACTGTTTGATGAATCATCTTCATCTTTTTCTCCATCAGTAGATGTTCCAGGGATCTGAGAAAGCACATTTCTAGCATTGCGTGCTGCAACTCGCTGGGGTCTCAATGTCTTTGCGGAAGGCTTTCTCTTTGAAACTTTCCGGCCACCTTTTGAATTTTTAATTCTCTCAATCCCAGATATAATGCCATCATGCTCATCCACTTTCCTTTTCTTGCCACGCCTCTCAGAACAGATTATTGACTCAACCTAAAAATCATAAAATTTGAGCCGATTTAGGTGGAACAAAAACAGAATCTAGTATAGATGAAGAGACAGTATTTACCTTTTGTCGTTTTCTTCTTGATCGGCGAAGGCCATCCTTATGACTGCATTCAGCTTCACTGTATTCTGTGCTGCAGTCTGGTTCGCTAGAAGAGCTGGTGGTGATATTTCCTTTCTCATCTTCACTGGAATTTTCCTCAGTACCGTGATACTCTGAATCAGTATCTTCACTCGCAACTTCATTTTCTGGCTCCCATAACATGGCATCAAAAAAATCTGGTAGTGGCTCAATCATTCTTTCCAAATCTGGTAAAGGAGGCATCTGATAATCTAGGCCTGTATCCATGCCAATAGAGAATTTCATGGATGAAGGATGCCATTCCATGCCAAGAGCACCCAGTCGCCGTTGCTGGTATGTACTTTGATAAGGTTCGGGATATGGCATCATACCTATTGTTTCCCATCAATCTATGTTATGAGAAAATTTTGTGAGTGAATATATATTAAGAACCCCACCCAGTAGAACCAGAAACATACTTGAATCACAGAGAGGATCTTGAAGATTCCTTCGATAAGCAGGAAGCTGTGTCTCCTGCAGCATATATAGTATGTTCCACAATCACATGTGGAATAGAATGTAAATACCAGAAATAACATTCAACATCAATCAACTGTACACCATGCACAGGAACATAAAATTACATTGATTCAATTTCTCAATGTGCAAGTTGATGCCAACTGCAGCTGTGGAATAAAATTTACTCCAGAACAATGTACTAGTGAGTACTAATGAGAAGATGATTTAACCTGATCAATAGGATATCCAGAATCATCCCGTGCAAGGGGGCGATAATCCCCAAGGAAGAACTGTAGGAGAATCACACAAACAGCCATCATAGAAGAATTGCATAACACGAACTTGAATCAAAAGATAAAGAGTGGACAACTGTACAAACAGTGCTTAGGATACCTGATCATATTTAGCATCTTTTTGAGACTCGCCTTCACCCGTGTTTATTAAATATACTTGGCCAACATCGTCTGAGAGTACTATTGATGTCCCATCCCTAAGTAACAAAGAGAATATGTCTCATAAAAAACATTAGCGGAATAAAGGTTAAGCATTTTAGTTTCCAAGAATTAGAATTTGATCATTCAAAATTGATATCCATGTCGTAAAGAATGATGGCACCAGTAAACTGAAAATGCATCATTCTGAAAGTGGGCAGGGGAGAGGGGGGCAATGAGATATTGAAGAGATGTGAGGTAGTGGCAAGGCAACTAACCTATGTCTCTTTACATAAATTAACCCCCACAAAAAGTAATAAGGTTAAAATTGTCAGTTTAACTATAACATGAGAGAAGAGTATTCAACATATTTGAAAATTGGGTAGCTCACTTACGCGGAAAACTTCCCATCAACCAACTTAACGTTTCCAATTTCGTATATCTTAATAGGCATGCCCTCCCATATCTAGAAACCACCAAATACAAAACAACGTATTAACAATACACATTAGGAGAACAATGTATCAGAAAAGAGAACTTGAAAAATTCAAGGAATAAACCGAAGCTCACATCCCAAACTATTGTTTGCCCATCATACCCAGCACTCATAGCAATCCGAGGGTTAAAGGGATGAACATCCAAAACATATGACTGCCAAGAATTTGACAACAGACAAGTGCCACAAGATCAATAGATTCAAAAATTCTAATTCTAATTCAAACAAAAAGCTATTTCCTGGTGCAGATAAAGCATTGGATTAAAAAAAATGCATATCTGAGTCAAGGCATTATAAGCATTATGATAATCTGAATCTGAATCTCTTAATATATCAGATACCACTTACAGATGCAGTGTGACCGGTCAAAGAATGTACTAAGCTACCATCAACAGCGTTCCAAACACAAATTCTGCAATCTGCATAATTATTAAACTTATTAAAGAGAAACCCTAAGTTTATAAACCAAGTACTTGAATGCATGCAACAAAAGAATTGTGCGTTTTAATGGAACAGTTGTGCCGTATAGGTTAAAATTATGCGCTTTGAATTAACAGCTGGGTGGTTATCTGTTTAATGTGGGGAACGCCTCCAGGATGTCATGTCAATCAGACAAGTTTTGAGTCTAGGCATGAGAATAAGGGACCAGCCATGTGTGACGAACAGGCATGAATACAGCATCTATAGGATAACTCTTGAAAGCTATTTGGCGTTTTTTGGAAACAATGGGCACAAAAGTTAGTGTAGCCAAAAATATTAATAGGTGGAATTATTAATGGCTCATTAAGAGAAGCAAGAGGTGACAACCTCTGAACATAAGACTTGGAAAAAGTAACCAAGATCATTCACTTGAGCAGTGAATGCCCCCAAGAAGAGAGTAATTATGGCTCAACTTACGATATACAAGAAAGAAGCTGAAAACCAATGCAGGCTTAAAAAGAAAAGAAAAAAAAATGCATGACAGTATGTAACTTGATGGATGTGGTGGCCCAAGCAAGAGCATAACGTAGTTGGGATTAGGTGCTTTCTTTTAGAACGTGGAAGAGGTATGCCAAGAAAATCCTATTTCCATAAAAATACTTTCCAAAAGTATAAACCTTGGTAAGTACTTTACCCATGATAGCTGCAAGCACAAAGCGGTTATCCAGGCTCCACACAATCATATTAACGCCACGAGGGGTGGGAAGAAATCTCTGACGAGGGCCTCCTCGAGGTGGCTGAGGAGGCAGTGGGGGAGGCGGAACTTTCAAATGATATGCACGTGTCCAACGTCCAACTTTTCCCTAAAGCCAGAGAGTGGAATATAAAGGAATGATCACATAGAAATTAGACTACAGAAAACTGAAAAGAAAAAAAAAAAAAAAAAACTCACTCATTCAAAATTCAAAACAAAAAAACAGAGCTCGCACGACATCTGTGTGATCTTGGAACCCATATAATGGCACTGCCATCACGAGAGCAGGTAACTATGTTGTTGTGACAAAACCTGAGAATTCAAATACGGGTTCTTAGCAACATTCTACACAGAAAAAAAGTAGTTGTGCAGATACTATACTACACAAAAACAAGAGCATAAGCATGATGCAGAAAATTCATTGTAAAATCATATCAGATATCAGCATACCAGGAATTTTTGAACTTCATATTACTCTCCTCCTTCACAGAGTCAGAAAATGAAGATTTTGAAGGAATGGCGCAGCCACTGCATAGGGAAGCAGCAAAGATGTTATGAATATTTTCAAAGAAAAATTTCTAATAACGATAAACACCAAAGAGAACTTGACAGAAACAACATAAATTATGGGAAAAACAAAACAAGAAATTTTAAAGGAACCTTCATAAGATATTCATTTAATAAATCATCTTCTGGAAAAAAGAATATGGAATTTAGGTTCATAGTAGGTTTGTGTGGTTTAAGTGAATATAGTGTGCACTGTCAGACGGTTATCCAAAATTATCGTACGCGATTACAATTTGTATATTAAATTACAAGCACAACTTAACACCACATTCCTAGGAAAGAAGTGCCATCCCCTAGATCAAATATATAGGACTGCTTTGCCCTTTTTGAATATATTGAAGAAGAAGAAGTAAGCAGAGACAGCCACCCCAAGCCAGTGGCTGTGAGCAAAGATTGCCACATTGTCACCCAATCCAGTGACCGCTCATAGGTCACTATGCTTGTATCAGGAACCTCTGTTTTAATCTATCTAAACTTCTCCTGTATAGAAGGTCGATTTCACTATTTGTTCAGCCGAGCCTATTATTCTTTTTGAAATTACCAATTAGGTAAAGTTTGGTGCCCTTTTATGCATTCTAGTTTAGCATACGGTGAGTTGCGGATTTGTGATACGCTCCGGCATTTGACAAATTGAGAAAACTGATATTTTCTTGAAACTGACGAGCTTTCAGCCAATTTCAGGAAATGTCAACACTTTAGGAGAAACAATGCAGGAAATTTCTATCAGAAGCTTTCCCCAACCTGAATTGCACATAATTAAAAATAACACCAAAATTTCACCTATATTGTTAATTTTTAAGACCTTGGGACAAACCTGAATTGCACATAATTGACATCATTCTCATGGCCCGACAGTACATCCAATTCATGTATTGGTTGTTCTGAATCATCTGTATTAGATTTTAAAGCATTCCAGACCTGCAAGTAGTTGGGTTTTGGTAAAATATCCAACTTCACATGCGGCAAAGTCAACTGATGCAAGTAAACGGAAAGGTAGCAGTGGGCAAATCATATGGACTAATTTGAAAACTATGTAGTTAAACATACCCTTGCAAAAGTGTCGGAGCTACCGGTGACAAAAACCGTTCCATTGGCATTGTAAGCACAACAGAGTATCTGATGGCTTTGTGGACCATTACTTGAGGAGGGTCCAGTACTTGAAATAGCATTGCTCCTCCCTACAAGTAAACATCACATAATGTAAGTTTACATCACCCAAATAACCATAAACCAATAAGGCAACGGTGTCAGAAGCACTATCTAACCAGTTAAAGTGTCCGAAGGTTGTGGCATGTATATCCGCGGAGGGTACTGGGAAGACCTAGCATCCCAGATTCGACAAGTCCCATCATCCGATGACCTATGAATGTTATGGGCGTAAAATAACTAACAGAGGAAAAGATTTCAAGAATTATTTCACTTAATGGCCATAACCAACACGTTGCATTAAAGGTCTGAAAGACATCATTAGGAGTCACAAAGTGCATATCAGTAGTAAATTACTTTACATGAAGCTGTTTCCAAGCTAAGGATGCAAGTAGACATGTAGACACACACACACAGAGAACAGCCAAGAGAAGGGAAGCAACATAAAAGAGCATTCTCTCTTAGAATTTGGCTTACGATAGAAGTTGGTAAACAGCACTAAGCCTGGGACTAAATGCAATAGCAGTCACAGCTCCAGTATGCCCTTGAAGAACTGAAATTGGAAATCCATCTGGCAAACGCCACTGCAGGTAGAATATCTATTCACTGACTGATAAACAGGAAAATAAGCAAACTGGCATTTTAAATGGTAGCGTATACATACAACTCGAATGGCAAAGTCATTTGAAGCAGATGCCACCAAAGCGTTGTTTGAACTTACAGCCAAGTCAGTAATGTCACCCTTTGATTCATATAACAAGAAGGGTAGAATAAATAATACAAGCAAAAACAAATGAGGCTATATTGAAAGCCCAAAGAGAGAGGGAATGAGGGAGGGAGGTAGGGTGGGAGGGAGGGAGGGAGAGGGAGGGGGAGAGAGACTGTAAGTCGAAATTATTAAGTGAAGAATCTTAACTCACCTCATGCCCACGACAGCTAGCCAAGCAAAGCGCAGTTTCCATTGACCAAATTTTGACAAGGCGATCATCCGAACCAGTGATAACATATCTCCCAGACCGATCAAAAATGGCTACAAGATACAAGTGCCGGTCATCTTTGTTCTCAAAAAATTCCAGTAATACAAATTCGTAGATTTACACACATAGTGCAACATGTATATGTATTATGGAGCACATGGAGATAACTAGAAGCTCCAAGGGAAACCTAAATAAATAAATAGCCGTAGATGGAACAAGAGGATGCATAATGTATATTCTAAGACAAAATTACGGCAAAATTTCCAAGAACAATTTGGAAATACAAAGTAGATCAGCGTTGACTTTTCATTCCTTTGACATAAAACTCCCAGTCAAACACTCATAAACACTGGGCAATAAAAGGAAAATGCTCGGATATTGTCTACATCATCTGTGTAATAAACTTTGTACCCTTATCCCAGACTGTTGATTTCCATTGGCAGTAACATTAAGAACTTAGCATGACCTCATAAAACGGGATTCCCTGAAAATAAATTGTTTATACAAGTTTAGTTAAAAGTGAACAATACCGCAATAGACAGCATTACGGTGCCCTCGTAGCTTCTTTTTGTTGTTCATCTTTTGCACCATAGTTGATGGTTTAGCAATAGCATAACAAGCAGAGCGAATTGATGGAGCACGATGATGCTTTGTGAAACCTCCTCCAATTTCCCTCAAACTAAGCCCATGAACTTGGTCGGCCTGCATGTAAGGCCAACGCAGGTGAGCTGGCAGGGGCTTAACTCTCTTATTTTCCGTAGTCCTATCACCTGCAAAAAGGAAATTAAAAAAAATTCCAAAATAAGTAACCTTTGGAGAAACTTATTATGCATGGAAGCTGAAAAGATATGTGGCATCACAAAGCAGCCTAACAAACTTCTCTACCTCGAGAGGAAACAGACTTCAGATGAGTACGGAAGGCAGAGATTTATGCCAAAAAGTGACAATTAAAGGTAAAAGATGCAAACAAGATTTAAGTCGAACCTATCAGTTACATGCATAAACTACCTAAGTAGTATATTAGGTTTATGATAAGCATGCCATTGAGCAGGAAAGACAGATTTTTCAAAGACGCAGTAGGCTAAGATGGGTCTTGTAGGTGCTACACAAACATAACATGTTAAATAACTGTTATATCCACCTACAGGTTGTCATATTAATCATAAAAAAATGTTACAACGGACATCTGTTAAAGTTGTCATACTTATTTAGAGCAAAGTAGTTGAATACTTATTCCTAAAAAGGACATATCATGAGGAAGGATATTTATCAGTGTAAATAAAAGACACAATTTACAAGTGACCAAAGATTTGTATAGCAGAGGTTTCAGCTTCCAAACAATCATCCAAGAAAATTCTACTGTCATAGTTTATGTATTGTTCATTGAGTTATTCAGGTCAATTATTACTAATACAGAAGATTTCCATAAAACCTGGTTTAATGCTAAACATCACTTCTCCCAAATCCAAAATACTTCACATACAGAAAAGAAAAAAAAACCCACGAAGAGTCAAAGATACTCTGAAATATGAACTATAAATATCACTTACAGTCTAGAAGTGAAAAAGAACCAGTTCCCAGTAATGTAGGGACATCAGCTGCATTCGGAGCACTTCTTCCAACCTTGCCATGCAAAGGAGTTGCTATACTCAGTATCAGTTGCTTTAGAAGCTTTACCAAGTGATCCCTCTCTATATGAGGATACCTATTGGTCATACAAAAGACTAATCAATAAAAACTGAAAACAGGAAATAAAATGACTAGCCCCATTATAACTAAAGAAAAAACAAAAGAACAAATGCAATACGAAAATCCATGCACCCTGCTAAAGTTTGTCAGTTTACCATTATCCCCCAAAGCTTAAGCTGTTAGAATGCTGGCCACAACTATTTTATATTCTTAACACTCCCCCTCACATGTGGGCCTCTTTCCACCTTTAGAATCAGAGTAATTGAACATAAAATAAGAGAATTTGTTTGTTTACCTGTGTACGGTTATATTTATACTTCAAGCTTTCAAACATTAACTTCTATCAGATTATATACGCTATTTTACATAGATTTTGGTTTTTTTTACTGCTTTGAGTTAAAAACATATTCTTAAGATTTTTAAAATGTTAGCATGTTAAGATCCACAAAAGCAACAAACAGATTGGGAGTAATCACTAGTGGTAGGGCAAAAATTAGGGGGAAGGACAAAGGAAAGAGTGATGCCCACATTAAATCAATTGATTCGGAGGATCACAAAAACTTTCAGATTCTTTCATGCTTTATTGTCATTGTTTCGACTTAAATTCAGAGTCGCCTCAACCCCGTAAATAGGAAGAGGGTTACTTTAGAAATAGGCGGTAATTGCTTCGCACCTGACTGTGATAGCCTTCTCCCCCAGACCCTTATTCTAAGGGGAGGAGCTGTAGAGAAGGCACCTTTGCCCCAAAAGGGAGGTATCTAAAGAGCACCAATAGTGAGTTCTCTACTATATAAAGAGCTATAAAGAATCTAGAAGGGTCTTTTAAGATTAAGGATAAAGAAAAAGCGGTGAAGGTCGCCCCTTATCCGGCTCTCTGCAAGGGAATCTCCACTCATTGCTTCTCCTAATATCCTCCCGTCTGAAACATGGATGAAAATATCGGCCGATATCCCGATATATTGGCTGAATTATCCCTTTTTTAGGTGTCGATACAGATACAAGGGGGTAAGCCAATTTCTTCCCCCTTATCGGCGATATATCCCCGATAACCCCCGATATCCTCGATATTTACCGATATTTCCCGATACCAGAAAAATAACCTAGAAATTCGTCTTTAGTTTTGAAAGTAATCATAGGTCCCAGCCACTGAATCAATGTCAAAAACCAAGCTCTAATACTTAGTAGTTTCTCCTTTCTTCTCTTCTCAGTCATTTCGGCTATCTTTGGCTCTTCCTCTCGTCCCTCTGGTTGCTCGGTATCTTGTGTGTTTGAATTTATTTTTCACCTAATCTTCTATCTCTCATTTCCTTTATCATTTAGTCTGACTCCTGTAATATAATGTTGGGTGATGTATTAATGGGTTGGGTTGGGTTATATTTGAATAATTTTGCCTTTGTTGTGTTTGTATTTATTTTCAGGATTTTCATCGTGCATTATATACATGCATTTCATCATATGCGTATCTTACAGTTAGTATATTTTGAATTTTATTTGTTCAATACATTCATTGATAATGTGCTTAATATCTATGAAAGTTTCACTTCAAAATTCCGTGTTTTAAAGCCAATATCTGTCTTTTTGGTTGTTTTCCCCCGATACCTAATACAACATCAATATATCCCCCGAAATATCCGTAAATTGAAGGCCCGATAATATCTGTATCGCCGATATTTTCATCCTTGGTCTGAAAAGCGTTCAGACTTAGTGTTTGAAATGGGTTAGAATTGAATTCTATAGTTCTGGAACTGCAGAACCCAAATATTATCAATTTGGCTTAAGAAACTCATTCCATGGACTGGAGTATAACCTCAATCAGGTGGCAATCCAATAGATCAAGCTCTCCTGATAACATGTTGCAGACCCTGTCTAATTTGTTAAAGTCTTGTTACTAAAGTTTTTCTTGTTTTTTTAGGTGCTTTGCACTGCAAGATTTTCTCTGTCAAGCTTGTGTACTTGGTAAGTGATGTGTGCTTTGGTAAGTGACAAGAGCGAGGTGAGTAACTAATATGTATTAAAATTTCTATTACAGTAAAGCTAAAATCAAAGCTGATAGAGTCTGAGAAATTTTCTGTGTTGAGCTTGTGTGCTTTGGGTAACTGATGAGAATGAGGTTGGTGACATAAATAATTAGATAAAATTTCTATATTAGTTATATATAAAATCCAAGATTCTGATACGCATTCATCATGGAATTTATTTAGCTTATCCTTGATAAATATCTCTTCCAAACAGTTAAGCATGTGTACTTTTTAATTTTCCAAGCATACTCATTCTTTTTCTAGTTATCTACTTGTTCTTACATAATACAGTGTGTAATCTTAGGGAATTCAGTTATAAGCTTACTCCTAAATGTACTATGTGTGTCATATGATGGGATTCAAGTTGTCTACCCATCCTTACATGATGTGTATGTTGTGCGATAAGATTCACTTATAACCCCATTCCACATGTGTGTCATGTGACGGGGTTTACTTATATAGTATTATTTCTGAAAACAAAAAGGTTATTTGGTGTTGATTTATATGTGCGTACAAGAATATTTTATATGAACTGGATTCTAACTCAATTATTTTCTTTAAATAAATATTTTGCAAAACCTATTGTGAACTGAGTTGTGTAAAACTACTTGAATGACATAATTATGTTTACTACTCACTGGACTATTGATGATTACACCCCATATTTCCTCTTTTACATATCAGTATGCCTGTTTTCTGTTGGACTGGACAAGGATTAAGGGATGAAGTTTGGGGTTAGAATACCAGACAAGGGATCTCGGCATGTCATATGCTGCTTCGAATGGGTTTTGGGGCTGCAGTGTGAGTCATGTTATATATATGATGCAAATATTAAGTGACTAATGTTAAAACATATATCTTCTGTAATAAGAGGACACATGATATGAACATAAACAACAACAAAACTAACAAAAACAAATCCTATGCTTGGCGTTGAACTATTCCTATGACAAGGGTAACATAAATTGAGAAACATCTGTACCTTTCAACCAACTTGTTGTAACTCAATGGGAAAGAGATGGCATTATCATTATTATTGCCACTTCCTACGCCGCTCCTTGAAAACCAAGCATGGTACCTTCTAGGTAGAAGCTGATGTTCCAGAAGATCATTCCCAAATTGTTCAAAAGTCCTCTGGCATGGCCCAACAGACAGAAAGTGCATAATCAAAAAGTAAACCTCTCTAATGTCTATATCGACTCCAGCCTCAACAACATGACCTGTATCCCTCTCTTCCTTTTCAGGTTGAGCCTTCTCATTCAACTTATTTAAAATACTTGAAGGTGCCATAGAAAGAGAATTTGCACCACCAGACAAAGTGCACTTCCAAGGATCCATTGTTTGCGTACAACCTGAAGCGTCAAAACATATACTTACTGAAACCATCAAACACATTTTATGCATATGAACGGCATCTGTGGACTATCTGAAAGATACTAAATATATTCCCCACCATAAAGGGAAAGCTAGCGACCCAGAATTTTTTTTCCCAACCTTGGTATATAATCAAATGATATCTTCCTACAATATCAGTGAATTTCTTAAACAGTAAAAGCATAGTTCCCAATCAATGTAGAAAGATATGAAACACTTATCAATAAAATTAATGAAAGCAAATGGTCAATATGACCACAGATAGAAATACACACTTACCAGAAGATCCATTACCAGCACTACACTCTGTTCTATACAAAGCCTAATGTGTGATTAAGGATACAGCCTACAAAAGCCATATAACACCTAGAGCAATTTCTTTTTGTTTTTCTTGGTAAATTACTAAAAAGCCCACCAGCTATTGAATCGGCCTTGAGCCTTGTTCCTAAGGGGAGGATGTGCCACCAGGCCCGAAATGAAGGGGGTCTCATGCAGATGTAAGACATAACCCTCCCCAGCCCTCGCAATGAAGGGGGTCTCACGCTCCATGGCTACAAATATGAGGCATTACTTCTCTAAATGTTTAAGCAACAATTTTTAGATGAGTTACATACCACGACTGCCCAAATTGGTAAAATGGCTATTGAGTCGAACCCAATTGTTCTCAAGCTAGCCTGCTGCTATAACTTGGATGAGTCCAAAAGATTTAGCCAAGAATATCTTCTTGTGTTCTTTGTTGTAAATTTGTGCTTTATCAGCCCTGGATAGAGATAAACAGTGAAAACAACTTGAACGGCCATCCTGAAATTCTTAAGATATAATAATGCAATTAACAATTATGGTAGTTGTGTTCTTACACCTTTCTCCAAATAGGAGGTCTAACTAAAGTGGAGGGAGATAAGGCCTAAAACATGCAAAGTTTATCTTCAAGAATTTCTCTTCTTCTTTTTTTCTTCTTTTTTTATTTTGCATTTTTGGCCTCTTAAATTCAAGAACTTCAAATTATACAATCCTCAATTAAATAGCTAAAGATGGATGCTCCATTATGACTCTTCCAATTATACGGAGTTCTTACTTCAAGAGGTTTTTAATTTAGTTTTATTTAACATTTTCTTTATATGCCATTAAATTCTAGAGCTTCAAATTTATATGATTTCCTGTAACAAATAGCTAAAGGCCAGTATTCCACTATAACTGTTCCAATTATGCGAACAAAATATTGTATAATCGAGGACTTTATTAGCTTCCATAATTGAAGGTTATTGGAATTTGTTTATTTTGAGATATGTGATTCAATGAGAACTAGAAGAGACAATACGAAACCTAACAAATTGAGAAATGCACCTCTGCATTAAGATTTTGTGTTCAATGGTATATCATACTTAGGCATCAAGGTTTCAACTAAGAATAAAAATATAAATAAACGTTTGCATTGAAACCTCTAAATTTGCTTCAAGAAAGTAAAAGAGAGGTACAGTTGACTGAAACTGAAGAGGTTGCTGAATCCATTATGCGGATCCCTGAGAAGCACGAACAGAAAAATTCCAAAACCAGAGTCACATGTATATCAATATCACAATGATTTTGAAGCAACAGACGTCCAAAACCAATAATTTGAATAGAGTGAAAAATTCTGTGTTCTGGATTGTCTAATAAAACATTAAACTAAATTAGAGTAGATTATGTGTCCATGATCCATCCATATGCAAAAAGGGTAAACTAAAGCTTAATTACATCCAAGGAAGAGCTTAATTACCTTAGATAGAGCCCGTTTGGATAATAAAGAGAATGAGAAATCGCAGTTGCTCACTTGCGGGTACGCGAAAAAGCTAAAAGTGGGCTTTAGGTTTCCGAGGTGGAGAAGAGCTTGTCCCAAGTCCGACCTCCGACCTCCGAATTTATAATTTCTTTTATTTTATATCTTCGTTTGGGGTTTAGTCGAATTCTTTCTATCTAGGGGTCTTATATTTTGTTTTCAGTGAACATCACTCAGGATGCTCATTCATGCTACCCGAAATGGAGGAAGAAAGAATCCTATTCATTCTCAGAAATTTGGCATAATTAAATTAATGGGTAATTTCTTTTTTCATTTTTTATTTCCTCAGAATGGAAATACTTCTTTACTGAATAAAAACAGAATGGAAATACTGCGATTCGATATCCGCGCGCCCAACTTTGATCGTCAGGGCGCCTAATATGGAAATGCCAAGTATACCATCCATTTCAGTAATTCGAATTTCAAATATATTTTCCATTATTATTGCTTGAAAGTTAGGCCCAGTTTGGGATTACTGTCACTTTTAAAAAAATGTTGTTTCTGTTGTGCTTTGAAAATAATTAGCTGTAAAGTAAAGAAACTTCATATTTGGTAAACAGTATTTTTAAAGTGCTATTAGTACAAAAAGCAATGTCAAAACCGTTTGGTAAATTTTAATGTAAAATTGTTGTAACTGTGAATAATAGCTAAAATAGACATGATGTTAAAATTGTTATGTACTAATCATGTGGTGGTAGTGGTAGTGATGGAGTGGAGGTAGTGGTGGTGATGAAGGTGAAGTTGGTGGTTGTGGTAGTGGTGGTGGTGGTGATGGTGGTGATGGTGAAGGTGGTGGAGGAGGTGGTGGTTGTGGTGGTGGTGGCTGAGGATGAGGAGGAGAATGATGTGGTGGTGGTGGTGGTAGAGGTAGTGAATGTGGTGGTGCAAGTGGTGGAATTGGATGTGGAAGTGGAGGTGGTGTCATTTTTTAAAATGAATGATGTTAGTTTAGGAATTAAAAAAATTCATTAAAAGTTTGTCTCTGTTTCTTTTGAAAGTAGCTTTGAAAAGCAACTCAGAGCCCACTTTTAAAAGCTGCTGTTAAAAGGCCACTGCTTTTAAAATAATCGGGATATTTTATTTTTACCAAACACCTTAAACTACTTAACTTTAAAATGAAGCGGGTTTTTGGCCTAAAAAAAGCAATCTCAAAACAGGGCCTTAGAAGACCTCCAACCACAAGGTGTGGTGCTTTTGGCAAACTACCCCTCCAGCTGGTGAGCTACCTGATGCCTCAATGGCAAGGGTTCGAAACCCATTGAAAGCATTTTGTGACCAGGGTCAAGCCGAACTCCAAGTGGGGATTAATCTCACCCTTCGGGTGTGGGGACACTTTATGTTACTATTGAAAAAAAAAAAAAAAAAAAAAAAAAAGAAAAAAAAAATAAAAAAAAGTTAAGATGACAAAACACAAATTAAAAAAGTTGCGAATTATTGACAACAATTAACTTAAGCAACAACACCTCTCTGAAAAACTTTCCTCTCGACCCTTCTTCTCCACCCCACCCAAGACCACCACAAATCTGATCTTCTCTTTGGTTCCAGGGGGTCTACCCTGGAACCACCCCCTTCGGTTTAATAATCCGGGCCTCTCTCTCTCTCCCCCCCCCCGGTTATGTTGTGGAGAGCTTTTCCCTCCCAACTTTTGTTGGGTTTTGTTTGCTCCTTGCTATTGCAAGGGTTTTTGTTCTTCCCTCTTCTTTTGAGGGGTTGTTTCCTGGCCTCTTGAGGCTGGTTTTTGGTTGTTCTTGCTAGATCTGCTACTTGTGTGGTAGATCTATTTTCGTTCTTTGTGTTCCGGAGGTGGAGCTGTTGGCTGTGATGGATCTACTTTACTGTGCTTGAGGATCAAGGGGGATAAGGGGATGCTGTGATATTCTTTGGAATATCATGGTGGAAGTTGTGCGGTATTGCCCTCCACTCTTGGGGTGTCTCCTGTCCCACGAAAATTCAGAGGTTGTTCTCTGTCTTGCTCTCTCAAGCCTTGGTTGTTACAGATCTAGGGTCCTCATACTCTGCAACTCCTTGTTAGATGGGTTTAAAGTTGTTTATTTGGTGTCCTAACTGTCTTGTAATACTTGAGCTTAGTTGATATTGTTTAAAATTCTGTATTGCTAAAATCTGTATTGCAATAACCTCTCTTCTTTGCTGTGTTCTTAGTGTTGTAATATGTGGTTTGTGCCTGCATGAAATTAAAAAAAAATTTGAATTATTGTTTACTAACACAAAAAAAAAAAAAAAAAAAAAAAAAAAAAAATTGTTGCATAAACCCTAGTGTATTTACTTCTTTACGAAAGTTGGATGACAAATTCTTCCATCTATGACCCTGAACCCTTGCAGTTCTCCACCACGACCACCATGGGTTTTCTGGAAACATCTGAATTGGGATTGGGATTGGATTGTTGCATTTGAAAATTGGGTTTTAATGAGTCGTTGTCGAAGTTGAAGAAGAAATGGTGATTAGGGTTGTTAAGGGGGTTGGCCTAGAGAATGAATAGGGTCTCAAGGTGGGATGGGTTGGGAAGGAGAGTTTTTATTTATTTTTTATTTATAAATATTTATTTTTGGTTTTAAATACTTTGAAATTTTTAAAATTAAAGAGTTGACCATAGTTAAAAATCGATATGCGTCAAGTTTAAGGAGGGTGTACACATTGGGGCACACAATTCAATACAATACATTATTTTTGGTCATTTTATATTAGGGTAAATTAGTAATTCAATAAATAATTTGGTAATAAAATGTACTCAGTTAATTTTATGGTTCATTTAGCAGCACTCATAAAAAACAACCCAAGCAATTGAAGCATAATCCTAATACATTAATATTTTTCCACCACAATGCATAATCCTAATACAACCGAAGCAATTGTACTCAGTCAATTTTTGCTAAAACAATGCATGCATTAGAGAAACGTATCATGTATTATCAACTCCCAAGTTGCACACCACGTGAAAATTGAAAAGAGAGAGGCAACGTACACACGAAATATAAAACACTTCGCTCCATTCATTTCGGCTAGTCAACAATGCTAACTGAATCACTTCGCTCCCACAGCCTAATTCATCTCTCTCTCTTCCCAGGTTGGGTATTCTTCCCACTCACAAATCTTTCAAATGTATAGGGTCAAGAACACTCCTGTGTCAAGGGATTGCAGCCGTCTGAGGAATCTATTGCAAAGCATATCAGGCATCAATAAATCGTATGTCAAAAGTAAGGGGATTTATCTGCCACACATTCAAGGCTGCGTATTCCTCCAAACATTCTTTCAGTTGGGCTTCACTGTACCCCTGTTCCAAAGCAAACGTTCCACAGGGCTTAAGACAAAGAAGATAGAATTAAGGACAGCATTATAAAAAATTTCCTCCAATTATTTGAGTTTCAGAATTTTTATTTTAGTAATGTTATGATTCTCTGGTGAAGTTCTATAGTATGATCTACATTCTTATCACTTTTAAGTTTTATTCTATTTTGACATGATAGGTACTACGGTTGTATTTTCTGCATTAAATCCACATATAGGTTGAAAATCAATCAACTTTCTGAACATCACAGGATGCTTTGCAAATTTGAGTTTCAAAAACTAACCTTCCTAGAAATCCAATTTAGTGCATGTGCATAGCTCACATCCAGCTTGTCAGTCCTGGCAGCTTCATCTCGCAAAATTGAATAGATATCGGAGATAGCATCCAGACCAGATTTCTGGCGATCATCTGAGTACAAAGAGAACTTTGACATCTGCATTAGCCTTAGTGCCTCATCCACATCACTTTGAGCCACAGTTTCAGAAAATCGCAGTCTTGCTAATGCCTGTACATGAAACAAATCAGTTTGTCTTTTAAGTAGTCAATACACCCCATAAGCATCTATTGCTCCCTTCTCTAGATGACACTTTTTAAGCAACCGATTAAACAAACCAAGTAAAGCTTGTTTAATCGATATACCCTAAACCCTATGGCCAAAAAAGACTGGCATTTGTTAAATATATTTGTACCATACTAGATATCCTTCCTTTACTTACGGATGACGTTTCTTGAGCAACCCACCAAATGGGTAAAAATATTGTTACCAACATCTATTGTTCCGCACTATGGATGACAGTTTTAAGGCAGACCACCCACTTAACTGGGTAAAAGCCAGTTCAAACAACATACTCATACATATTATCTTTTCACATTTTTAACCCAGTCCATATCCAGAAAGAATGCTGGTTAAGTATGCACCATTCAGGTCCAAACATTTAAAAACTGTCCCTCTGCCTGATGTTGACTGCAGGACATCAATTCTGACAACCCCAAACCCTATGCCTGATGTGGACAGTTAGACACCATTTCTTGCCACTTCATTCAATGTTGATACATAGCATATATTGTTGAAACATTTCTTTCCATTTAATTATATTGGATACACAGCATGTATTATGGAAGCACATAACAAGAGAACAAATGAAAAACAGGACTTACAGCTGATATTCGAAGAATACTGAGCAGGGTCCTCACAGTCGTATAGGAGTGGGGAGCATTAGATTTAGCTTCTTCTTGCCGAATGCTAGAGTAGGCACTAGCAATATACTCCTCAAGTTCCTGCGGAACTGAAGGAGACAATCTTCTTGCAGCAGAAATATATGCACTGAAATTTTTTGAAAAAGAAAGGATAAGTATGGTATCAGAAAGTCCCACTAATCAATAGACTTGCACATAAAAATTTAGGGAGCTTTACAAGTTCTATACAGTGCTCTTCTACTCATTTGCATGTATAAGTGATCTATTAAGAAAGCCTAAAAACAAAGCGAATATTCTGAAATCGTTATTACTATTGTGCTTTCTATGTTGAAAAGTACTATGAGATTTACCGGAGAACAGATGGTTCAAGTGGAGTGAAGCCAAGAGCAGGAGATTCTTTATTCTGGTGGACATAGACGACATGCCTAGCCATCTCAAGATCACTATCCATATCTGCTCGATCCAGAATTAACCATAAAAGATCAAATCTTGACAAAAGGGCTGGCGGAAGATTAATGTTTTCAGCTGGAGTTCTACGTAGGTCATATCTCCCCCTTCAAAAACATATATAATAAGTAAGAGTTTTCATATAGACCAGAATATAACACAAAGAAGGCTAGCTGCCCGCAGGAGAAAAACTGCCATGTAATTAGAGCAACATGAATTAGAAGAGAAGCAACAGGGACCAATGCCCTAAATAAACCCAGGTTATGAGAAGTCGAAAGATTTGTACCATGCTGGATTAGCTGCAGCAAGAACAGCAGTTCTTGCATTCAAAGATGTAGTGATCCCAGCCTTGGCAATGCTGACGGTCTGCTGCTCCATAACTTCATGTATGGCTGTACGATCTAATTCATCCATCTTATCAAATTCGTCAATTGCACAAATGCCCATATCCGCTAGCACCTGAAATAAGTTAATTCTTACATAATTTAACACCCAGAAACCTTTGAAAACCAATCAGATCGGAAGCCTAATGGAGAACGATGGGGAATCTGATTGAATTAGGGATTTTATTTTGAGTTGGTTATGGATTGGCTTCTAAAGACTGGCTAGGAAATAACTGTTTGGAAACAGTCTTGAATTAAACATTGACATGATGCAAGGAAACCTTATTTCTGATTCCAATTAGAAGTTAACAGGAAAGGGCATTCTTTTGAAATATGGCTAATGAAGCAACTTGGTAGTCTGAGTATCATGCAAGTATTCCACAAGTATTTACTGTTGTGTATGCTCTCTTCCACTCGTATAACATTTGAAGATAAAAATAGCTGAAAACATCTATAACTGAAAGAAGCATATGTATCTCACCAATGCTCCTCCTTCGAGGACCATTTCATTTGTGACAGGATCTTTCTGAACAGCAGCAGTTAGACCAACTCCACTGCTTCCTTTACCAGTTGTATAAACTCCCCTGGGTGCTACATTAATTATGTGCTTAAGAAGCTGGCTCTTTGCAACTCCAGGATCACCCATCAAACAAATATGTAAATCTCCTCTAATCTGCATTTTAACAGAAAATGTTTCATTACTTTTGTAGGGCGATAATGTAAATGATACAACACACCATGACCAACTGTTTATCACAGACGTGAATATGAGCTTGGGAAATGTCCTAAAAAGAGAATATGAGCTTGGAATCCCATTTTACAATGGAGGGAGACAGACTGTGAACTGAAACTCAATTTGCATAACCATTAACCAGTGACCACGACCAGTAAGAGCCCGGTCAAGAAGGAGGGTTGAGAGGAAAGGGAAGCAAGAAAAGGGGACTGACAATCTGTCCTTTTACTATAGAGAATATATCCAAATACTATCCATAAACTTTTAGACAATCTGTCATTTACCTTCATTCCGTCTTTTAGTTTCCTGTGGGGGGCACCCACTAGAAGCAGAAGTAAAGCCTTTTTGATATCTTCATGCCCATAAATTTCAGGTGCCAAAGATCGTGCCAACTTATTATAATGTCACCATCATCAGCTAAACGTACAATTTGCTCTTCCTCATCTCCTACAAGTTCATACCTGCAGAAAAGCACAACTTAGTACACAGAGTACCCGTTTTATCACAAAAAATTTAAGAGGTTTATCTAAGTAGGTACAGAACAACTCTTAGTTTACTGTTTACCGAAAACTGCACTAAAAGTACTCGATAAACTCTATGTTAATAGTTGAATAGAAGGGAAACAAATAATAGTTGAAGCCTGGATGTTTGAAAAATGATTAAGTTCATTACAAAAGTATAAATGACTTTTTTCAGTTGAGAACTGATTCACACAATGCATAAGAAGATGACAAAATTAAAAATGGGAACTGGAAGAATGGCTTACTCTTCATATCTTTTCTTGTGGTGTGTGATAGACATGGCTTCTAAGTAAGTATCTGCAACTAAGCCAGCCCGCATTGCTCTATAACCAGTGTAAGGAATAGGAAGAAAAATGCCAGATAGTTCAATGACATCACCCGGAGCTACCTAATTCAGATAGAGGCACATCAAAACTTTAAGAAAATAGTATATAATCAGTCAAGTAGAAGAAGCAGGGTGTCATCACTCCCTGCAATCATGCAATTATTCAAATTGGAAATGTACCGCGACTGTCCCTCTTCCCATTGCGGAAGATTCATTTACAAAACTGTAAGTTTACCCTTAAAATACTTTATGAAAATTGACATAAAGCAACCAACCTTTCTTGTGAGTTCACCTCTGAAGTGAACAGTCATTGTCCGTGGAATATGGCCTTTTGGAACATGTTCAGACAATTCTTGTATCTTGGCCTGCAATTAAACCACAACCAAACATATCACAGAAGGATGATAAACGCTATTGGGGACAAATGCAAAATCATATTACAATTATGACTGAATCAGCATGAAGTACCTCCTGAAACTTCAAGAACTTTGATGCCCTGAGTTGAAGAATAAGATTCCCCTTGGTTCTATTTGTTATACAACGCCTGGATGGGCACTCAAACAGGGGCATAAATACTCGCGCAGTTACTTCCTGTTAGGCACAAACAGAATTAGCAACTCAACAAAAGCGTCTCTAAATAAACTGGGCCCAAGTACAGACCTGCTGGCATGAATGAATAATACTCCAAAGAGTGAAAGAAATGAATGTTTGAAAATCTGCTGAGTACTGTAACTGGCAATCAAATGTTTGAAAATATTTCAATTTTTTTTTGGGGGGGGGGGGGTGGGTGTGGTGGTTTAATAGGAAACAAGACAACATTTACGTCAAGACAGAGTATCTGAGATAAGCTTGTCTCTAATTACCTGGTAAATCTCAAAACCACATTCTTCACATGTATAAACAGCAACCTGCATCAATGGCTTAACATCTGAACACCGTGTCACAATACCTGATATCCTTACAAGCTGACCAATATATGAAGCCTTGACCTCCCTAATGGTAAATGGCCGTCCCTTTGAAGATGCTCTTATGTAAACTTCACTACAATACATATGAGAAAACATTAGTGAATTTGTACATCACTATACTGGAAGGTGAAGCATATAGAACTTGCTAATAAAGTACAGCCGCAAGTATGTAGTAGATCTTAAAACCGGTTACCAATATTAACCTGGGATACATGTGTTGAACTTACATTGCACCAAATGACAATATATTTCCAAGCATATACTACAAACAGGGTTTATCAGCTAATTAGTTGGAATATATTTTCAAGCAGGGTTTACTTTGTACCAAATGGCAATATATTTTCAAGCATACTCCAATGAGACAAATGTCCGTTGGGCTACACATCGGGAGGTACCCTAACAATATATTTTCTAAATCTCTTGTGTTTGTAATACTTGCATATATGAACTTTCACCCTTTTTATTTTTTTAAATTATTTTTGCTGGTATCATTTATGGGATAGGTGAGGCTTTAGGGTTTAGTACAGTATCACTCATAGGCTACCTGTTTCGGTTGCAACTTTTTTGTTTAGTAGTTCCCTATTCATGACATCTTAGTAAATGAATGTCAATTTTGCTGAAGGTAAGCTAGCTTAGTGAATACCTCATTATATGGTAGTGTAGCTTTATTATAAGTGTATTGGCACACAAATTACATTTAGACACAAAATTCCAAGCACAATATAAATAACTTTGAACTCACAAGTAGCGCTTGATTTCTGGAGGCATCTTCTGATGTGGATCTGGACCATCCATATTCTCTGGTCCATCATCGGACCTTTGGGTCATCAATATGTCATGATCATCATCTGTAAAGGCCTCTGTGGGCTCGGGCATGAGCTCATCGATAGCATCAGCAAAAATACCAATATATCGCCGAGTATTTTCAGTAACCCGACTGAGGAATTCTTCATCCAACTCCCTGTACTGCGTTATAAAATTAACAACTTATTCACAACAGGACCAGGGCATTGCAACAAAAGTCAAAAGGCAAAGGCGGAACTTACACTGAACAAGTCCTCAAGATCAATCTGAATTGCTCGAAATTTGCGGTTAGCAACTTCTTGCTGAAAAAGACAGAAGAATCACAGGTCATGAATACGAAAAACTTAAAAGAAATTTAAAGATTGGTGTTGTATAACTAAAAATTAAGAAAAATAGGATCCCACCTCTTCGCGGTAACCCAATGAGAATTTAGGGTTTTCAGTCCGTAACTATTGCTTATTAGAAAATGTGTTAAAAAAAAAGAGAGAGATAAACTCACAAGGATCCGCATGTATTTGGGTTCACCACTGCAATCGATAAAGTTGGAAAGGAAATCCTTCGCGTGCACTGAAAATATAAAAAGAAAATAACAAAATGAAATCGAGTATTGACGAGAGAGAAGGGGGGACATAGACAGTGATCTGAAAACCCAAATTGACCTTTGTCAGGGCCGAAGTCGAGGTCCTTCATGGTTCACCTGCAGAGAGAGAGGCACTCGCACACACAGAGACAGAGAAGATAGAGCTCAGATTTGGGTTTGGCGGTAAATGAAGAATAAAGGTTAGGGTTTTGGCGGGAAAACGAATATAGGGTCTATTCTTCTTTTAGCTTTTTTTCTTTTTCTTTTATACTGGGCCAAGATTCAAAATAAAAGAAAACTAAAGAGGACAACAAGGGGCCTAGCCCTAGTAGGAGGAGGGGCTCCCAAGATAGAACAGCCCAACGTTAATTCCTCTCTTGCCATGCTCAATGTTATGAGACAAAGGTTTTTAGGTCCAATGGTCTTTAAATTTTGACCCAATTCTCATTTTGCTCCTTAAATTTTCAAAATCGTTTTGTAGTCCTTCAACTTTACTTTTGTTAGAACAAATAGTTATGTCATCAATTTTATTATCTTTTTCTGTTAAATGCATTGGCAAAATGGTATTCTTGTATTATTTTTAATTTTTGCATCATTTTCTTCCTCTTCTCTCTCCAGCATTCATCTCTATCCTCCATTCATGTTTATCAGTTCGTAAAAATTATGCAACTCTATTACTCTCTCTCTCTTCAATCACTCCAAAATGTCAATTGTTCCTCTATAGGACCCAAGCCAACCCAAACCTTTCTCAAACTCCACCATTTCTAAAATTTCCAGAATTTGCAAATAAATAACTTAATAAAATAAAAATGGTATAAAAAAAACATAGAGATAGTGTATGGGTGATGAAGGATGAGTGATTGAAGAGGAAAAGAGAAATATGGGGTGTGTGGGTGATGATGGATGAGGAGTGATTGAAGAGAGAGAGGGTGCCAAAGGGAGAGGAGAAAATGGGTGCATAAAATATTTGTAAAATTTTAAATTGAAACTTAAATTGGTTTCCAACTATTTGTATTTTATTGGATGAGGATATTGATGTGATGCTGACTGTGGAATTCATGTGATATGGAAGTTTTTCTCCCAAGACTAAAGCAATTTTCGATTTTGACCCTCAATAGTACGTTATGTGTCACGCACATGCTCAAATTTAATAGAAAAAGTTACAAAACTGACAGTATGACCATTTGTCCTAACAGAACTAAAGTTGAAGGACCACAAGAACGATTTTGAAAATTGAGAGGCCAAAATGCTAATCGGGTCAAAGTTTAGAGACCATTGAACCTAAAAACCCTATGAGATTAGAAAAATTAAAAAGGGAATTATGGGCATTTCATAAAAATTTATTAAACTCCACTGGTTCCTTATTTGCTTTATGCGAAAGCCAAAAAAATAATCATCCCTTCAGCCGCTTCTTCAAATCACGTTGTTGAGTGACATCGATTTTATAAAAAAAGGCAGATTTCACTTTATTTACCAAATTGGATAAGAAAGTAAAGGCCAAAGGTTATTTTTGGTCCATATAGTTTTAATTCAGTCACTTTTGCCATTGTAGTTTCATGATTATAACAATTTAAGTACAATTAATGAATTCCGTCAGTTTTATTAACACCGTCGAGGGTATTTATGCCCAACTCTACCATTTTATTTAAGCTAAAACTCTCCATTTCATGTTAGGGCCCTTGACAAATTTCTCTAAATCTCACAATAGAAACCTGAGTTTTGGAAGAACCCTAAAACCAATTCCCATTTTCGCACCCCTATCATGAAATTGAGAGTTTCATCATGAATAAAATGGTGGAAATGACAAAATTGGACATAAATACCCCTGTCAACGTGAATAAAATGATGGAATTTATTAATTGTCCTTAAATTGCTACAATCATGAAAATATAATGACAAAAGTGACCAAATTAAAACTATACAAATTTATAAATAAACTCAATCCTAAACATGTATTTATAAAAAAACCCAAACACTATTTAAATATAGAAACACACCCAAAATCAACCCCAAAATCAACAATTGTATATTTTTTGGGTGTGTTTATAAATGGGTTTTGAGTGTGTGTAATGATGGGTTTTGGGTGTGTTTATAAAGTGTTTTGGGTGTTGGGTTTTTTTTTATAATTTCAGCCCCCATTTTGGGTGTTTTAGTGAAACTCCCTTAAAACTATATGGATCAAAAGTGAAAAGGACAAATTACAGGACCAAAAGTAAATATACTGTTGTTTCTATTGTGGATCGTTCTGCAGTTCATGCAGTGGTACATGTCAGCTTAAGTTTGTTAGTTTGTCACATAGAGAGCAAGTGTTAGAGCATCTCCAACCGATGTGTCAAAAGTGCCACATAAACCTTTAACAGCTAGAAATAACATCTCACATCACTCCAACCGATGTGTCAAAGCTGATGTGGAATGAAGGCTGGATGTTGAGATGTTATTTTTGACATCCCAAAAGTAAGATGTCAAATGAATATTTTTAAATATTTTTTTATATTTTTATATTTTTAATTTAAAATAAATCAACACTAAAATGTAATAAAATAATAATTTAATTTGACATATCGGGTGGAGTGTAAAGCTGTGTAAGATGTCAAATAGCCACATCAGCCATCAAATTTAAATTTGATGTTTGGTATTTGACATCTTCCTTGGAGATACTTTTAGAGCATCTCCAACCGATGTGTCAAAAGTGCCATATAGACATTTAACGGCTAGAAATAACATCTCATATTACTCCAACTGATATGTCAAAGCTGATGTGGAATGAAGGCTGGAGGTTGAGATGTTATTTTTGACATCCCAAAAGCAAGATGTCAAATGAATATTTTATTATTTTTAAAGATAGTTGATTGTTACTTTAATTTATTATTTTCATTTTTATATTTTTTTCTTCTTTATCTTAAATGATTTGACTGTTACAATAATTATTTATTTGACATATCAGGTGGAGTGTAAAACTGTATAAATGTCAAATTGCCACATCAGCCATCAAATTTAAATTTGATGTTTGGTATTTGACATCTCCCTTGAAAATGCTCTTATAGTTAGTTAGTCTGTTAATTACTGTTTACTTAGGGGGGTGTATTCAATTAGGATTTTAATAGATTTTTTTTAAGCTTAAAATTCTAGTGGTATTCAATTATGATTTTTAAGTAATCAATAAAAATCTGATGGTATTCAATTAGGATTTTAAAACCATCAATGCAAGTCTGGTGGTATTCAATTAGGACTTTCAAAATATTAGAAAAAGTACGGTGGTATTCAAAAACTTACCGATTTTGAGGTATTTCATTAATTGATGTATTATGTGAGACTTTTCAGTGGGTGATATAAATACCAAACCCCACCAAAAATCAGACCCTATTACATCTGATTCTCACGTTGATTTATTTTGGGAGAAGATGAACAGACTTGAGAAGTGAACAAAGTTCTCATCTTTTTGCTTTATCTCTTCACATGCTATCATATATGCGGTCATACCTTTTTTGTCTCTATTTGTATTATATGTGTTGCTTTGCTGTGGCTACCTACATACATCCGGGTATATATGTATTGCTTTGCTGTGGAACAGACAAAGAAAGAAACCAATCTGTAGAGATTGATAGTTGGTGTTTTTGGTTTGTTGTGCACTACCTCATTCTTTAGGAATGATTTTTCTTATTTATTTATTATTTCATAAAATAATATTTTATTACTTTTGTGAAAACTAGAGAATGACTATAGAGCTTACAAACCTGAAATAACTATAGAGCTTTGTGTTTCTTTTTATATAATACTAATAAATAGTGGATGGTGGAATGACCAAAAGAAGTCCATCACTAGGAAATTTCCTTGCGTAAGGATGCTTTATTTCTTGGTTTGGATGCATAGTGTTTGGGTCTTCTAGTCCCACTTGGGAGAAAAGGACCACTGTGGATTTTTTTTTAATTTAAATTTTTGGTAAAGATGAACTTTCATTAATAAAGACCAAAGAGAGGTCATAGAACCACCGAGACTACACAACATGATAATTTATTTATGAAAGTTTATGAAAAATAATTCTTTGGGCCTCTAGAACATGAAAAATAATCAAGGGTTTGCATACCAATCAATTAATGAAAGTTTATCAAGTTATATATCCATGTGGCATAATTAATTCATGTTATTATATAATTTTTATTTCATATGAAATCCTAGAGCAAATCTTTTGATTCTTTGGAGAATACAAAAAAGTTCTAAGTGAATCATAAGTGAATCATGTAATTACAATCTATTAAAATCATAAGTAAAATCTTGTAATTACAAATCCTGCTGAAATCCATTACATTAAAATCATGTAATTACAATCTATTAAAATCCTAATTGAATACACCCCCCTAAAATCATAAGTAAAATCTTGTAATTACAAATCCTGCTGAAATCCATTACATTAAAATCATGTGATTACAATCTATTAAAATCCTAATTGAATACACCCCCCCTTAGCTTTAAGCTTTCGATTATATGTATATAAGCTTACTGTAACTATTCATTCAGACAAATCAATACAAAAACTCTCGATCTTTCTTCTTCATCTTTCTCTGATTCTCTCCTGTGACATCAAAGTAAACACCCTGGACTAAGCCCCGAAAACGCAATACCAAACGGCGCGCAGATGGACCCAGCAACGGAAGAAACACCGCACATCGCTAAATCCGAGAACCTCGGAGTTTTTATGAGGATTCGGCCAGAGTGGCGTCAGGGGAGATCGGAACCCGAGATTCCGAAGGAAGTCGGCGTTTGAACCTTTGTTTCAGAAGATGTGCCTAAGGGTTAAAACTTCACGGTCGGTGACGCTACCCTAAACCCTAAACCAAGACAGAGGTATATGACGGCTTTTCACAAGTCTTCTCCCCTGATTCCTCTCAGGTGACTTCAGTTCTCCCTTTTCATTTTCGGTTGCGTTTCTTTTTTCTTGCTATTATCTCTACAATTTGTGTTATTGTTGATAGGAGGAGGTGTATGAGAAGATGATGAGGCCACTGGTGGAGGTTTTTTTGAAGGGCAAAAGTGGGATGCTTGCTGCATTCGGGCCTGGTGGCTCTGGAAAGACTCATACGATTTTTGGGTGCAACAGGCAGCCCGGTATGGT